AGGGCGACACTATTTTAACTTGTTCAATTTTTCACAAGCTGCGAGCTGGGTGATCTGTAAATGTGTACCGCGCCCTGGAGGGAAATGTCATCCATGTTACTATCTCTATGCCCCTAAACCTACATTGGTAAAATACACTACATTAGCAAATACATTATGAAACAATTGGGGGAAAAAAAGGTGCACTATGTAACTTTTTTGGAGGGGGGCCCACTACCCTATACAGAGATGTTATTACTTTGTTAGAAATCAGGTCTGTGGAGAGGTGAGCCAGGTGACAGTAAAAGGGCAAAGAAAAAATAACAATCAGATACCTGCGACTGATGAACTTACATAAGTTTTATACCATACTGTGGAACATTTCAGGCAATGAAGACAAGCAGGTAAAGGATGCCTCTAGAAAAGTTACATTGTGCCACTTCAAAAACTACAAATGGTATGTCCTTGGCAAAAGAAAAAGGGTGAATCGAATGAGGAAATCATTGTGATATTTGTATTCATATGATGGGAGACTCTTTCACTTGCATTCCAACGACCCCCGGTTTAAATATGCAAAAGGGAGCTCAGTTGGCTTTGAAATTAACATTTGGGATTGACCACTGTGCCATTTCTTGCTTTTAGCCAAAGATCATCCAAATAAGGCGAGATTGTTGGAGAAAGTTAGATATATAGAGAGAAATACTAGTGAAGTTATATGAATTCTAATAATCCACAAATGATTCAAGTCACACATTAGACTGGTGGTTCTATTTTGGCAAATAATTAAAGGGGCAGTATCTCTGTAGCATCTGTTCTAGAATGTTCCACAGTATGGCATTAAACTTACCTTCCTCGCATTTGTTAAATTACATGTTTTTATCGTTAAAGAAATACATTGAAAAACATAGTATCTTACTGTGAGCAGGGTCACCTCTCCACAGATCTGACCTGTAACTTGGCTTAGTGGCATCAGCTGCTTGTCTCTCTCCATGTAGAAGTTATATTTTCATACTGCATAACATTCCAGGCAAAGAAAAGTCATACTCTTATATACAAAGCAAGTGGCTCCAACTTCCACCAAAAAAGTTACATAGAGCACCGTTAAGAGAGAGGTGAGAAGCGATGATAAAATTGCAGATACTAACCCACAGCTCCAAGATAGGCTATTATATTTAAAGCATTTACTCTGCTAATCTTTTGAGTGTAATTTTACCCAGCATAAAAGAATAATGGTCCATTCTTTGCTGTATCTTCTCGCTACTTGCAGTCCCTGAAATATCCCTGCTGAGGATTCTATCTGTGGGCTCCTTTTGAAGCCCTGGCCTCTCGTTGCTTCCACTATCTTGTCATTTGTGGGGGATTATGCTGGAGCTAACACAGTCCACCCTGTTGCTTAAGTACTGTGACAGCTTACAATAATTGCCATACTAATTAGAGAGAGTGAGCCCAGTGTATGGTATATGCTCTTTTATCATCTCACAGTTAAACTTGATGATATATATCTGGTATGAAAAATAGAGACATCAATAACTGCCATTTTACTCATCAAATTTGCATAAACTAAAGAAAGACAACTTTGTGGATGGCACCTTGTTTTCGTACTACTAAAATATTATTACTTTAAATGTGGACTATGTACATCTCTGGTGGAGGTTTGGCCACCTGCTGGAATGCCTGTCCAAAGTATGACATTTAACATATATATATCGCCACAGAGACAAGCAGGTGGCAGATCCTCCACCAGGAAAAGGTACATGGTGCGCCTTTAGAGTAACATAGCCTTCTCTTGAGAACAGTTTACACTCAAACCTTACCTCTGCTAAAAGTTGACCTTTAAGTTTGCAGTTCTTTAATACAGTGCTTTTTCAGTCTATCTTGTAAAAAACACACAGAAATGGGCTATAACTAAAAACTAAAATATTTTCATTTAATTTTCATTATCATTATTTTTGTTAACACTGAAATGAGTGCTGACAACTGGCATCTTAGTTAAATCTCTTCTTCTTCAGTCATTTACTTGGTTTGGTGATGTAGAGGAGCAGCAACTCTACTCTGAGCTCCACTTGACTTGACTGACCAAGTCACCTTCACTTTTAGAACTATTCTGCCACTGGGGAGACAGCTCATTTGAACCACTTGGGGTGATTCTTCACAACTGATTGGTTCCTTAAATGTGCCAATCCCTGCCTCCATCCTTGCCCCAATCATGCACAAAGCCTAGAGAACTCCTCCACTCCACGGGAACTCCACTTCAGCCTGCAGAACAAAGACAGCTTTTTGTGGCCTTGAAATTGGAAGTCCTTGTTCACATTCCAGCTGCTTCACCTGCTGTAAAACAAGCATGAGACTTTAAATTACCAATTAAATCTAAAAGATACAATACAAGTTATTGTTAATGTCCATATGACAGGTTTTCATGTGTTTTCTAATTATTACTTTTTGTTTTGTTAGTATCTCACCAAATCTAATATCTGTGAGAAATGTTTAAACCAGTTTTACATAAGTTAAGTGGCAGTTTGTGGAAGAACACTTGTGAAGTAGCAGTGAGATCTAAAACAGAATACTTATATCTATGTCAACACCAAAATTTACAATTATGCACTATGAAGGCATCTTTTTGGCAGTTTAAACCTTCATTTTAGTGACAGGTTAGACTGCACTCATTTCACTAAAACACAGTTAACATCAACAAGATTTTATTCAAAAGTTTTCTCAAGGTTTTTAGGTGTTTTATGTTTGTTTGTTTTTTTGACGTCTGGTTTGACATAGGTAGCAAATATGAAATATGAAGAGGTACTTACAGTACTTACCATACTGTAGACAAGCTCCAAAAACTGTTTGCATTGCACAACAGCTACGATTAAACTAATAAAAACAGATGACGACACCTCTATTTTCTTGAATCAAAATTTAATTAGTATTAAATTTATTTAGTCTATATCTGTCAAAAAAAATCCTTGAGTGTAAATCGTCCCTAGATTTGGGATGGAATTTTTATTGAAGGTAGCGATATTCTGTTTTAAAATGCTACTTTGTGGAATTTTGTGCTTTCCTTTTTGATCAATATTTTCCACGCGTACTACCACACCAAACCAAGCAGAATTAGAAAACTGTGAAAATCTAACCAGCCTCATACACTGTCTGAATTAATACTGTCAACTCTCAAACTTTGATCTTGAAGGTTGGCATAAATATAGCAGCTTTAGTTTACGTCTAAATGTGGAAAGGTCCTGTCAGGGAAGACATTTAGGAAAGATAAAGGTCTCCCTCTCCCCAGCCTGTGCTTAGCCTGGGCGGGCAGTGTGCGGAGGTGAGGGGGGGGGAGATGGAGGAGGTGGGGGAGTGCGTCATTATCAGCACATGCCAAAGTGGGCTCCAAGCATGAGTTATGCCTCTGTCCTTATTGGTGACGTTTTGGGAACCTTTGGAACAGAAATGGATGTGGGATTGGAGCAGGAACATACAGTGCAGTGTCCAAAAGGGAAATGTACAAAGTGGCACACGTGTAGGCTACATGAATAAGTCACCATGGTTTGAATGTGAAACACACCATTTGTCAGAAAACCTAAAGAGTGCTTTCTGTGTCTGAACAGTTCATGAAAAACAAGAAGCACTCTACACATAAAAAAATGCGGGAATGACAATACACACAGTACAATCAAATGTCTAGCACAATACACAAATGTTTTGTATTTCTGGTTGCTTTTTAGGTTTTTGTGAAGGGGTTATTGCAATTTTTTTGAATGAATCAACTTTTTCCATGTTGAGAACTTGAAATTGGACCTCCTCAAAGTTGAAGCTATTGGTTTCAGATGACATCACAACACAACACAGGAGGAATACAAATAATGAATACAGATGGAGGGCAGCTAAAATTAAAATGGTTAAAAATCCAGTGAGTAATACAGCAAGTTCCTGAATTTAGTTTATAACTGAAATACCTGGTTCAACATTTGTGAATTTGGAACGTGATCTGTTGACTAGACCCAAGACCATGCTATATTATAACAAAAATCTGCAGTTGAACAATATTCATTTTAGGTGCCCCCCATCTGTATTAAATAATACTCACCTATAGAATGTTGTGATGTCATCTGAAGCCCAGCAATATAGGCACTAAGCTGTCCAGTGTTCTAGCCCAACTTTATTTAAGAATTAGTAACCAGTATTATTCAGATCATGCCAAATATAACTGAGAATTTGGGGCATTTTTACTGGTAGCATTAACTTTACTGATGGAGAGATTGAAAAAAAATACTGTAACTGTTGTAGTGCATTACATGTATAATGAATATGCTTGTCGCTATTAAAAAAAAAAGCTTTACATGCATTGCTTTCCCTGGATTGTTACACAATGACATTATACATTGTTGGTGCATTGTTAGCTACTGTGAGCGTGGTTGGACAGGTGGCGGCACTTCCCTCTATGGACATATGGAGATACATAAGCTGGAAGGCAAGGCAATAACATCTCCATTGGTTTAAAATGTTACATAGTGCATCTTAAAAGGTCCTATATTAAGTAAATTTACATTACAATGCTCAAATCTCATCAAACACATACCTGGAATTGTGTTTTGTTTCATTCACACGTTTGTTTGAGTAATACTTTATTATTAGTCTGTCTGCATCTCCAAAGCTCAAAAGGAGTTTTTAAAACAGTAGAGCACTTCCTGTATTATCACATGACTTCACAAGGTGGAACAGTGTTTTCTGTTTGACATAAGAACTCAGCCTAAATGTGCAAAGTTTGTGTGTTAAACATGTATGACTGAAACAAAAATCCAGGTAGACTGTTTTTGATGAGGAAACGACTACTTATTATAATACAGATCAGAAAATGGCCCATAACATGTACATTTCTATCTCTGTAAACCACACTTGTCGAATGAATATGTCTAGTCTAGGGTTAATTTGAAACCAGATGACCATGACCCTTGGAAGCCTACTGAAAAGCCTTATTCTTGGATTTAATTTGGAAAAAATGTCCAAGTGCGGCACATGATCAGCGCACTGGCTCGTCTCACCGGTGGAACAGCTGCGCGCTCACGTGACGCAGCTCCACTTTCACATGTTTCTCTTCTCTCTGAACTCATCAACGAACTAGCTTAAACTCTCTTCAGTTTCCGCGACAATTATTTACAAAGTGAAATGTAAGTCTGAACTTATTTTAACCGCGCCCTGATTCAGTTAATTTGTTAAAAAAAACTAAAAACGCTAAACTACAATATTGGTTAATGAAGGCTAGCTAGCGATATGAGTTTGTTTTTCTTAATAAACAAATACGGTCATGCGGTGAAGAGTATTCAATGAAGTGGATATGGAGGAGGACACAGTAGAGGACCATCTTCTTCTGTACGCTAAAGAGGGCAATTTGACCCTGATCCAGAGCCTCCTTCAGTCGAGGATTAGCCAGAACATCTCTCTCAACATCAATTGTCGTTGTAAGTGAAAGATACCGTCATTATTAGCATGCACGTGCGTTCATACGCTGCTAATATTATGTTTTTATTTCAGTTAAATGGAAACCGTACTCTGGATGGACCCCTCTACATCTAACCTGTTTTCATGGACATAAAGATGCAGTGGAGGAATTAGTAAAGGTGCCTTGCTTATTCTAAATCTACACTGGCTGCTTCCTGGGTTCAAAATGATATTGGGAAACTTTGTTAATTTTGAGAAAAAAAATTAATAAATGAAAGGTGCATTATGTAACTTTTCTAGTAGAGGGTCTGCAACCTGATTGTTTCCATGGATATGTTATTGCTATATCTTGAAAGCCCTAAAGAATGGCATTAAACTTGTCTATATCCATGGAGACAAGCAGATGACACTACGAAGCAAAGGTACAGGTTATATCTGTGAAGAGGCAACCCCGCTCATAGTAAGAATGTATGTTTTTCAGGGAATTTTTGAGCATAAATACACCCATAGTTGTATAATATGGAATGTTCCACAGGGCATTAAACATATCTGCCTTGCATTTAATCAATTACAAGTGTTTTACAGCTCAGAAATACCTTGAAAAACATGAATTCGCATCATGTGCAGGCTTGCTTCTCCATAGACGTATTCATTAACTTGTGATTTCCAATTTTTTTTCCATATTTTCAAATAATCAAGACAAAGCAATATCTGGAGCCAAGCAGGTGGTGGACCCTCTAATGAAGTGTATTTCAGTTCTTCATGGGTAAACTTGAAAGATGTGTTCCTTAAACATAAGAGGCTTATAAGGATTACTATTTCTATTTTACCCTTGTTCCTTTCATTCATTTATTTTTACTCTTTGTTATCAGGAAAATCTCAGTTCAAACTAGAAAAGCACTCAGAGAGCGCAGACCTCCGCCAAGGACTATCCCCATTTTTTATGTAAATTGCAATAAAATCAGTCTTCTGGATCAGATCCGGATCAGCCTTTGGAATATGAAAGAGGATCCCATTGTCCATCCCTGAGTCAAATTTCATGGGGTTTGGTCAATAATTAACCGAGATATTGAGAAACAAAATTTTTGGCCCCATTTACCACAATGTTAACTAAAATTTCAAAGTGATCCAGAATCCAGGATTTCTTCCGGATCACCCCCAAAATGAAATCAGTTCTTCCTTTTCACATTTCCAACAAATCCTGAAAATTTCATCAAAATCGGTCCATAATTTTTTGAGTTGTGTTGCTAACAGACAAAAAACAAACAAACAAACAAACGCCGGCAAAAACATAACCTCCTTGGTGGAGGTAACTATCAAATTTATATTAGTTATTAGTTTTGCTGACCAAAGGAATGCAATTTCTGTCTTGGTTTTGATGCTTACTTTTTATCTCGTGTTTATTTAGTTTTAGCCAATGAAAATATTAAATTAACAAAACGATGACAAATTGTCTTTTACTCGACAAAATCAACAGTGGTAGAAAGCAATATGTTTACTGAATTTGAAATGAGCAATGTTTTGATTGGAGTATGCTAATCATAATCAATGATAATATAATCACACCATGTTATTGCAACCTCTGATGACTGAGCGATATTAAATCCGTGGGACATTTGTAGGCAGGGGCCGATGTGAATTTGCAAGACGATGCGGGTGACACAGCACTACACAAAGCCGCCTCCACTGGAAGAACGGTAAAAATGAAAAAGTGCAAGTGCTCTCTTTCTCTCTTTCTATCTCTATCTATTATTCTATCGCTCACACACTCTCTCTGCTGTGCTGATGTAACACTGCCTGCTTTCTAACTAATGTCTGTAGAAATTGCCGTCACCCAAATGTCACCTCACTTTTTCTTAAGTTTTATGGGTCCACTTCCACTCTGTTACTCACTTCACTTCCCCTCTAAAGGAGATTGTCTTGCTGTTGCTTCGCTATGATGCATGTGTCGACATTATCAATGGAACAGCCCAAGTCCCCAAAGATGTCACGGAGGATGATGAAATCGTTACAATGCTGGAGGGTATGATATGACGTTTGTAAACGTTTGCGTTGGCGTCTCATTATTGTGGATTGAATAAATGTTTTTGGGCTTTTGCAGCTGCAGAGAGACGGGAGGCAAGAAGACGGGAGAGGAAACTTCAGGAAGCAGCTCGAGAAGGAGACTTAGCCACTTTGTCCAAACTGGTTTGTGATGGAGACTCAGAGTTGTTAAAAGTGGAGGGAATGAGTAATATTAGTAAATAATGGGTTGCGTTTATTTATTTTTTTCATTTAGTAGTTGTACAGTACAACCACAACTGAACTTTAAACCCCTTGTCAAATCCATGGGTTTCAGGATTATGAAAAGTTAGGGCTGTCACTATGACTGTACTCAAAATATCAATACATTAATGTATCAGTACGGACTTCTTGGCACTTCGTGACACTTTTAAACAATGGTAATTCATTATAAATTGCAGAGTTATACAATTCACTACCTGCTAATAGATAAAAAAAAGTGACTTATTCATATGTTTTTACATTATGGTCATTGTGAACATGACATCCTAATATTTTATTCTACATAATCAAAATATACATTTAGTTCATTTAAAAGATTTTTTTTAGGGATGTATCATATTTGGACCCTGTATCTCGAGCCATATTGTATAATGACATACTTGGCAATAGGCAGTCCTAACTGTTACCATAGCAATTAACAATTCAAAACAAAATAATACATCTTTAGAATGACCAACCTTCCTCAAAAATGGCACCATATTTAATTGGAAGATGAATCCCATGAATACAGAAGACTCATGATGTCATGTTTAGAGAGCCCTTGCAGTTTTAGTGGTGAAATCCATCAAACCAAAGTGAGGAGATCTTAGAATAACCAGCTTGAGAACCAACAAGATAATTTTATATCAAGCAAATATATATTTTAAAATTGTACTTTCTGAATAATTAGTAGTAAATCAATTTGTTTACATCATGATGTAAGACTTAAAAAATTGCTACCTCAGATGTAATGATTCTTTTGTAACCATCATATATTGCAATTCTTCTTTTTAATAACCATTTAACTCTTTCACGCATTTCTTAAGCTCACTGGAAAGAACCATCCAAATATTCACTGCAGAGACTCAGTGGGGAACACGCCGTTACACTGTGCCGCCTACAGAGGGCAGAAGCAGTGCATAATAAAACTGCTTAAGTCTGGAGCCAAACCAACCATCAGAAACAGCAATGGTATGAATAAACCTATTACCTCACTTTACCTTATCTTAGCTTATTATTTTAGGTAATGCGTGCTAACGTGCATGTTTTAGCTCCTGTGTTCTGTCTGTTCCAGAGCAGACAGCTTTGGATGTGGCTTCCACTGATGAAATAAGACAGATATTAACAGCCTGTCAGCAAAAGGTAACTGAGTCCTCACATCTTTTTTGTGTAAACATGTCCTCACAGAACCCATGGGACTGCTGTTAAATTTGCACTTTAGCTGCAAGACACTGGGGAGCCTTCCTCATTATTTTGGTGATCCTCTGACCGCTGTTCTTGAAGCACTGAAACTAAATAAAATGAACACCTTTTGAGAAAATATAATTAGCTCCCCTCTCCTATAATATTTATCTATTTAACTTTTTGCTGTCTCATACCATTTTCTGTTAAGTTCAATTACAAGGCATGTTTTTTGTACTTTGTAATGAATAATTGTTGTTGGAAGTAGAACACAGAGATGTCTATGTGTAAGAGTAATGGCTATTTCTTTTGTGCAGGAAGTGAACAATGGTGTGCCAATGATTGAAGGCCCTCTTTGGAAGGTACCCAGATGTTGGAGTGTGTTCTTTCACATTGTAAACAAGCCTGGTGATGGAATTTTGTTCGGATATGAGGAGAAGACAACAGCAAAACAGTGTTATGATTTTTTTCTACCCAATGTTTTGTGTGCAAATAACGTGTTTGTGTTTTCTAATTATTACTGGGTTTGATGGGATAGTGCTGTGGTAAATATAGTTTTACATCAGTTATGAGGCAGTTTATGAAAAAAATTGCAAGAAAAGACAAAATACAAGACGTGGCAATGAGGAATACTTCTACCTACGTCATCTACACCAAAAATTTCATCCAAAATTCACGGACAATTCATGCTCAAGGAAGGCATTTTCCTGGCATGCTAAACCTTCATTAAACAAAATTAAGGTGTGGTCATTTATTTTTACCAGTTTAATCATAACTTGTGCAATTTCAACACATTTTGGCCCTGTTAACATTATGGTTGCTAGGTAACAGTTATGGAATAACCTATAGGCATGTCATGAACTAAGCAGAAAAAGGCTGTATTTTATAATATTCTGTTAATTCTGTTTTGGGGAAATGAGTAGACTAACCTGTCATGTACTTTTAAGTCCTCTGTGTTGCCTACCAGAGTTCCAGATTTATTGGATGGCGATTGCATTGGGTGGTAATTAGGGAGGGTACCTTATCCTGGTACCACACTCAGTAAGTTAATTGGATTAGCTTAATTATTTATACCAAAAAGAAAATATCCACATCTGTATATACTTTACATTGCTGTGTGCATTGGCTCATTACTTCAAATTTCCATCTGTCTTTTTTAGGGCAGATGCTAAAGCAGGTGTGCGGAAACAAGGCAGTGCGTCCCTATCACAAGCTTACTGTATGGTAAGAAAAGGGCATATGCTTTTTTCTGTTATTTAGAGTTAAACTATAACATGCATAGGTCATATGTTACATTTTTTCATTGTAAACAGCTATGATCTAAATTACAGGAATAGTTTAATTAAAGACATGGGTCCACTTTAAACCAAACATGTATGTATACATTTTTTAAATAATTGTAAATAAGTTCAGGACATTGTGTGGGGATAGGGGGTAGGTGAAAACGAAAATTTGCTGAGCCTCAAATGGAGAACCATACAGGATTATATTTAGAAATTCATTTTGAGATTTCTCATGCATGCATGCATCAGTTTAAATACAACTCTGAGTAAACTAATGATGAAGAAATACAATTCTAACATGCTTAAAAGTCTTAAAGTTGAATTTATGTAATATGTCCTCTTTAAATTAAAATTACTTGCTTATTTCTCTCTAGGTGAAACCATGGGATCATTGCTTCTTCATGCTCAGGTGTTTTGACGGCACTATTCTTAATTTCAAAGTCTCCCCAACAATACATTCAATCACAAAAAGAAAAGTGAGATCACCCACAGTACTTTCAGTGTTGTTCAGACTATTTTGGATCAACTTGATTAAGTATTGTGATTTTTGTGAATGTAGAAATGGTTAGAAGCCATAGATGCACATGCAGCGTTTGGCCATCAGCACAAGATTCAAGATCATGTGACAGACGAAGAGGAACTCAATGACCCAGCTGTGGCAAGCTTCGCCCAAGCTCTTCAGGTAGAGCATCACATTTGTGACAGCGGACTTTAACAAGGATAACACTGTTCATTGCTTCTTGTGTTTTTTCAGACTGCCAGTGCTTGCCAACAGAAACTGGAGAAGGAAGTGTCAATATTTTTGTCTTTGGTGAAAAATGTGCAAGATGGTGGTACGTGAATGAATTTGTCTACTTATCTTCGTATGACTAGTCATGAACTGTGGTATTTATTTATATTACTGTGGAATTATTATTATTAGTCTCTTTCTCAAACTAGACAAAATACAAATTAAATAGAATTCTCACCTCGCAGCAAGAAGGTTGTGGGTTCAATTTTCTCTATTTGTCATTATGCCCATATTGTACATTGACAAATTGCTAACTTATCTGCATGCTTTAGAAGGTAGGGAAAGTAACTATAGGAAACCTATGTAGATAAGGAAAAACATTCAAACTTCCAACAGACAGACATAGAATGGGGAATAGAACCCAGGACCCTCTTGCTGCAAGGCAAGAGAGCTAAGCATTCAGCTAGTATAAAGGTAAAGTTTGCATGCCCGGTGTGTGATCAGTGAAGGGTTGTGACTCTTGAGTTAAACCTTTTCCTCATTGTATCTTAAGTTACTGGGAGTGGAAGATGAACAGACTCCTCTTTTTGCAGCAATCGATCCATCCATTTCTCTGAAAGCCAAAGAGACCAGTGAGCTTTCAGCTGAAACCGCCGCTTCTCTACACCTGTGTCTGGAACTGCTGTCCAAACAAGAGGTTTGAATTCCAAAAATTATTGAAATAAATGACAACAGGTTAACTTTTTGCAAGTAACTGTTTCAAATTTAAATTTATTTTAATTTCTACTGCATCTTAAAAGTGTGATAACATATAATGAATTGTAGGGTCTAGTCACTGATGGAAACGATCTGGTTCAAAATTTGTGAACTTACTTTTTGGATAGTTCTCATAATATCCCCTCCTATTATGTACAACCAGACGTTCATATGCATCCTTCTAGCTTCCCCATGCTTTGTCTATGCCCTTGGGGAAAGCATTGGGACCGTGGAGTAATTATTGGCTGTAGCCTATAGCACGGACACCCAGGCACGATCCGGTTTTATGCTTAGCTCTGCATTCAGCCTCCAGACACACACGCGTGCACTCACACACATAGAATTAGGGAAAGGCACTGTGCATTGAGCGAGGGAACTCAAGCGCACGCATATTCACTGGCTCTGCTTCGGGAGGTACTCTGTCAGGGTGAAGGCACATGCTCGCAGACAGAAGACACACGTCCACAACATCAGGGACAAGACCGCCACACACAGAGGACAGTGACGCCAACATCAGGAGAGGTACCACAACTCCACTCTCTTCCAGAATCTTTGGCTTGTTTTGGACTTGGGAGGGCTGTAAGTTGCGGAGGGTAGTACAGTGTGAATTTGAATGCTAATGTGGGGTGGAAGTATTAGTAGTTGTGCGTTCTGATTGTCTGTCCTGTTAATCTAAGTGTTTAAAAATTGAATTTTTTGGTAAAGCATGAACTGGGGCTAGAGTAGGGCTGTGCATTTAATCAAATTTCAATCAAGACTGAGATTCTGTCATCTGTAATTCGTGAATAATAGGCTTGGATCTTTTTAACGGCGCAGTCTGCAGCAAATCTTCTATCAGTAAATCATAGTTTGGAGTTCACACTTTGAAAGTGTGTTTTTTTGGTTTTGTTTTAATTAGTTTTTATTACATGTCTACCTTATATTTTAGCATTTTTAGCAAGACATAATGAAATGAAAGCAAAAATTGTGAGTCATCATTATGAGTAAAAATTTATTGTCCCCAGCCCTAGTTTACTAGCTACTATAGTTTTTATTCTCTAAAAAATCACTGAACTCATTAATGTGCATTTTGTAATATCTTGTTAGTGATATGAAGGTATGTGTAGGCTGTGCAAGTAGTTAAATGTTTAGAATTAATCCAATTGCTTACAGATTGCAGTTATTGGCTTGGTCTACTGCCAATCATGTGTCACTTAAATGACTTTGGAGCTAAATTTGACGTTTATTAATGCTTCTGGAGTAGGCTTTTGTAGTTAATCTATGCTATGTTCTTGGCCCTTATTATTAAATAACCCATAATAAGCTATTTTCTGATCTACAGTAAGTTATACTGTTGTTTCCTCAATGCAAACATAGCTGGTTTTGTGTTTTGTTTCATTCACACAAATCCTGCATATTTCAGCTGAGTTCTCAAAATGGAACTACACTGTTCCACTTTCTGATGTCATGTGGTAATACAGGAAGTGCTCCACTGTGTTTTTAAACTCCATACACCTTCACTAGAATCATTTGGATGATTTCAGCCCCGAAATTGACAAGGTAACTGTTAACTTGAAAACTACCACTTCATGACATTACAAGGTGGAACAGAGCATTTTTATCTTTGGGGTTGTAGACGGAGTAATAATGCAGAATTACTGATATGTGTGAATGAAACAAAACACAACTGAGTATGTATTTCATGATGTAACAACATTATAACATGGATTAAAGATCATAAGAATCCACCCTGTGCAATATAGGATCTTTAAAAGCTTTTATTTATTTAGTTGATAACAATAAGATATATTATAACACTGAGAGTGATTCAGTCTAAGGAAAATGTATATTGTCAGTTTGAATACATACATTCAAATACAGTAGAATATCCTGTATATGCTCAAACAGTTCTAAATATATAGACACTAAGGACTTCCAGCTCATTAACCAATTGGGCCATGTTTACAGTGCATGTTATGACCTACCAAGTCATCTGGGAATGGGCAGATCTTTGCACCAAGCTAGTTTCACAAGTCATGGTGTTGTTTGGGAGAAAACTGCCACAGAAAAACGTGAAAACCCTTCATCTGGACTGACAGAAGGAAAAGCTGAAGTGTCTTAACAAGCTGCCAGACGTACCAGCCCAATCCTAAACCGCTGCCTCTACATTCACTAACGGGATTATATTTTCTGCAATGCTGAGTTTGACTCTAATAAGCTTTATGAAATCTAATCCTACAGTAACATTCTCTTAAATACACCGTATGTTTGTCTGTTAGGATCATAAAATAATGGTACACCAGTGTTCTTATCCTTTCATGTCCAAGCAGATGTGTACAAAAAAGGAGGATTGGAAGCTCAAAGGCTTTCTCGCCAATTACCGTATGCCGCCCGGGAGCAGAACAGTTGTAGGGTGACCCACTTGCACAGCTGCTAACCACACACACAATATGTAGAGTATAGCATGAGCATTATTATTAGCTTAGTTTCAGAATAGACATTTTTTAACATATTGCCTTGAAAGAAACTGCATTGGTTGTTCATTCATCCATCTGCCTGGGCTTGTGGCATGTTTTTGGACAGCACATTGAACACCTGTCGGGAAAATAAATCGAGGCTTACATTTCAGCCACTTAGCGGTGACAGCAGATAAGCAGATCTGTCTCCTGTGCTGCTGACAGCCGGGGAATGATAGTGCTTTGTGTTTGTGTGCTGTGGATGCTATCAAAGGCTACTAATGCTTTTCTGACCATCACCATTCAGCTGACCAATTTGTGAGAGTTTAGTTCCTCATCAAGCATAATATTGCAAAGAGTGGCTTGATGAACACGGCGCTGCCTGATAATGGCTGCGATTTACAGTATTAGGCAGTAAGTGAACATTTTGTTCTGTTAGGAGCAGAGAAAATTGAAGTTGGAGGACGAAAGCTAGTCTGATACTGAAGTTGTGGTGAAGTGTTCTGGGAGGATGGTGTTAACAGAGGCTTTGTTTACATGCACATCCAAAAATCTGATAAGACTTTTAACCCTAGTTATCTGATGTGAATAATCTGAGTTCATTTTGATTGTTCACACTGCACCTATTTTGACATGGAAAATTATGCAAAAAAGGGGGAAAACTAATGGAGCATAGACAAAAATGAAAGGGAAAATATTAAAGATTTATTTGTTGTTTAAAAATTCATTGTAGTTTGATTAACTGGCACTTGTTACCAGGTGTTTTTCATCAAATGTTGTGCATGTAAACACATTCCAAAAACAGATCTCATTATTGGGTTATCTGATTGTTTAGTTATCTGATTATTACTGGCCATGTAAATGCACATTATGCTCAGTAGGATAAGAGTTGTTACGCTTAAATGTATATATTACATACCAGAATAGTCTCTCTGTGCTTTTAAATCTCATTTTCATGGCAATCCAGGATCCAAAAGGGAATATATTGTTCATGTTTGTAGTGGTGGGGGAAACCATCGTAGCTGGAGGAAACCTACACACAGACACAGAGAGAACGTTCAAATCATAGTTTTTGTCTGTATTTATGCAACATCTAGCCATGCAGCAACAAAATCATAAGCAACTGTATATTCGCTGTCTGATGACTAATGTATCCAAGCATTTCAAAATGATAAAGTAAGAGCATTACTACAACAATTAACATTTTACAAAATGTTATTTCTTTTTAATGGAAAAATGCATATAACAGGAAGCTGAAACCCATGAATTGAATAAAGTGAAAGCTCGGCAGTTTGGGTGTGGGCCACCCAGCACCAGAGCAGTCCCAGAGCAGCACCAGAGCAGCCTGTCTTAGCCTAAAATAGCGCAGAGTTTGAGTCCTGGCGGAGGACGCGTCAAGAGCAGTGAAGCTGGCTACACAACACACTAGTTACACAACAAAGTATTCTGTTTCTGCTCAAGCTCCTATGCCAAATGACTGGAATCAACTGTAAGCACAAGCTCTATGTGTCCATGAGTTTCAGAATTATGAGAATTTTGTGCTGTTTCCTAAGTGAGTAACAATTTAAAACTAAATATTATCTCAATATGTCTTCACCAACTAAAAGTAAACCCTCAATATGTTGCTTATAACTGGAAGCTGAATCCCATGAATACACAGGCTCAGATGGCTATGTGCAACACTTAACAATTACATTACAGATTCCACAGATTCTGATTAGTGACATAAATTTGATGCATAAATCATATGTAAAAGAAGAAATTATAGATACAGTATTTAACTTACTGGAGGTGTCACATCACCTGCTTGATTTCATGAAAAAGTAAAAATCCAAAAAGAAACCATACATTGGAACATTTTCCAAAACCATGTTTTTGTTTTATTCTGTTTTTGTCTAAAAGCTACATACTGTGGCTTTATTATGACTTTTGATCTAACATTAAGTGCAGGGTAAAAGATCCCTACAATTAATGGGATGCTCTTTTTAAAACGGTAAATCAAATTCAGACTATCAATCAACTTAAGCTAATCAATATCACTAGAAAGGGCCAGTTCAGCAGTTTTCCAACACGCTGATCAGGTACAAAAACATTTTAGCAAATGCAAATACTTTTTGACCGCACACACACCCCTTTAAGCACTTTATTGCTGCAGTGGGGCAGAGGGCCAGGGACATTTGTAAAATATAATGCAGGATCCCAATAAGTTTCATCTAATACATAGTGGATGAAACCATGTATGCTATTTTAAATTACTTCAGGAAATTACTTTGTTCAGCTAAATGTAAATCAATATCATATATCAAATAAGCTGTCACATGCATTAACAGGAGGAAGACCTGCCCTATGGCTATGGCTGGTTTCCTGTGCTCTGGTCAGACTTTGGTAACAAATGCCCATAGGAAACAATGATCCAGCCTGTCCCTCTGTGTCCTTAGCTCAGGTTACTTCACAGTGATACTCAATCAGGCTGCACAGATCTGTCCCAGAGCAGGGTGTTTGATTCACAAGAAACTAGATCTGTAACGCCTGTCTGAACCATGGCCTGTGTCAAAACCATCAACACAGATACTCTCTAATACAACAAACTAATCAATAACTTTCAAGTTATAAATATATCAGTACTTTTATTCATTATTTGCATTATGTTTATTCCTGATGTCCTGCTCCAGGTGTGGAGCCTGAAGTTGGAGCAGGAGGAGGAGAAGAACAGAGCTCTGACTGAGGCGCTGCAGTCTCTCTCCTTTGAGAACCAAGAGCTAAAGGCGTGTGTACGTAGCAACAGGAAGTGGACAACCATCAGTGCCCTGACGGAGGATGACTTCTATGATGCTCTTTCAGGTCAGCGTGGCTCTAGCTAGGCTCATTAGGGAGCTCGAGTTACAGCTTGTTACATGTATATGGGTTCATCAAGGCCAAAAGGTGGGTGTCAGTGGTGGGTTTGAAGGTGCACAGCTCGGTCCTGAGATATTTAAGCTTGAAAATCAAATTGACCTCTGCACCAACTGTCAATAAGACAGTGAATAAGATTATACCATAACATTCATGTATCAAATTTAAAACTTGACTTTTGACTGACTCTCCCAAAACAATTTTCCAATGAAAGTTCTTTCATTGAGGCACAGTATTCTTTCCATTATATTTCATTTGAAGTTGTGCTTTCATATGATTTCATCATATTTGTGTCTTTAAGTCAGATGGAAAAAATACACAGTTCTGATGACTGTGCCACACTGTGTCATCTACACAAATTGGAATCATATTAATAGTGAAGAGTAAAAATTGCACTGCTCATGCTGATTTAATGGTCATTATACAGTAACTGCCTGGATGCTGTTTGTTATAACACAATACAGTTCTGCAGTAATTATGAGCAGGAGACTAGTTTGCACATGTTAGCATACTGTGCAGCAGTCTCTCCAAGGAGGCCTTACATTATTCATAGATAGCCCTTAGTTTCTTTTGGTCTGCCTCAATACTCCAGAGACAAAAACTCTGCTCTGCATTAATAGAATATGCTCCCATGTCCTGTATCTATACTGTATTTAAACCACTTGACCACTTGAGATTCAAGGTCCAGTGACCAATTCTACTTCTCTGTCCTTTTTTACACACTGAAAATATAAGTTGAGCCTGAGACACAAAGCATAGAAGATATCTAAACCTGGCTAGTATGTGCCTAAATAGATAACAAAATTTGATACTCAAATAGCATTGAAATTTGACTAAGCCACACTATAACTAATGTAAGCCTTTCGATTCCTTTAATTAGCCTAATTACCTTCTTATTACTATAACTTTGCATACTTTATTCCTGACTTCTACCCACAAAACATTTGAGTAGGAAGACTTTTGTTTTAGATTAATAAACTTGTGTGCCAGTTATTTGGACATTAATGATTATAATGAGCATCTGCATCCTCTCAGTGTGCACACAGCCATCATTGTCATCATCTCTCATTGCATTTGTCTAGGCCTGGTGTGTATGGGCGAGTGAGTGAGAGAGGGGAGGGAGGGGGAGCGTGCAGACTGCACAGTGCAAACAATGTCGGAGGAAATGAAGCCGGTGCGCAGGCCGCTCATTGGAACACAATCCTCAGGTGGGGGTTGTCTGGCAGCACAGGAACTCAACACAAGCGCTTATTTGCGAAGAGTATCCTGCCGGGACGTGGAGCTGTAGTAGCCTTCTGCCGCCCGCTCCAACCCGTACGCCATTGTTGTTTTTGGGCATGACCTGGCACCTGCCCCCCCTCTCCGTTCTTCCACAGAGTCGGACTCAGAGCTGTCGGTGAGCGGTTTCCTGTCTGTGGCCAGTCGCTCGTTTGAAGAGGACGAGGGGAGAGACGCCCCCCTTCTAAGCAGCAGCAGCAGCCTCCGCCATCCCAGCGCACTCTCGGGGCCTACCGGAATGTCAGGGGAGGGTAACCATGGCAACCCGGCAGACCAACACAATGGAATCAAGCAGCACAGGTGGGACAGCTTCTGTTGTGATCTCAGACTTGTTTACCCCGGCTGAATGGTGCCAAAAAGGAGGTGTACAGCTAGGCTTGTTATGAGAATCACTAGAATGATGTATTTTCCAGTACTCGAATACTGGCTTATGTGCATGTGTTTACACAAATTAGGTACAAATTGTCAGCGAGTAATCTCCTAATAGAACTACTACCTATTCTATTCTAGGGTTTCAGCTTGCTCTGTATAGGGAACATTTTGAGGTTTTGCATTGTTAATTGTTATGACAGTGGTGCAATTTTTTTCTTTGAAACCGATGGATATATGAGTTTCATTTATTGATTGATTCCTTTATTTCTAGTGGAAAAAATCTTCATTTATATCATCACATGTTCTAAAAAACAACAAATACTTTTCTACATTTCTCTGTCAAGTTTATATGGTGTAGTTTTAATATATATTTTTAACTGCAGAAGTATACTGCTTGTGGTTTTTAGACAATTTATAAAATACTTTGATTATAAGATTATTGTGTCAGATCCTGCACCCAATGTACTGACTTTTTAGTAACAATACTTTGTCTTAGCGTCAATACTTAAACATTACATACTTATACTTGTACGTGTACTACTACTTCGATTCAGACTTTCGAAGAGATGTCTGTATTTAGCAGTCACCTCTTCCTGAGCGCCGTGCATACTTGATTGATCACGTGACCAGTTGGCGTGCGGGTCTGGTGACAGGGTACAGGGCAACGGGCCTCTAAATGGTCGCTGTAAGAAGATATCTGCTTTCCACTCTGCTGCTTTGTTTTTGCACTCTGCTCTTTGGCTCTACTCCATAGAGACACAAACATATTTTATACAGTACATTCAGCTTCCAGGGCCATATTTTGTGGTTTGTACTGTTTGTGATGAATAGATACGCTTCCTAATTTGTGGGGATACTGATTTTGTGTTGGCTGTTCTTACTTAATTCAACAAGTGAATCATGAATATTGGATGAGGGAGCCGGAGCAGAGGCAGAGGTGCGTATGCAGTGGCCATTACAGATGTATGAGCTCTCTGTTTATCTGGGAGTCCTCCTGTCATTTAAATGTGCCCCGGCTTCAGCTCGCCATTGGCTCAGTTTAACCCTATCAAAACACTAAAAGCTCCCCATCTCGACCATTGCAATCTAAAGGTGTCCTGTGTAACTTTTCTGCTACCTCCTTGTTGTCATGGAGATTTGATTGTATTACCTATGCTGTTACATATCATGATATTAAACTTGTCTATCCGGTATTTATTCAGTTACAAGTGTCTTTATGGCTCACAAAATACAGATCTAACCTGTAATTTTTCCTGTTTGCATCACCCGCTTGTCTCCATGGAGATGGACAAGTTTAATGCTGTGTTATGTAACATTCCAGGCAAAGCGAAAATACTTCAGTGGAGAAAAGCAGATTGTGGACCCTTCCCCAGAAAAGTTACATAGTGCACCTTTATTAGTTATATCAAAAACATAATTAAGATTGTGAATTGAAAAAATAAAAATAAAAAATCCGGACGATGTCTGTGTAAAGACACTGACTTGACTTGATATAGTTATTAGATTAAATGGTGTGGTAGATCATAATGGATACAATTTATGACATTGTTTCATGCAGTCTGAGATAATTCCATCTTTCAAAAAAGTTAGATTAGAACTTCATTTGGAAGAAAATGGAATTAAATAAGATATAAATTATTAAGGCTGGTTGATATTGATTGACAGATGAACTGATGAATGCCTAAGCTCTTGCCAGTCTGTTAATGATAAATCCTATTCAAATAAGTAGAGTTGTCAGACTTATAGGTAATTAGATGCTAATCAGTACTGAATTAATACTGAAAATAGACACTCATTTAAACAATTATTATTAAACATTAACAGGACAAAATTTGAGCTTTAATAAACAGTTTTACTAGTTTGAAAAAGGCTCAAAATAAAAGACCTCACTTTAAGAAAGTACTATTATTTTAGGTATGAAAATTTCATTATATATATATATATATGTTTTTATCTTCATTTTGGTATCATAATCAGTATCAAGTATTGAGTCAATTCCTTGAGTTACTGAGTTTGGAATTTTAGTATCGTGACTAATAACACAGTTCATGTTTTGTTTAGTTTTAAGTATTGAATGTTAGTGATACTTCTAAAATTCAGCCTTCATTCTGTACAATTTTGAATTGCAAACCACTGCATATTATATCTTAGAAACGCTCCCAGAAATCTTGACCTTTCAATAACACAACACACTCACCACAACGTCCATTAGTTTTCATCTTGTGCATTTTCAGTCTGCTGATCTGAGAAAATAGCATCCAAGAAAACCATCCCGCTAAAGGTTATTAGAACACAAAATGGGTCAGACAGACAGCGCTCTCATACATCATAAGAGCAAACTCAGTATTCATAGTTATTTAGCCAAAATAACCACTCTCTGCTAAAGAGGGCCACCATCTGCTGCAGGCTCCACACTGTACAACATTGCACACTCGAGTTGTCAGCAAGTCTGCAGTGCAAGATGGTGCTGAGTCAAAAACACAGGCTAGCTTGTCTACAAAACAACATGTGCACTCAACCTTTTTATTTTAATTAATTCCTGTTTGTGTAATTTACAGAACAAGTTTACCGGCTCCCATGTTTTCCAGAAATGACGTCAGCATCTGGAGTATCTTGAAGAAATGTATTGGCATGGTAAGGACAAATAAAAAGCTTTAGTTTTTTTTTTTTTGTCATATGTATTATGACGCAATATTATACAAAATTGACTCCTGTGAGTTGTAAGCCATGTTAGAATGTTACCTCCTCAAAAACATACTTGGAGTTGTTTTGTTTCATTCACAAACATTGAGTAATCCTGCATTATTAGTCTGTGTACATCTCCAAAGCTCAAAATTTTCTGTTCCACCTTGTGATGTCATGAAGCAGTAGTTTTCAAGTTAACAGCTACCTTTTCTCTTTTGTTCAGTAGTAGACTAGCAATACAGACTTAAATCATCCAAATGATTCTAGTGAAGGTTATTGGAGTTTAAAAACACAGTGGAGCCCTTCCATTGTGTCCATATTACCACATGACATCACAAGGTGGGACAGAGTGTTTTCTGTCTGAGAGAAGAACACAGCCTAAATATGCAGTTTTTTTTTGTGATAAACATGTGTGAATGAAACAAAACAACGCAAAATACTTTCAGCTAATGCATATTACAAGTTTTCAATTGATTGAGTGGAGTGGTATTAGCCTCACTGAAGTCAATATACTGGAGTCCCTCAGGATCCTTGTCTTTAACTGCAGTGCCTGATTGGATTTAATTACGCTTATTAATTTTCTAATCCTAATTAATAGCAGTTCATTACTTACAGTTCCGTTAGCATGCAGGTCAGGATTAAATGGTGTCAGTTCAAGGCGCTGTACCTGATTTGTCATTAAAAACATGAAAAAATTGACTAGTTCATTTTAAAAGATTTGAGCATCCAAATTTTTAACCATTTCACTTTCACATTTTTTAGAGGCCAGAAGTCACAGTAATGCGAACAACAATACTAACTGCACGCTTTGTGATTCTCTTGCAGTAAAAGACTTTATAATTATATGCAGACAGCGGGTATATTTTGACCTCAAGAGCTGCTTATACAATATATAACTACTGGAGCAAGACACATTTTGCTCAAATACATCAAGTGCCTACCTTTTTACACTATACACAGACTATTTGTTTAAAAGGTCTTATCTCTCAACAGTTCAGGCTCTCATTTGAATTTGGTTAGTTTGAATCTTTTAAAACAGGGAAACCAATAAGGCAATAGGAAGTTACTCACTGCATTTGTTAAAACTGTTACTAACTGAAACACACCCTTACTTGCATCAATCTAACAAGTTAGTATGGCCCCTAACAGGTGAAGTTAAGCTGTTAAATGTTTAATCTTCAAAGTAAAAGAAGCTAGAAAATGACTATGAGTTGTGAGCCTTATCATTATTTGTTGGCACTGACTACATAAGTTTGCCAAATTAACACTATTTGGCCTTAAGTTCTTGACCAAACACGTAATAGTTGGCAAATAGTGGCACCACTTTCTGGGGCTACTGATAAAATAGTTAAATTTTTGTTCATTTGTGCTGACTGAGAGGACAGTGAGCTTGGTACCATTTTTTTTTCTCTATAGGTCATTAGAGATATGAAGATACTCATTTGAGCAGTTATCGATACAACAACAAAAAAGTCACATTTACAGGACAAAAATGAACAAGTACAGTATAAGACCACATAGACTAGCCCATGGACCACTATGGAACCTACCTGGATGACTGAGGGATTACATATAAGACCACACTGTAATATAAAAGAAAGTACAGTGATTTAATGTTGAGGATCACATTCTATTGTCTAATAAGTGTTTTTAAAGTATCATAGTGGTATTGCTATCAAGTTTATTCCTTAGTATCAAAATCGTGTTTTAAACATTTTGTATTGTGACAATACTGGTATAAATATTTCTGATTGTTTTCTTTTTCAGGAGTTGTCTAAAATTGCAATGCCTGTGATTTTCAATGAGCCCCTGAGCTTCCTGCAGCGGCTCACAGAGTACATGGAGCACACCCACCTCATCCACCGGGCCAACGCCGCCACAGACTCTGTCGAAAGGATGAAGGTACCAGCCCACTGTTTAGTGCCCTTAGAATTATAAACTTCTGTCTGCGTTCTGGGTAGGTCTGAGATAATGGGTTTTGTTCAAATTATTCCCTGGTTTAATGAGACGGTACCTGTGGTAAATATTTATCATAGTTTTACTTCAGTCACGTGGCAGTTTGTAGGAATAAAGTTAAAATGTATGGGAATTAGTAGTGAGTTCTAAAATTAAATACCACTACATATATCATCAATACAAAAAATTCCTTTGAAAATGCAGAAAATTTATTGGCAGTTTAAACCTTTTAGCAAAATAATATTGTGGTCATCTATTTGTATTACTCTAATCATAACAATTTTTTTATTATTAGTTTAAACTGGTACATTTTCAACCTGGTTAATAATTATGGAATTACCTGTATGTATGTCATACCTGGTGCCCATGTCCAATCAGGAAGTAAAATAATACAAAATTTAAAAACTTGAAAAAACTAGTCCAGATTTTTTTTCTAAAAGCCTAAGTATAATATGTTATGTTTTCTGGGTTTTTACATGGTTTTAACCAAAAATGACTAAACCCTACAAAATCGAACAGTGCACAGAAGATATTCAGGAACAAGAATGTATGAATCACTTAGTCAGGTCCAACCAAAACATCAGGTAGAACATTATAATTCTGAGGGGAACATTTGTACATGGAACAATATCATCATTACTAGTATCTGAATGAGCCTAATCTAATTCTACTCCATTGCTTGGTTGGGGGCAGTGTGTAGCAGCTTTTGCAGTGTCAGCTGTAGCATCGCAGTGGGAGAGGACCGGAAAGCCTTTCAACCCTCTCCTCGGTGAAACCTACGAGCTAATCAGGTGAGATGCTCCACTGAACAATACCTGCAGGGGGGAGCCATTCACAAATGCTCTGTGTTCATGTGTACAACTCTCTCTATAAATGATTCACTATGTCATTTTTCTGGTGTAGGGCTGATCTGTCACCTGCTTGTCGTCATGGAGATGTTATTGCTTATCCTTGGTTGTAATTATCCAAAGACTTATCATTTGAGATTCGTTGAAATTGTCCAAAATGTTAAACTTCTAAGCATCATTTTCTAATAATACTTTTGTCAGGATTGTTAAATTCACATTAACTAGCTGTTTTGAAGTATGAATAAATTATTTGAGTGATTTTCCAACTTCAGGGAACTAATCAGTATTTGATAAAAGAAAAGTATTGCTAATATTTAGGATCATGTTTCTAATTGCTCAAAAACCTCTTGGAATCACTGCCACTCAAAAACAACTTAGGTTAGTAGGGCTGTAGGCGACCAAAAAAAATGTAGTTGACTAAAAAGGGGGCGTAGCAAAAGCTCTTGAAACTATTGCATGTCTATGTATCTGACACCTGCTGGGGAGTTTGTACAAAAACAAGTATTTATCTAGAAAAAAAGGCAGATTAAACACCAACTCCCAGATCTTCAGCTAACTCACTCCATACCTTCTGCTTTCATATGTTGCCCCATATTAATCCTCATAATATAACCTGAATAAAACAGTATAATGAGTTGACTAATAGAAATTTTGGTTAACTCCATCAATTGACCGATTAAAGGCCTACAACCCTAGTCTTGTATTCACAACATCCACTCAGCTACAACAGAAAGTGAGTTTACCATAGATTTGATTTTGTAGGTTTGCCAATATTAAAAAGAGATGTTTTCTTGCCTAGTTGGTGCCACAGTATCAAAGCCTGTTCTTCTGTCTTGCAGGGAGGATTTGGGCTTCCGGTGGATGTCGGAGCAGGTGAGCCACCACCCTCCTGTCAGTGCCTTCCACGCAGAGGGCCTGAAGGAGGACTTTGTGTTCCACGGCTCCATCTACCCCAAGCTCAAGTTCTGGGGCAAAAGCATCGAGGCAGAGCCAAAAGGACTCATCACACTGGAACTGCCCAAGTGAGTGGACAGCTACTTAGTGTTTTTGCTTGTTTAGCCTTAAAGCATGACGACGTAATAGTGATGCAGACTTTGTAACTAACTATTTAACTATTTATTATGCTGTTTTCTGATCCATGTTATAATGTTGTTTCCTCATCAAAAACATACCTGGAGTTGTGTAATCCTGCATGTTTAGACTGAGATCTTCTCTCAATCAGAAAACACTCTATTCCACCTTGTGATGTCATGTGGTAATACAGGAAGTGTAACACTGTGTTTTAAATACACCTTCACTATAATCATTTCTGATAATTTCATCTGTGGAATCTCCAGTCTCAACTGAATTAAAGGTAAAACATAGCCATTAACTTGAAAACAACCGCTACATGACATCACAAGGTGGAGCAAAGAATTTTGAGCTTTGGAAATGTAGAGAGACTGATATTTAAAAGATTAAGATCAAACATGTTTGAATGAAACATGTTTTTGAGGAGTGAAGAATATTATAACGTGGATAAAAGCTCAAAAGAGTCAATTTAATATCCTTACTGTAACCCCTCGCCCTTTAATGAGGTAGTTATTATGAATAACATTTTTATAGAGGCCAATTAATGTGTATTTTTTATTAAACGTAACTATACTGTAGTTTCAGATGACAGCAAAACATAGACAAACACTATTTCATGAGTAAATAAAGTACAATGTTATCCATAGAGAAATCTGACACCCGCCTCATATCTAAGAGTATGACATCATCTCATTTTAAAATCTGAAAAACACCAATATTTAGAGATACTCAAAGCCTTTTGGTTGGTAAAAGAACAGTTAGATCTGTTCTGTTGAGTTGGAAATCACTTTAAGAGTTCATTTAAAAACTACTGTAACTTAATATTTAAAACATGCAGATTTGATCAAGAGGTTGTGATTTAATAATTATACTGTGCTGTGGAAAACCTGCTGTGGATATTACAAGCCTCAGCTATTATTTGAAATTCCACTTTTTTATATTTGAGCTCATTCAGCTTTTATTCATTTTTTTTTACTTAAATAGAAAATCCTGCAAGTACGTAGTATTGTTATGCTACTAAAAAAATCAAACTCTGTTTCAATTAGGGATGGGCATGATTAGTCGATTAATTGATCATTGATCATTAAGAATTTCATCCATTATGTTCATTTTAATCGACAAACCGTTTGTAGGTTGCTGTGCGTAGCGTGACCAAACAGGTCCGTACATGTCGGTCAGCCTGCAACGTACTGAAGTGCAAATGCGAATGATGTGCAACGATGACTTGTACAAGAAATTCCACGCTTTCCGGTCGGGACAAGTGTGAGTCCATGTGCACAGTGTACAAAGCAGCACATATGTTTCAGTGTCTAGTGGGAAAAGTTTTGCCAGGTGAGAGTCATGCAATGTCGAGGCCCCACCTCCCACCCCCCGTACGGTGTCCTGGTTTTGACAAACGCAGATATGGTCACACTAACCTGTATTCCACTGAGTCGTGTCTTTTAATCCGACAGAAGTTGAACTGCATCAGCGCACAAGAGCTGTATTTTTATCTTCGCTTAGTTTATGCAAAATAGCGATGTGGTTTTAAGTTTTGTTTCTGTGAGAGTTGCGCAAAACTGAATTAAACACATTATAATCTCAAACGGGCTGATGTGGCTCTAGAGTGATTACAGTTTATATGCCATAAAGTTGAATTTATTTATGCAGATTAGTAGTGCAGATAGTAATAATGATGATAATTTTTATATAAAAACGTTAATGATTAATCGATAATCGATCTTTAATTCTTCCAACGATCAATTAAGAAAATTTCATCGAATGCCCATCCCTAGTTTCAATACTAACAAACAGACGAATAGATAGACAATACAATGTGATTTTTAACATTAAATAATAGTATTTTCTTTTATATTACAATGTGGCGTATATGTAATCCCTCAGTTGTCCAGGTATGTTCCATAGTGGTCCATGGGTGTATACGACTCTGTGGTCTTATATTTGCTCTGATACAGCTACAGATCATTCTAAAGCTACTCAGCAAAGATTCACTTCTGTCCTGTGAATGTGACTTTTTTAGTATTGATATTATTGATGGCGATGCTAATTCGTATCGATTACTATCAGATTTTCAATACTTTTGACAACCCTACTACAAACCTCATTTACTTTACTTATATATATAAATATATAATAAATAAATAACTAATCCCTTTACATTTCTTTCTCATGCAGAATAAAAAATAACTACAATACTCCACATGTTTTTTTTTTGTTTATGTAGTTCATTGCCTCGTATTGTTTGACCACCAATGCCATTTGTCTTTCCAGGTACAATGAAGCATACACCTGGACCAACCCCACCTGCTGTGTCCATAACATTATCGTGGGTCAGCTGTGGATCGAGCAGTACGGCAGCGTGGAAGTCATCAATCACAAGTAATACACCATTGTCTCCTCTTTCCATTGTCTCATCTCGCCATCGTCTCGTGGCCGTTTATTGTGAATGCATGCCCCACTCTCCCCTCCCACTCCCACTTCCATATGCCTTTCTACTGAGCCTCGAGCTGCTTTGAGATTCACTGTACGCACTGATCTCAGGAGCAAAACTGGGACAGCTTCCATTAGAAAGCAGAGAATGAGAGGAGTAATTAATGTTTGAGAGGGTGCGCTGGAGAGGGAGTGGTGAAAGAGAATGAGTAAACACTGTGCTGCTGTATTTCCAGGACTGGAGAGAGGTGCAGCATGATGTTCAGACCCTGTGGCCTCTTTGGAAAAGAACTGCATAAAGTGGAGGGCTACATCTTAGATAAAAGGTATCAGGAGTTGGCCGACAATTTTTGATTCAGTGTACTTGGTCTTATTAAAAGCAAATAAAAATGGCTTTCTGTATACCTTTCCTGAACATAAACAATATAGACTTTCAAAAACGTGCTGCATGATTTTTATCAGGTAAAAACTGAAACAGAACAAATGTAAAACAGAACTACTTTAAATGGTTTACAGTGGTCCACAATTATTCCTCACTTACCTTATGCATTTACAGCATCCTAATTATTCACTGTGATGAGTTTATAAGCACTTTTTACAAGTTTCAGAAACCAGAGTGGAGTTTACCCTCACATTAACACCAACTAGCATGCAAACCATGTACTTACTGATTATACAGGGAGTACAGGGCCTTTAATTGCCATTTCACACAAAAAATGTCATCATTGATGCTGATTAGAAATGACTGAATTTTGGCTGAAACTTAAATTTAATTACTTGCACAGCCCTATGAGATACTCATCCAACAGTCGATTTGGCTCAAGATTTATATGCGGCAGTGGCTTGCATAATGCCCTTTTTTAATGGAAAGGTAATATTATGCAGTGTTCTTTCTACAAATGGTGACTTTTACAACACACAGCATGAAGCAAAGGGGGTTTTACTGAACTTAGAACAAAGAGTCAGGTACAGGGCCTTCCTCTGATCAGAACAATACTCTGGAAAAGGGCTGTAAAGCCATGTGGCAGTGTAACTCACAACCGTTTGTTTTCAGCAAAAAGAAGCTCTGTGCGATCTACGGCAAATGGACTGAGTGTCTGTACACGGTCGACTCGGCTGCATTTGAGGCGCACAAAAAGAGTGATAAAAAGAATTCAGATGACAAAAAGGGAAACAAACAGGTAAAGCTCGGTGCAGTGAGTAACTCCTGGTTAACAAGTGTTTACTGAGCTGTTTTATGAGACTTCAGGTATGTTTAAAAAAAATAGATAACCAAAGACATCCATATGAAGGGTTATTTTTCCAATAATGACATTCTGTTTTGGATTAGGTTCATGTTCAAATGTGGTACAAAATGTAAATTAACTTTAAAATGAACCTAAAAAAATGCAGACTCTTGTTGAAAAGTGCCTCTTTTGCAACTTTTAAAATTATTTACTTTTGGATTATATTGTCAAAGTTGCACTTTTACATATCTCCAAATAATGTAGTAACTTTTTTTTATGATTTTGCACACACTTACATGCCCACCTCCATTCATAACCAAATTCAAACATACAATTTATCAAGTACACTAAAATGAAAAATATATATACGTCAAGATTGTTTTAGCCCAAAAACGCACACTCATATTTACATAATATAACCTGTAGGGGACAATTACAATTACAATTACAATACAATTTTTAATTTTATACCAGTACTAGGACTTGTTTTTTTCTGGGAGAACTTAAGATGCCAATACAATGCCAACACAGTATGTAAATTCATAGAGAAAAGTACATTAAGAATATCAAGTACTACAGTGTTACGAAAAATAACTGTGCCTGGTTCCTGTGGACAGAGCAATGTGGATGAGGAGCCTGAGGAAATGCCACCCCCTGAGGCAGAGACTGTGCAGGTCATCCCCGGCAGCGAACTCATCTGGAAAATAACACCACGACCAGAGAACTCTTCAAAGGTACAAGGCAGAAATTTTAAATCACATTGAATTTGTCACTGAGAAAGATCACACTGTAATTTGAAATGGTGCTTGTGCTTTTCCCTGGCAGTACTATGCGTTCTCCACATTCGCCATGCAGCTGAACGAGCTGGAGAAAAGCATGGAGGGAGTCATACCCCCCACGGACAGCAGACTCAGGCCTGACATCAGAGCCATGGAGAACGGAGATATAGGTAAGAGTGATCATCCAGATTTACCCTCTACTCCAACAATTCCACTTGACCTTTATTTCATCATAAATGTGTTTTTTTGTTGTTGTTTTTTCAGATCTGGCAAGTGCAGAGAAGAAACGACTTGAAGAAAAACAGAGAATGGCTCGGAAAAATCGATCAAAGTCTTCAGAGGAGTGGAAGAACAGGTTTGTGGCTGTATTATAACATGGAAGCTCAAGTGTAGAATAGCATACTAACTACTTTTATGTTATGCTGTGTATGTCTTTACTCTCATCTTTATTGTCACTGAGAAGAAATGGGGCCCTAGGACCAAGGTTTGATTGGATTTCAGCTTTGTTTTGTGTTTGCTCTGCTGATGTGCTGCACTACACTACCCCCTATAGGCCAAAGTTCATTACAACATGTGAGATGTCAGTATGATGTTTTGAAGTATAACCAGCTTAAAGAACTCTTACTGTTTTAAAAAAAAATATACAATCATAACTGAACCTGAGTTTTCAGCCCAAGTGAGAACACATTTATATTTTTCTCAGTATAAAGACAGAACATGCCTAACGTGAAAGCTCAAAACCTCCAGAATTTCCTCAGTGACCTGCAGAGGCTGCACTAGCACTGACTCATGATTGGCTGCAAGGGCTGGGGTTTAGGTAATGAGAATTCAGATCAGAGAGTCATTTTAGCTTTAAACCAACTGAATTTCAGTATTGAATCTGGCAAACCAAATGAAAGACTTGTGTGAGGCTGATTCTGTTTTATGATAATATAAGCGTCTGGAGAATCAAAACACCAAATTAAAACATACATAAATGAGCCATCAAGACCAGTTTGTAACTAAGAATACATCAGCATTAGAATTGTTCAGTAAAAGCTGTGTTTGATGTCTACCTTGTATCTGGGGACACAGACAGGTCAGGTTTATAAATTTAAAATCAGTACATACTGTTCCTTTAACACTTTGGGTGTGTTGTTCCTGCTGCTTTCTTTTTTGTTGATACAGAATGTTCACCAGCTGTCTGTTTTGCAGGTGGTTCCAGCAAGGATCCAACCCTCACAACAAAGCTCAGGACTGGCTCTACTTAAAAGGCTACTGGGACCGGAACTACTCCCAGCTACCAGACATCTACTAACGGAGGGCACATCACACTGCTGCCTGGACTGCTAATAATGGCAGGATTTGTAACAAGAAAAAAAGATCAGTATGTGGTTTGGGGGAAGCTGAATAAGAAGAAACACAAACGCTTAATGCGATCTGTGAAATATAAAGCACAAACTTACGGCTGTCGGGCACTTATAAATATATATACTATGAAGATACTAAAATGTACTGTAGCCGTTATTTGAAATATTATATTGTTGGGAGTGTTCACAATTCTCGTTTTGTTTGACTTTAGTCCAGGCTGTACTTTACCCAAGCTTTAAGAGTGAGCATGATGCGATGGTCTGTTATTTCATGTATGTAGCTCTGATACCACTACACACAGAGTAGTGAAAAGTGATGACTTCTAATATATTTGCCTTTAACATATCTTGTTGTATAGATAATCAACTTACTGAATGTGCTGTCAGGTCAACTGCACAAGCCAATGAGCTAGTCCTGTTTTATATACAATTGTAATAAAGTAGCTAGATGTAAGAAATTAAATTGGATTCTAAATTATGTACAGAGAATAACTGGTTTGTACACAATCTAGTCTTTTTTTGTCTGTAGCTGCTCTTACAGGTTTGGGATTGTGTGTGAAGGTCTTGCCATATTTGAATACATTCCTGGTGTTCTATGCATCGATGTTTAGAGATGTATAAGATTACTGCATGTGCACCACCGTTATAACTATGCAAGCCTTACCTCTTCTCATCATGCACTGAAGATCTTTTGGTTTTGTGAATAGCTGCTGTTATAATGGTTTGGTAATTTATCAGAATTTCTATTGTAAAATAAAAGCTTATGGACTGAATTAAGGTGTTTTTACTTGGAATATTCTGATTATTACAGTACAAAACACATTATGGAGTCTGATGCCCAGTGTGCTTTTCTGGAGAAATAAGACATTTTACAATATTTAATTTTATTAAAACACAGTGCAAAACACCGTTAAGGTGGCATTATTGTACAGCACATGTTGTATGTGCAACTATTTAAATACAAAATACTCAAGCCTGTACAACACTGAAGTCATAATAGGGTACAGTAAATTACTACACTGAGACATTCAGTTTCACTTGATTGCTGTGGAATACTTTGGATATGTCTTTACAGTATTTAACTTCTGACAGAGCTCACATCAAAAGTACAATATGCAACCCATCCCTTTAAAAATGTAAAAGTACTAAATATGGCCATTTCTAAAAAGTTATCTCAATTTGTTTGTTACTCTAGTAACAGATAAAACTTACTGTAACATTTGCCCATACAAATCTTGATATTGCACACATAAATATTATTGGCACATGGTTCAAAAATAAATAGAACAAATTATAAAATAGAAATTTCAGTGGCATTGTTGCTTTTTCATGACAGTGGGTAGAGTGAGGTACAGAGCAATCCCTAAGGCTGAGCTGAGGTCCGCATTGAGGCCAGTGCTGAATGAATGCGCACATGTAATCTGTTCTCAAAGTCATAGCCTGCGTAGTCCTCCTAAAAAGACACAACATGTAACACTATACAAAAGTTATAGAAGACATTTTTATTTTTTACTCTATCTCTATATCTCCCTTCTTGTTAATTTCTTCACTCCCTTTACTTTCTCGCTTCCCTTAAACTTCAACATGCTTTAGTTAGCACAAACACAATACACAAACACAGTCACTCATGGTTTATTTTTAATTTATTTTATATACTTTTTTTGTCTTGTCTGCAAACTGTCCCATTATGTCTTCTATCTTATCATTTGAATTAGTATGTCTTATTAATGTTTTGGACCCATAATCTTGCACAAAAAATGTTTTAAATGTATGCATGCTTTAAATATATAAATAAATGAAAAAAAAAAAGAACATTGAACAATATAAACATTTCACACACAAAAAGAAAGAAAAATAACTATACCTTTGCCTGAAGCATTAGCATTCGACCCCTGGTTGCAGTCTGTGGACAAAATCATTCAATATCGCATTAAGAGTTAGACAAACTATTGATCCATAAGAGAAATTACTTAAAAACTTGTCTAGCTTCAAAAGTAAAAAAAAATATAGGTACACAACATGAGTATTATATGAGAAAGTTGTGATTAGTACTGTGATAACAAAATGACTGCAAACCAAGACAAAACAAGTTTAGGACTACAAAGAAAATCATAGGTAAAAAGTAAAGGTACGGTAAATGAAATGATAATGTTGTGATGTATTATGCAGCCCTATTCAGAAACACCATATAAAAATACCTCTTGGTTACTCAGGAGCACACAGGCCAGTTCATAGCAGGAGTAGGGTTGTACATAGGAGTTGGTGAGACAGCCCACCTCGTCTCTTGCAGCTAAATGGAAATACTGACGAAATAGTTCACATCAATACAAAAATTATACGACTAATTAAGTGTCAACGAGAGAATTTCAACTATTCTTAAAATCTTGAATTACCTGTACGGCTTCTTTGGTATTGTGAAGACATTTGTTGATGGCACCCAGAAGTAAATATTTTAAGCCTGTAGAGGAAGCATCGTCTATCCCTTGCAAGACTGAACAATTAAGAAAGATTAGAATTCCAGTGTGCATAAAGTGAAAGCTCCACAGATCTCACCACTCAGCGTACCGTACCTTGTGTCATGGTTTGCAGCTTTGGAGCGGAACAGTTGGCCAGAGCTTTCCACAAATACAAAATCTCGATCACTGACAGGATGCACAGTTCTTTGGTGACATTGGGGCTACGTAGTTTCTCTGCCTGAATAAACAAAAAACTATGATTTATGGTTTATTTATGTAATGTTGCTACAAAACTTGCCAGCATTTAAGGAAATCTGATGATAAATTTCAACAACATAATATATTTTTTGCTTAAAATTGTGCACTATGTATCTTCAGGAGAAAATGATGCTACCTGCTTCCAGGTTCCTTTCTTTCTGAGAAATGAGACGTTATTGCTTTACTTTGAATGCTCCAGTATGCCATTAAAATTTGATCTTGACTCTATTTAATGTGGGCGTTTTTATAAGGCAAAAACACATTAAAAAACATTGCCTCTCCACAGATTTGACCTGCAACTTGGCCTGGTGTTGTCACCAGCTTGTCTCCACTGAGAAGTGTTTAATGCTGTATTGTGGGATGTTCTATGCAAAACAATAACATCTCCATGGAGACAAGCAGGTGGCGGACTCTACCAGTTACATAGTGCACCTTTAGCTTGAAATAACTTTAATAGCCAATAGATGAAGCCCTCATCTCTCTCAGTCATTTTAGCTACAGCCTACATAATAATGTGTAAAGAGTGACAAACATTTCCTGAACTTACTCGCTTCATGGAAAACAACTCAATTTGATTATTCTTTCGTTTGAACAATTGCGTAACATCCTTGAAGACAGCCATGGCCCCGTCTAGCTCACCGCTGGCTCCTTGACAGACTGGGGTGGGACAATAATACTCAGAGTTAATTATAGCCAAAAGACAAGACTTGGGGTTTTGTCAGCACCTCCAGTTAAATAAGCGTAGTAGCACTGAGACCAACGCGACTCGTTCTTCAGACGCTCAAAGGCCCTGTAGGCGTCTCCAAAATTCAACTCGATCATGCTGCACCAGCCTACAGAGAATGACAATCAGGAATTAGAATGCAGATACACGGAAATATGTGGGATGTGTTTTCAGTCTGACACAACATTATGACAACTGACAGCAGAAGTGAAAGTTACCACTTCATTATGGTGCCTGTATATGTGGATATGTGGGTGAGACATACTGTACATACAGGGCAGTAAGTGAATATTATACTGTGTTCTCCACAAATTATGTTACAGTGTCGATTTCCCATAAACAGTGTACCTGGAGTCATTTGGTTTCATGCATGTTTGAATAATCCTGCTTCTCTCGGCAGTGATTCTGACCCTGTGCTTCTCAGCCCTAGTGTGCATGTGCCCTAAATTTTCCTCAAAAATATTCAAAACACTTGGCCCACTTTGGTAGACATTATCTTAGGAATCCATAAAGCTGTTCTGTGTTTTCAAAGTCCATAACCCTCATCAGTCATTTTGATCATTTTAGAGCTTAAATTACCTTCACTTTGTAGGTTATCAACATTCAGGGTATCCGAGGGTTTGACTACCCCAAATTTAAGACATTTTTAAGACCACTTAAATGAAAATTAAGACCAACATCGGACCCATTATGCAGGCGAAAACCACCAGGTCCAATTCTAATAATGACCAACCACCTACCGGTACTATATCTAGAATCTAAGGCTTTATATGATTTATATACGTTTATATGATGACGGTCCTAAGAGAAGACACAAAAGTGGCGTAGCGTCTTCACTTTTTATTACGCGTTTAGACAAGCATTTTCGGGAGGAAATCTGCGTACATACGGTGATGCAAAAGTGTGTGGAATTAGATTGGGTATGCATGTCAGGCGGCTCGGTGGTGACACTAGATGGTGATGTATGTGACGTAAAGACATACTCGATGTGAGCAGATCTGACCACAGTTTTGTGTCTTAGGCAGTGTAGAGAGAACTGATTGTTTACTCATTGCTGCTGGCACCAAAAACCAATGTATTGTTTGTGCATACTCCAAATTAGATGTTCATTCACGTTACATTATTTCACATTGTTGTTTTTTCCCCTCTCTCCATTTAACATTGCACTGCAGCCCGGTTGAGTAAACAAAACAAAAAAATAGGCTAATGAAATTTAAGACATTTAAGACCCCTCCAGCCTAGTTCAAGTTCCTTTGCTACAATTGAAATCTGGTTTAGGTTAAAGCTTAAAAATTGCTTAACTTATTATGGGAGCGTCACTAAGTTGTAAGCTGATACAGGTAGTCATACTGTTTGGCTAGACCAATAACAGAAGTAAAAAGTACCTATCTCATATAAACACACGTGCTGAATTTCCCTTTGACCAGAAGCCAGGTCTAAGGCGCTGCTAAAAGATGTCAAGGCGCTGCTGATCTGGCACTGAGAAAACACAAAAAAAACAATAGATAAATAAAGATCAACAAAACAAAAGTGCAGTGTACTCATTTTGTTTACAGTGTCTTACTTCGAGACGTTGGACCCTGCCTTTGAAAAACATGAAGAGGGAGGAGTTGGGATAGGTGGCCTCTCGCTGCTGGAGAATGGATCTAGCTTCCATCAGTCCGGCCTGTGTGTCGACGCCATCCAGGGCAAAGAACGGCTGGACAACTGTGTGGTACCAGAGCAGGGCCAGGCTGTGACAGAGGAAGAGCATAGAAGACTTCAAACAGTACTTACTTGCAGTCTCATTAATATGCAAGACAAGATTGGTCATTTTTCATAGCACAGAAATTCCCTTGTTAACTGTACAATAAGGTCATGATAGCGAGGCATGTGCAGGGATAAAACATATGAAATATAAAAGGTAAGGCTATTTACAAGAAATGTAATAAATAAAAAATGTATGATTAGGGCTGTAATGATTGGTAATGATACTGGCTAATCAACAAACAAAAACGATAAACATCTGATTTCTTATTTCTTCTATAAAAGCATGTATATATGAAGAAAATACAGCTAAATAACAGACCAGATCTGGGCATTGTACAGTTCCCGGGCCACATACAGCTCTTTGGTTGACTTTGACTGCCCCGTTTAAGATAATTTGGGATGAAAAAGTAAACGTATTTTTATAATTTTACCTCATGCATGGACTAAAGTTACATTGCTTTTATTTTAGAGGTGTTTTTTTTATTCACGTACAAAATGAGGCAATATGTAAATCAAGACGTATGTGTACAATTAATAATATGCAGAACTGAGTTAAGCATTTTGGCACTGTCCTCTACAGTATTTTCTGTTTCTCATGTGGCCCCATGGGGAAAAATAATTGCCCACCCCTGAGTGAATACATTTTGAAATATAACACAGGTTTCATTGTCCAAAAAGTATGGTGTGTGAACTCATTAACTTATCAAACTTAGCTATTTTTTATATGTTCATTTTAATTCTCAATGGAAGTTTTCTCATAACCATTATGACTATCATTTATATATCAAATGTAAAAATTAAGTCTAGTGAAATCTCCTAGTAGCCAGGTTGGCGCCATCTAGTGCAGCCATTCGTTTTCATTTCTCTCCAGCGACTAGATCAGGAATAGGAATACACTAGACGGTTTGCAAGAACCCCAGAAGTGCGAGTTCAGGCACCAGCCAATCAGCGAAGAGCCATACATTCTGTGTTGGCAACGATTCCTGAGATCGAGGATTTAAAGCCGGAACAAAGAGAATGTTTGGTGAATTTTATCAAGGGAAAAGATATTATTGTCCTTCTTCCTACGAGATATGGGAAAAGCTTAATATACCAGTTAGCCGAGTTAGCAGTGCATTACATACGTCACGACCAAATAGCAGTGACTGGTTAAAAGAAAAAAAGTACGAATTCTAACAGTGCAAGGTCAGACAGTTTCTATGAAGTGAAACTGGCTGATGAATCAGGCTAGTCTCCTAGTTGATATCAAATCTGGTTTCCTATCATTCTGTACGTTGCTTGTTCTAACTTCATTCCTATACCATTAGAGTCCAGAGGGGCAAACATACTCACTCACATACTCACGTAGCTAAGGGGGCCTTCATGTCCTTACTTTCGCTGGCGTAGGAGAGCGCAGAGAGGCCCTGGTGGCGGTCGCCGGGGAAACCCAGCAGGTTGACGATCTTGAGTAGGTGTGGGGGAACCATGGAGATGCAGAGGTGGAAGAGGCCGTAGCCAAAGCTGACGGAGCCTTTGAGCCGGTCCAGGGCCTCGAGGCTGATGGTGTGGGGGCGCAGGGAGGGGCTGGGGCCGGGGGACGAGTTGTGGCTGGGGGGGTCTGAGGAGGAGGCGATAGGGGGCGCTGTGGGCTGCTCCGAGGCTCTCCTCCTGTGCCCCTCCTGTAAGTGGGTGATGTCACTGTAGCATCTGTTGTACATTTTCCAGGCTTTGCGGAGAGTCCAGCCTCCTTTGATATACGCTGTAGGAGAAAAACTGATAAGACTGGACTAAATGAGCTGGAGGATTCTTAATATTATCATATCATATTAAAATCATCTGGCATATTTTGGCTATTTCCGTCTCTGGAGCTAAGATTGCTCTGTTACACATTGTGATATCAGTAGGTGGTGATGCTGAAAGTGCTTCTTCATGTTTTTAGATCCATGCACTTTTAACCTGTTCATCCTGTTCATTTAAGAACCTATTCTCCCTCTCACCAAGAATTTAGAGGTTAGCAGGTATTGACTGTTGCCCTCTCTAAATGGCTGCAGTCATTGTTATTTATTATTTTCTTAATCCATATATTTTAATACTTTGTTTTACTTACAATAAAGATGACATATGCATGGTTACTAAGGAAAGATATGTCCTAAAGTAAAATAGATGAATCTACTCAAAAAACTCAAAAGCTTAAGGAATGTTGCTCATGGAGTTTAAATGAAGATGAACTGGAACCCAGAATAGTTTTCCTATAAATGATCTGGACAGAGCACACCAAATTAGGTATGATACAGCACCACACATATAAAGTGATGTATGTTCATTCATAGTGAAAATATAGACTCAATCGCGCATTAATAAACGGTCTCTCTGTTTCCATGTAAATTAAACTAAAAATAGCCCGTCTCCCACCTGAAAGTTCCTGTTTGATGAAGGACAGCACGGCCAGATAAACCTGACAGTCTGCGATGATGATCTGTCTCTGAAGGCGGTCCACTGCTGCCACTCCTGACCTCTGAGAGTCCATCTGCAAACACACATTCACTATATTAAAGAGCAACATCGCAAATGGACCCGGCCAAAAGCTCAGTAAACTTCATATAGGCCTGTTATCATATTCACTGTTTAACATTCAAGAGTCAATATTAGACTATTCTCTGATCTGTTATAATGATGTTTCCTCAGCACAAACATACCTGGAGTTGTGTTTTGTTTCATTCACACATGTTTAAAATACAAACCCTGCATATTCAGACCAATTAAATGAAAATTAAGACCAACATCACACCTATTATGCGGGCACAAAACACCAGATACAACTCTAATAACAACCAACCAACCATTGTACTATATCTACTCATTGCCGCCGGCGCCAGAAACCAAAGTATTGTTTGAGCATACTCCAAATTAGACGTTCCTTCACGTTATGAGATTTCACGTTGTTGTTTTTTTTTCCTCCCTCCATTTAACATTGCACTACAGCCTGGGTGAGTATATAAAAAAATAGGCTAATGAAATTTAAAGACCTTTCTGAAAAAAATAAGACTTGGACAACATAATTTAAGACTTTTTAAGGCCTTAATTTTGTAACATGAAATTTAAGACCTTTTTAAGACTTTTAAGACCCTGTGACTACCCTGATATTTTGTTCTTCTCTCAAACTCAAAACACTCTGTTCCACCTTGTGATGTCACTTTCTCTGGAAACAACTGGATAATTTCAGCCCTGGAATTGCCAGTGTCTACTAAAAATAAAGGTAAACAATAGCTGTTAACTTGAAAACAGCTACTTGCTTCATGACATCACAAGGTGGAACTGAGCATTTTGAGCTTTGGAGATGTAGACAGACTAATTGGGTAACTCAAATGTTTGTGAATGAAACAAAACACAGCACATGTTTTTGATGAAGTAACAACATTCTAACATGGTTAAAAGCTCACAAGGACCTTTAATATTAACTGTACTCACATAACTGTTGCACAATTTAATCGATTTAAAACTTATCACAATAGACCAAGTCCATGCTTATATCTAAATACTAGAATAAAAAATGTTTAATAGAACTTGTGAAGAGCCCTCACAGTCCTCTTGATCTTGTTCTTAATTGTCTCGATAACCCCAGTGCTGTCACTCTCACACAGACGCTCTGTGGCCTTCAGGTCCTCCAGGGCCATCTGCATCTTCTCCTCCTCAAAAGTCATCATGGCATTCTGCACAGACACACAGGGACAGCTCAACGCCACTGACACACACATGAGACTCGAAAGGGATTTTTTTGCCAGAGAATAGCTTTATTTTGTTCTGTAATACTTTTTTCTTTTTTCGTTTGTTTTTATAATTGACGGCAAAATATGATGGTTTCTTGGAGTGTGTGAGATAAAATTTTGTACTACTGCACAGGGATGCACAATCCAATACTGGTATCAGATATTAGTGCTGATCCAGATTGGGTATCAGTTCAACCAATGTCCTGGTTGAGCATAAAGACTGATGTAATAAGACAATTTCTGGTCGTTTTACACCAAAAAAATAAAAGTCTGTATGTTTAAACTTTATTTATTTAAAGCTATTCTGTAGTTACATAAGCGATACAGCAATGCATTTATATTTAATGTTCATATATTGCAGATTTATTTCATATGCTAAGATTATGAGATGGCATGTCTGAAGATTGCTGAACACTTAATCATTTAGTATAGTAATAGTAGTAATAATAATCTGGAAAAAAAACTACTTTAGAAACAATAAGATCATATTTTCTGGTCTATATTTGAGTACTGTAGCCCAACGCAGTCTGTAAAACACTTGGGTTTACTACTCTAATTCTAGTCTCATTATTCACAGTATAAGAACCACAGATATTAGTAACTTCTTAAAATATGTATACTACTTACTAATGCAGGATAATCTGGATAAGTAAAGCAAAAAACGCAAATGATAAAACATGAGAAGTAAAAATGCTGAGAGTACTAATGAAGCCACCACAGCATTATTCTGGTCGTGTTTTGTGCCTAGACTGGCTCTGTGCCCGTTTACTTCCACATGGGAACATCATCTGAACTCATTATGAAACAAAACTGCAACGTGACTTTTCGAATTCTTGTGAAATCAGCACAAACAAAAGTGAAACAGGAACAGGGTCAACCTACCAGAAAACTGACAAAACTGGCCCCAAAGCTCATCAGAGGACTGTAGTTTCTGAAAAATATAAAAATGAATGTTAGATAAATGTGAAACACAACAGGGAAATACAAACAAGCTACAACAAGAAGTTAGCTGAAAGGAATGCGATGGAGCCAGTTCCTACCAGTAGTAATGTAAGTAAAGTTTCTCAGTTCCCAGGGTAATTATACGTTCATGCAATCACATAATGGGACAGTGTCAGAAACATGTCAGATATAAGCTAATATGACAACATCTACTCGGCCTACTTCAGTATGGCGTTAATTAAACAAGTATGTATGGCGTTAAACAAGATAAGCAGTCAGAGCTACCATGCAATATGCCAACCCTGCTCACAGTAAGTAATGAATGTTTCAGTGTATTCTTGAGCATAAACACACTCCTAATTGTTTAAATGCAAGATAAGACTAATGCCATGCTGTGGTACAGTCAAGGCAAAGCAATAACATTGGCATGAAAACAAGCAGATGGTGGACCCTCTACCAGAGAAGTTACACTGTGTTCCATTAAAACTGAAAAATTACATTCAACAATTGGTCTACTGTGGATTTTGTCAGCCAATAAGGAGATTCGATATTTGTCTTTCTGTTATGGCCGATAACCTTTATTTACCAATACAGATATTAATACTTTACAAATCTATGGCAAGACACAAATTGAAGTAAAGTTGACGTTTTTCAGGCTTTTTCAGGATAATTGTGTAAACAAACAGCTGTTCCTTTTCTCTTCTATTTCCACATAGAAATACAAAATACCAATACCAGTATATTAGTTTAGTTTATTTAGTTTATCTGAGAGAGACCATGTACAGGAGCATTAATCATAGAAACATTGAAAAGATGCTTTGTACTCTCAGAGCTAATTTCCATCTGCAGTCCCTGAGTCAGACAAAACACAGAATACAAAAATAGCACTCTATATACAAACGGTTAGAAAAAGTACAATAACAGTAAATATCTCTATCCCCTTCCAACCATGCTCCCTCTGTGCCCTTAATCAGGTTTAATTTTGTTGTTAATAAAAAAATTCTAAATTCAGCAGTAAACTTTTTGAAGTCTTTGCTTCGTTTCAAATGTGCCGGTCATTTGTTCCATTCTATATGAAAACATAATACAGATATCAGCACAATGGCCCATCCCATGAGTTAATTACAGACATTTTAATGATACCCCAAGGCATGTCTTTATTCTATTGCCTTGCATGTTTTGAATTAAAAGATATTCATAAGAATAATAATACATTATTTATATTACACTCAGGTATTATTTTAATCATATAATTTATTATCAGTTTTAATCACTTCACTAATCACTTAGTAGAATCAAATGTTAAAAGTATTTGATAAAAATTTGTATTGCCCCAGAACATATATATTTTAAGCAGCTGTTGAGGTCATAATATGTCAGCTATGTGCTGTCTTCATCTAATTATAAAAAAGGTAATTGTCAGGAAGTGCGCATTAGCCTGCTAGTTGTTGTATGTTTTTCCGTCATGCCAAAACTATGTTCTGGTCTCTGAACACTGGCAACAGTACTTAGAAACTCATCATGTTGAATAATTAGGATGCACAGAATGCGTAAGGTAAGTGCGGTAACGAATAACTTAGAACTAACTAGTTCTAACTAGTTCTGTTTTTCACATTTTTCATACACTACAGTACAGGTTAACTGAATTCAAGGTTGTTTCATGTTGTGTTTAATGCGCTTCTGAAAATTCACAAACTTGTCCATTCATTTAAAAATATATATCTCTGTACCTTCCAGTGTGTCAGTTTTTGTTCCTTTCATATGATAATGATATGAGTCACCTTCACCAATCATTCACATGGACAATTTAACAGTAGTTTTCACCCTGTATGCCCTCAATGCAATCAACACCCTACTGTGACTGAGGCCTGGTGTCCCCATGGAGATATCGAACTGACCCGCAGCACCTACTGCAGGAAACAAGCACTCCACAAACAGGAACCTCCTACTTCTACGTCCTGTATTCATCCAGGATGGATAGCAGGATGTTTGTCATGTGTTTGCTGCAGCACTTAAAAACAAATGAGCTTCACAATAGGGCTGCACAATTAATCAAATCTATGGAGATGTAGACAGATTAATAATAAAGGATTATGCAAACATGTGAATGAAACAAAACACAACTCTTGGTATGTTTTTGAAGACGTAACAACATTGTAACATGGCTCAATGGTCACAAGAGAATTTAGCATAATATATGACCTTTAAACAAAAATACACGTCTATCTGTATTTCCAAACAATGTACAACTTTTAACACTGTGGCAGCCAGCTACTTCAAAATGTGTCACTAACTGCTCACAGAATGCTATGTCATGTGTTTTTCAGACTTCCTCATTAATGCTGTTGGTGTAATCGAAACAGGATGACGCCTACTAGTGTTCAATTCAATAAGAGAGAAGGGTGACATTTACGATTTCACCAGAGATCCGGACCCCTCATGTCCTCTCAGCAGCACGTCTACGCTCGGCACTTCAGAGCTGCAATCAGATAGTAATCCTCAACAGAAAATAAGGAGGCCATCTATTATTATACTCTGTTCCCTTGTGAACTCCACATTGTAACACATTGTTTCATAGAGTTAACAACAAAGAAGGCATATTGTGCTTTTGGGTTATTTAGTATTACACCAAAACCTGTGTAGATCATTATGTTATATTTAATTCAATGTAAACAGCAACACTGATGTCAAACTTGGGCAGGTACACTGACTTTCTGTTCAACGCTGCAGAACGGACAAGCCCCATCTCTTACAGTCATTTAAAAGGCACTGTAGCTGAGTTGAACAGTCTTAAAAATGTGAAAAAAACAGAACTATTACCAACAGAACAGTCATTTCTGACTTACATTCTGAGCATTATAGGTTTTCACTGCGATAAGTTTATAAGAATTTATCAGAACTCTCAAGAGACCAAATAGAGTTTTGCCATGACGATAAAGCTACAACAACTAGCATGCTCATGCACACTTCCTGATTGTTGGGACAAAAATGCTTTCTAATCAGATGCGGACATCTGACATATTTTGACCTTAAGAGTTGCTTATGCAATACATTAGGGATGTAACAATAACCGAAATATTGTGATATGGTTTTATAGTAGCAACAGCTTGTGAACATTGGAAACTACATATCCCATGATTCATTTCACTGCAGACAACATGAAGATATATGTTTTTTACTTGAATTCTTGGGATTATAATGGAAATAATTCACACCAAAATCTTGTCAAGGTATTTTAAAAGCAAAAAAAAGTGTCCCATCTACATTTACATTAGCCTCTTCAAAATATTGCAATAAATATTGTACTGTAAGATGCATATCGTGATAATATTGTACTGTGAGATTTGGATATTGTTACATCCCTACAATACATCTACACTGAGGTAACTCAAGCTTCGAATGTAATAAAGTGTAGGATTTCTCAAATATACATGAATCAATTAAAATACAACAAAGATAAATTGTGACATATTGTGCTTGAGTGTCAGCTATATATATATCATCTATGACATCATTGTTCATTGATATCATTTGCATTTTGTATTTTAAATTGCAATATTGATCTTAAACAACTTGATAAAAGAAACAAATCCACTGAGTTCTGGATTAGAAAACTGCAGTGCCTGATGATAGCTGGCATCACAGTAAAAATCATTACTAAAAAGAGTTGTCAGCACCTCCAATGGATAGCTGCACATTACCGTAACAAGCCGCAGATTATTTTTCATTTGTACCAAAATTACCATGCAGCGTTGCCGAATCCTACACATATAATCGGTTAATAAAAGAAATTGGAGAATAAAGTAAGTACAGAGCAGTGGCTGTATATCAAAAACAAAATAGACAATACGTTTTGAAAATAAGCAATTAAAGACTGCTCAAACTTGCACGAATTACTCAAAATACAACTTTCGAGAGGGAAAATGAAAAAAGGGCTAAAGGAGGAACAACTATAACATGATTAATATCTCTGACAAGTAGATTTTGCATAATAGGCCTGCTTTAAGTAAATGATCATGCAAAACAGATATGACACGGTTAAAAGCTTAAATAAATAAATGGTAGTAGTAGTAATTTTCCAAACAGTAGCAAGAACAGTAGCTTCTTAAAAACTAGTCTAATAGGAGCTTAGTGGCTAGTTGGGTGTGGGTATTTGCTTGGGGTTATTTATACAGGATCAACTCCACTTGTGACTAGATCATATGGTGTTACACTACAAGCGTGACAGAGATGCTGGCTCTGCCGCCTTCTGCACCACACAAACATTGCTTAAGGGAAGTAGCTGATCCTCCCATATCCTACTTTATTCATCCTGCTTTGTGTAAAATTCAATTAAAAAGGTGAACTATGGAATTTTTTGGTAGGGGGGTCTGTCACTATGGAGACATTTGTGCCCATGTTTCACTGTATGGCATCCCATCGATCTTGGATTTTATTCTAATACCTTGAAAAAAAAAAAAAACTGTGCATGTTACTGTGAGCGGGTCGCCTCTCCACAGATCTGACCTGTAAACTGGCCAAGTGTGCTTATCACATTTTTAATATGAAGATATGAGTTTATTTCCATACTGTGAAAGACTACAGTTAAAGTAATAACATGAACACAAGTGGCTGGCGGACCCTCCACCAAAAAGTTACACAATGCATCTTTAACAGTTATTCAGTATTAACATCCCAGCTCCACCTGTCTTTCATTGTCTCCCTCGTGCATAAAAAGGCTATTTTAGATGCATATAAAGCTGACACAAACCTGTACGCCCTGAAGAGCTCGTCGCTTTCCTTAAACCCATTGTTGAGCAGCATGTTGATGCCTTTGAGAGCCAGCTCGGCCTCGTTTATGTCTTCAGGCGGGTCTTCCTCTGCGCTCCCCGGGGCTGCTTCTGTGGGCTCCGCCATAGAGGGCTCCGACACCGGGGAATGGGGCTACGAACACGGCCGCGCTGGGGGAGTCTTCTGCTCTTTGTCGGTGCACTCACTTATGCAAATACAGCCAAGCCGGGAGCGTCATTATGACAAAACGCAGTCATGTCAGAGGATCAGACAAACCCCGGTCAACTTGCACTGTGTTGTTGAAGCTGTTGTCTGTCGGGGCAGGTTGTGTCGCTGTTCCGCGTAGCCGCCTGAGCGCTGCTTCAGAGACTTTATGGAAAGGAGATTACAAAACTCTATCCGAGGAGAAAGAGAAAATGGGTTAGCTATATATGGTTATCAACAACGACCATTCTCCAAAGTAGGTCAGATAACTAAGGCGCACAGTGTCTACCTCATACTGCGTTTCTATACAAATAAATATAAAATGAGTAGTAGTAGGAGGGGCTGTTCGCTTAGTTCGGTCATCTCTCGTTATAATAGTCTTTGATGCTCAGGCGCTGCAGAACAGGAGATGTGCTGCCTTTGAGTGCAGTTAGAAATAACATTGATAAAATGTTCCATTAAATTATTGTTGTTGCTGTTTCGCGTGTACATTGGTTACTGCTTTTTAAACGATAACTGACCTTTTATTCCTACAAGACTCAACATTTAAAGTCATCACTCAACAAAAAGCCAAAGTTTGTGGAACATTTTAATTACCCATATCTGGATAGAATATTTACATAAATGTGTTTGAAACACAGGAATGAACATACAACAAAAATCAATTGCCAATTATGCAATCACAAGTTGCTAACATGTCTAAGTAAACATTTATTGGAGAAAATATTGTATGTGTTGGATCAGTGGTCCCAAATGTCTCTGGTCTGAGACCAAACTGTGGAAACTTTGGATATGATCTCAGATTTACGTACATTTGTGGTTATTTTCTGTAAAAATACTGTACATGCACTTAATGCCAAAACATAAGGAATGCAGATATGAATAAATCACCAAAGAACTGCTTATAACTTATAAAACATGCAATGTTGTCAAGTAGCATGAAGATCCAGTGGCTTGGCAACCTTCAAATGTTGCTAAAACACACACTGCTGGTGTAAACTGGAGTAATAATCTTTACTCCAAACTCAAAAACAGAAATATAAATCATGAATGTAGAACTCTATAAAGCACCATCTGAAGGGTTTGTTTCTTAAAGTGCTGTTTTGCCCTGACAAATTACAAACCATTTTAGCACTGATTGTCAAAAGAGAGAATGAACCAGTACGTCACACTGCCCTGTAATGCTACATGACATGGTGCTCATATAGAATTTCATTACAAAATAAATAGAAAAACAAAGCTTAAGAGCAGCAAACAACTTGAACATCCTCTCCCACATTCACACATGGTCCACACACACAGTGTCCTCATACTGAACTATGTACAGCCTCGCAAACAAAGACATTCTCTTTCTTGGTAACAGATTGCACTTGGTGATGGGCGTGGTCCCAAAGTTTGGTGTTGGAAAAAGTGGAGAGCTGTTGTCTCATCCTGCGGGGCACTCTTTGAGGTTGACTGGACCGACCACAGCAGACAGTCTATTAAACAGAACTGGCTCACTGTTGATCGTCATGTCATCGATGCATCCCACGAAGGAGGAGGTGACTGGGAGGACATGCTTTCGAGTCAGCTCTGCAGAAGGGAAAAAAGAGAGGTAATAAGCAGATGATTAGTGTAAACGGAAACTCTGAATTAAGTTTCTTCAATATAAGCAAGTCATCCAATAAATCAAGGAAGTGAAAGTAAAACCAGAACACTGAAATAAATACATATAGAAGATCTTCGCAACAAATAGCAATGGCTGGTATCCAGAAAAATCTAATTCATTTGTAAAATATTAAAATGCCTGTTAGAAAAAGTGTACAAACAAGTGTGTGGAAATGCCAAACCAAGAGTGCATGAAAACACAATAGATGACTCAGTGATAGTAGCTACTTTGAAAGAAGTTATACAGTGACCTGATCTTATTATAAACTTTCATTCTTCTTTTCCCTGTATATGGTCTGCTATTATCGAATACTGTCATACCATCATTCAGTGTACTCAGACACCACCTTCTCCACCTACTCCTCCTATTAGTCAGACTCAATCAGGCACTGAGAGAGTGAGTAGATTTAAACAGCCACAGTGACAGTGACCTCTCAGAAGCAGCAGACAAAGAACATTGAGGTATGAATTTTTCACCATATCGCCCACACGGCCCACACCATCTTTTACTCACTTACTCAGTTAAATTTTTACCTTTGTGAAAAAGTTCCCCTTTTAATGGCTAACTCAACACTGGTAACGTCCGTGATGTTGTCCATGATAGAGGAAATACAGAAGCATAGATTAAAGGTAAAGCAGTGATATGCACACATACCAGGAATGCCGCCCACATAGAGAGGGTTTTTGGTCAAAGGTGTGATGGATAATGGAGGTCCGATCTTGTAATTATCCACTGTATCCACATGAAGCTGGACAACGTTTTTCCGTTTGATCACTGAACCACAAACATACAGTTATATACAGCAACAGAAAATATAAAATAAATGAATAGCAAACATATTCATACCTGATATTTTATGAAACGTTCCATCACACAGTGTAGTCTTTGGCTTAACAGACACCATAAACTCCCCCTTGCCATTATTTACTTGCGCCACAACCTGCAAATAGAAAGTTTTCTCATCATGTTTTTTCATATAATAATAAGGCATTTACATGTTAAAAAAAAAATGTCACAATTGCACTTTTTGAGACATATAAATCTGTAAAAAATGATAGTCAGGTTTAAATATCATGGTTAATTTTGCTGACATAAGATACAAAACAGTTACAGAGGGAATTTGGGCTGTCTGATTTAGTATTTGAGCAAACTAGATTTTACTGAAAAAAGTAAAAAATCTGACTTTGCTTATTTATTGTCACTAAAATGTCAGTAACTTAGTAACAATAACTACACCTTCTTGCATGCATTTGAGAAAACTGTGCTACTAATACTCTTTTCTCACCTCTAAGTAGGCCAAAAGTAGGACAATAACACATTTTAAGTGCATACTGCAGAATTATTCCCCCAGAAACTATAAAGGTACAACATTGTTTATACTTCAGTTATTTTTCATGTATAGCAAGTTATCCAAATTATTAATTCAACCCTTTAGAGCTCAAATTTCATCATAGTACAGAAAAATTACAAAAGGCTTTCCACAAGTACAAAGAAAAAGAACCTGTGATAAATATTCATCTCTAAAAATAATTGTTCCATCTTTCATAATTGAATGATAAGTCAATATACGGTAGTAATTATCGTGACAGGCCTACCTCTAAATTGATTTGAAAACTATTAGAATATATTTGTAGTTTGGTGAATGCAGTGGGCTTTTACTAGACTGATTCATCAGCCAGTTTCGCTTCGTTTCACTTCATAGAAACCGTCTGACCTCACAGTGTTAGAATTTGTTCGCTCAACTGTAAGCGGGTACTTTTTATCATTTAACCAATCGCTGCTATTTGGTAGTCACATATGTAATGCACCACTAACGGGCTAACTGGCATATTAAGCTTTTCTCAAATCCCGTAGGAAGAAGGACAATAACGTCTTTCCCCTTGATGAAATTCACCAAACATTCTCTTTGTTCCGGCTTTAAATCCTTGATGTTGGGAATCGTTGCCAACACTGAATATATGAATCTTTGCTGACTGGCTGGTGCCCGAACTTGCACTTCCATGGTTTTTGCAAACCGTCTATTGTATTTTGATTCCTGACCTAGTTGCTGGAGAGAAATGAAATGGAGTGGAGGCACTAGGTGGCACCAGCCTGGCTAGGCTCTTACCTCTCCTCTGCGCATATAGACAGTGAGGTAATGGCCCATATCTGAACCATATCGTGTCAGGCTGGAATCGCCCACATAGAGCAGTAACCCAGTGGGACTCCTCGGCCGAATATTAAACAACAGCTCAAAACTGGAGCCCAAGACAAATGTATCATCTGTAAGAGATCAAGGTCCAATATTACACAAATTTTACTCTTGTGAGCTTTAAGCCATGTTATAAAGTTTTAACCTCCTCAAAAACAGACTTTGAGTTGTGTTTTGTTTCATCCACACATGTTTGAATAATCCTTTATTATTAGTCTGTATGCATGTCCAAAGCTGAAAATGCTCTGTTCAGCCTTGTGATGTCATGAAGCACCAGTAGGTATTAAGTTAACAGCTACTTTTTACCTTATGTTCAGTAGAGACCAGCAGTTCCAGGGCTGAAATTATCTAAATGATTCTGGTGAAGGTGTATGGAGGTTAAAACACAATGGAGCACTTACTACCAACTTCACAACACAGAACAGAAGAACTCATAACGCCTAAATATGCAGACTTGTGTGTTAAACAAGTGGGAATGAAACAAAACACAACTCCTGGTTTGTTTGTGATTAGGAAACAAGATTATAACATATTAGAAAATGGAGTAATATGGGCTCTTTAATATTTTTGAGAAAGCAAGACTTCCAGAATAGAAGGAAAATGTTGTTGTTGTATTTCATCATATAGTAGAGATATACTTACTGACAATGACATGAGCTCCGCTCCCTGAGAAATAGGCCCCCTTCTGGGTTTGTCCATCAAAGCAGGGCCCAGCGCCATGATTGGCTGAGGGCTCGGTCATTGATGCTCCGTTCATTTTGAAATTTCGGATACAGCCAGACACACTATGCTTGGGCAGAGCCTTCATCTGAAATACAAAAAGCAAAAGTTTTGAGATTCTTAAGTGTAGAAGGCTGTACAGTAGCAATGAAGAAAATACACAATATGTTAATCTTTTGAAACTATTGATCAAAACAGTAATAACTCGATATCTAAGAAAAAATAATAGTTACTTAGTTAATTTTTGAAACATACCAAATGTTTACACAAATACTTTGTGTTGACAGTGGTTCAGTAGTTGCCACAGGTGGCTAGTATGCAGTTAGTGTGTGCATGAGTGATTGGAGGGGCTTATGATGCAGATTTGCAGCCTTGCTTCCATCTGTTTACCCGGGGGGCAGCAGTGGCTACAGACAAAGTCTATCTGCACCCAGTATACAGTGAAGGAATATTGTAAAGTGCTTTGCGTGTCTTGAAAGGTGCAATATAAACCCAAGGCATGATAAATAGTTAAACTTTTTTGAAATATCTCAACATAAACATCACTGGTTCATCACTGGCGCGATTCCAGCTCCCACAAATGAATGCTGAATGAATGAATTGTGTCTTTGGGCAAGATACTTAACTCACCTTGCCCCCAGTGTCTGTGTACACTGGTGTGTGAGTGTGTGTGTGTGAATGGGTGAGTGGTTCTTTGATGTAAAGCAGTTTGAGTGCCTTGAAGGAGGAAAAGCACTATATAAATTACTATAAAAGTTGCTATAATTAGGATATTTATTTTACAGTACTGTACTATATGTAATGGAGGCTCCATATATATTTATACAATTATGCCTCATTTGACACCAGTCTCTTGGTATTTTTTTTTAATTATTATTATTATTACCATTCATATTCTTGCACTTTGTTATTATATGATGATTGTAATGTGTGAGTTACTGTGTCCAAATAATTCCCCTGTGGATCTGCTATGGTAAATTGTCATATTTTACTTAATACTAAAAATATGACCATTTACCAGCAGTATTGACACTCACATTAGTAATGATGTATTGATACATTGATACCAATACTTCCATTCTTGGTGCTGTGTCAATTACTACAAATACATGAAATTCAACCTATTAAACATATTCTAAAATAGTGTATTGTACCTTTAGCTGTTGGTGGAGTGACTCAGGTACACTGCCCAGGTAAACAGGAGACATAAACTGCTGCATAGATGTCAACTCAGCACTAGTCAGCTGACCATCCAGAGCTCTGATACCATCCACAACCAGCCGGAACTTCTTTTTCTCCAGACTGAACATGACCTGAGCAACACATTCAAAATCAATATACTTCAATATTTGTTCAGTTGTTTGTTTTAAAAGACATGAAAAGTACTGACTGAGTGCCACTTTCCGTCATTGTACTTCTCACGGTTGAAGATCTCCTTCTCTTTGCCAACAGACAGCCTGATCCTGCCTTTGGACATGTATAGAGCGAGGTGAGCACGCCCCCCTCTGGTACCAGCGAAGAACAGCAGGCCCTCATGAGATCGGGTCTTCACATCCAGAGAGAAGTGCGGTCTGGAGGAGACAAGAGGTTATTGTCTACAGACTCCCTCCAGGATGAGTCAGGTGCATTGTAAGACTTATTTATAACTTTTGAATGCAACACATGATCAAATAAAATGCCTTTTACACACCAATAACACATTTCTAAAGTCACAATATTTTTTTATGCTTACACAGGCTTTGAAATGTGGTGCAAATCAAATGCAGTAGCAGTATATAACAGATTTTTTTTTTTATCCTTTACCAGTGACGTAAGAAAAAAGTGAGAATCTTGTTTTAGAGAATCTTGGAAATAATAAACAGTGTTCCTTATAAATAAATGGTAAATACTTCTAAATAAATAAATAAATAAATATAAACAAACTCTAAAAATACTCAGTGACTAAAAGGTGCACTATGTAACTGTTATAGTGGAAGGTCCGCCACCTGCCATCTCCATAGAGAAATGATTTATTTGCCTAGAATGTTCCACAGTATGGTATTCAACTTATATACGTTGCATTTATTCGAGTTTTCACACTTTTTGCAATAGCATAATCACAGTGCACCTATAATATTGTAAAAGTTACTGTAACTTTCCCCCACTTCTCACAGTGACAAAAAATAGATACTTTTTTTACTTAAGGGTAAATTATAAAGATTATATTTATATTAGATTATCAACCTATCAATGGTGTTAATGAAATAAACAAAGGTTCAGAAGAGGGCCACACCTCAAAGACAAGCTCACCTCCAAGCCTTTCTTTACATTTTACTGATACCATGAGTGTAAAGTTCGAGTGGTCTGACCTGGGCTGCAGCACCTGTAGTGGGAGGCTGTAACTGAGCCTGCTGACCGGCCCCCCAAGGCGATAGGCGAGGGGGACCGTGGCTGGCAGATTACACACGGATACGCTCTCATTCACTCCACGGGCCACACCCTCCTACAACAGCAAGAAATATGAGTATTACACCACAGACCTAAGCACGGCATAAATCATATTACGCAAGAGGTTTTTGGATAGAAGCACTGAAATAGAAAGACAGTAAATCAGTCCCCTTAAAACAAAAAGTAAACCATCTAATGAAAATTTAAGGATTTATGACAGAAATAGTGTTATGCGAAAATCTATCAGTAAGTTAAATGTTTATATTATTTTAATGTATTCTTAAAGTAGACAAAATTTTATATTTATACACACATAATAATGTAATAATACTTTGTGTTATTTTTTGCACTGGTGATAAAGTGGGTGGGTTGACATAGCTGTAGTACTTTGCATTCTTTATGAATACAGAAGACATTGTTAGTGATTTCATTAAAAATTGGTTTTGTTAAAGGACTTTCTTAACATGTAGATTCTCAGTGGGGTCAAGGGGAAACTTGTGAATATATAATATGTTTTGTTAATAGCCTAGGACATTGTGCTTGTGCATACTGTTCAACTGTAAAAGTGATCTTTTGCCGTGAAGAAAGGCCTGTCATGATAAATTTTGAAGTTCGAAGTAAATATAGATGATAAATGATAATACTGAAACTAATTTAGGCCACTGACACAACAACTCAAGAGCAGATTGAAACCATAAAAACTATTCTAAATGTACAATATTGTTAAAAAAATCATGAGCTGCAATAAATACACAGTTGCAATAAATGAAACAGTTTAGTACTTATTTTGCATCTGTAATGAATCATACAAATTATTATTTGAACTTTTTATGGCTTAAATCATATTGTATATCCAAAAAATTAACAATTTCCCAGTAGTGCAAAGAAAATGTACACACAACAAATATGAACCACCCAAAAATCTTCTTCCAGTTATTATATACTGAAAGGCAATATAGTATTTATCGTGAAGACACAAATTAATTAGTGATTTAAGTAAAAGTAGTAGGAGGAAAAAAGGGGGTGAATGGCAGTTAGAGATGATTGGGTTAAATCAATGTGTATTATTCAAGTGATTGTTAAGATGCACAAAATGGTAAAGACAAAAGTGATGGCTTTGTTATTAAGGCAGCCTTTTATTAGAAATATAACATAATTTCACAAAATAAACAAAACATTCATGTGCAATCTGCAATTATGTTAAAATGATTGGCGTTAGGTCCTGGTCAGCGCCAGTCGGTCTGCTTCACCTCTGTAAATAATTGAGCAAAAAAAAAACAATGTCAACAACACTTAAATCATGCAGCCCTATTGATTGGATGAATTATGGATTTAAAAAACATTTATTTAGAATTTTAACCACTAATCATGATATTCTAATTTGTGGGATACACCTGGTAGTTCTTTGATACTGCTCCTACTGTGTGAAATCAATCATCAGTGAGTTTTTAATCATAATACAAACAATAACGTAACTACATAGACAATTTATTGTGACTAAGACAAATGAATTCTCACTTTATTGGGCGAGCGGTCGAGCATGAGCTGGGCGGGGCTCTGAGCACTGCACACGTCTAGAAGAACATCTCCACTGGTCGTGAACAAACTCAGATCTTCAGCTTTGAACAGGTTGTCTGGTCTGTATATGAAGAGTACAAAGTATAAATCATGTATTACTGTATGTACTTTCTTATACCGAATGACTGATCTTAAAGAAGGCTCACCGTCTTGTGTACAGGTTGGAAATGCAGCCTTTGAACTTGTCTTTACCCAGGACCACTGCACCATTTGTGTCTGGGATGGTCACGGAGCCGCTCTGCACCTGGCCTTTGTCTTCATCATCGATAAAGAGGTCGATTCTTTTAGAAAAAAACATATAATCTCATTGTTTATCACAATCGTATTTTGGATGTAACTGTACAACCACTAACTTTCCCTATATTCTACACTTTAAGATTAGGAGGGGTGTGATATGTTAAGGGAACTACATAGACCATAATCCTTTGCTCAAATTTCAATGAAGATAAGATCAGATTTGAAAGCTGCTAAATAAGAAGAGATCGTAAAATATAATCTATCAGTTTTATTTTCATAGCATTTTCCTCTATCTATTCTATCTGTACTTTACTTAATTACATTTTAAAGTGGATACTTTTTACTTTTACTTCACTACATTTGAGAGCAGGTATATATATATATATATATATATATATATATATATATATATATATATATATATATATATATATATATATATATATATATATATCTACTCCACATTTTTGAGACATGCTGAAATGGCTGAGAGGTTGTGATACTTTTAGTTTACGATTAGGGTTAAGTAACAAAATTGAGCACTTTCAAGAATGGCGAAATTGCAAATAGTAGGCAGAGATTGGAGAATTATAAGGGAACTTATCCCACAACTGACACTATCCCAGACATTTTCTGTATCATGATACAATATCACAGTGGTTAAGGACTAAGTGGGCGGAGCTACACATGTTCCTGGCTCATGGTATGAAATGTGGTACAGGCTCTTTAACATGTAACATTCAAACAATGGTTCTCTTACATTTCTCCTCTTCTGGTGACAGTTAAGTAATGCCACAATCCATCGCTGTACTTTCTGTTGGAACGCCACTTCTTGTTGTTAAATGCTAGAGTCACATAGCCATCCTCTAGCGCCAGATTCAACCCATTAGCCTAAAAGACAACCATAAAAACATCTAAATTCCATGCTAATAGTCATTTATATTAGATAAATGATAAGGGACTAACGAGTTTTTTGTCTTGTAGGATGAGACCCTGGTTCTCACTGCTTCTGAATCCAAGGGAGAGGGTCACATCTTTGTCCAGAGTGAAGCCTGCGAGGTTACCTGACAAGGAGCTGCCTAGGTTCAACTCAGTTTTACGAGAAATCTGCACAGAAATCATTTATTACACTTTAGGGTCTAAGCAAAATATACTGTTTACATTTAAATGACATTTGTGTGATGTTGTATGTTTAGGTTGAGTTCACACTTGCACATCATAACTGGGACTAAACATGGAACTAAATCTGGTCTCAATGGAAATGGTTTTGCTTTACTTAGAATGTTGCACAGTATGACATTAAACTTAGCTCAGTTGAGATAATTGTTACAGGTCAGATCTATGGAGAGGCGAATTCACTCTCTGTTAGAAGGCAGGTATACTTTTTAGCAATATAAAGCCCTGTTATGAATTAATGATTTAATATTACACTATGGAACATTACAAAACAAAAATATTTCCAAGTTAACAAGAAGGTAGTGACCCCCACCAGAACCTTTAAATATGCGTATTTAAATATACAAGTTTAAAGAAGATATATTGTGCTTGTCTCTGCTATATAGTTATAATCTATGACACCCGTGGATCATTATGTTTTCATTTGGACATTTTCATTTTCATTTTCATCTAAAACCTAATGTGAACACAATGTGTATATTTTACCTCAATTTTCTAGAGATATGTCTTACCATAGATTCCCGAGGACATCCTTTGTTGATGCCCACCGCCTCATCGATGGCTTTGTATGTTCTGTCCAGCTTAATATTTTTGACACAACCTTTGTATGGCTGCATTGTGATGTTATGTCTGAAAAAAAAAACCACAAAATATAAGATGATACAGATTTCATTCCCTGATATACAAAACCTGTCAAAGGTTTGAACACACTTTCTCATTCAATTTTTCTTTGTGTAGTACTTGTAAATACATAGTGAAGACATCAAATATATGAAGCAAGAAATATGTAATTATGTATGCAAGAAATACTTAAATAAATAAATACATATTTATTTACTTATTTATACATTTATTTACTAAATCACACATGTTTCTGTGCACAGATTTTGAGCCAGATTTCAATGTGAATGGTCATGAAAATAGAGAAAAAAAAACCAAAATGAAAAAGTATTCAAACTTTGACTGATATATATACAATATATATTTGGAATATTTTCTGCTGACAGCATACCTTTCTCGTATGTCCTGAGGGACACCACCAATGTAATATTCAGTGAAGTCAGTCAGGGTAAAGGCAGCATTAGCCTTGACCACAATTTTTGAAGCTAGGTTCACTGTGATACTCCCTCTGCTATTCAAAACAATGACGCCATTTGCAAAATCTTCACGCTGAAAAGAACAGAGCAAAATATGTCAGAATTAGGAAAATCGTACAATGGTTGAAGCAATAAAATACATTTTAAAAAACGTACAGGAAATACTTTCATCTCCCCGTATGTTGGTGGTCCAGTGAGGCAGTTACTATGCAGGAGCACAAAACCCTTTTCAATCGTCAAAGCAAAGTATTTGTCCTAAAAACATACAAAAAATAATAATTTATCGCATGTAATACTGTCAAGAGTTACAATTATTCTTTTTGCTTGTAATGACAAAAAAAATAAATAAATACCTCAGTCCCCATGTAAAACAAAAGTCCATTTTCTGAGCGGCTACTGACAGAAAATTCTAAGAAGATGAGACTTCCTACTTTATTTAAGTAAAATTTGGCATATCCAGTGCCCTCAAAGAAATCAGACTCCTCAGGAAGCACTTGCCTGTATCATAATAAAATACATATGTAATTTCAAAAATCAATCCTATACATTATAGTTACACTTTTTAGAGGATAAGCAGCCAAAAATGAAATAAAAACTATAGCTTGAGTTTAAAGTTATTTGTTTCTGATCTTAACAATATAATTACTATATTTCCTTATCATTCAATAAATGATCAATGGAACATTTTTGTTTTGCATTGCGTTAAGATTTGAGCTCTAGAAAGTTGAAATAATAACATCTGTAACTCTTTATAGATACAACTAACAAACTAATTATTTAAGTGTCTTACCGTTTGCATGGAGTCTCTGGGTTAACTTTATATGCAGTTTGGAAATTATAAAGGCTGATAGCTCTGTCATTGAATAAACCAAATTCAATGCAGCCCGTGTACATTGGGTAATTGAGAGAAGCTGGTGGCTAAGAATGGAAAAAAAAAGATTAGATAACTAGAATATTTGGAAATAAACATGATGTGAATAGTGTTAAAGTTATATCCTCCTACAGTGAAGTTGGCTGGGTATCCTCCCACATAGAAAACCACATCATGAGGGCTAAGGTCCAAGAGGTTCTTCATTTGGTCTCCCTGTGCGTTACTTGTAACTGCAGGTCCTCCCGCCACAACATCTTTGTTGAGGATCAGCTCTGCATCCTGGTACATTCTAAATTACAATTCAGTAAAGCTTCGTTATTTTGTGAGTAAGTCTAGCCAGTCTGCTCATATGTGAGTATCAAATTTTATGTGCATTTTGTTTCAAATATGCATTCATATGTTTGTAGTTTCTTATTACAAGCACAAATAAAAGGGGGAGCTTATTACCTCCTAAGGATTGCTTGGTCAAACTTGGACTGCTCCGGTACAGACTTAGTGATTTGGTCTGATTTCATTGTATACTCCACTCCATTGAGTTTGTACACACCATACAATATGTTGTCCCTCAAGACCATGCCGATGTAGTTTTTAGAAGACTGTCAAAATAGAGAGAGGGAGAAATGTTTGCATTAAAACAAGTTGAGTTATTTATTTTTATTTTTTACATTTGCCTATTTGCTCACTCATTGAGAACTTAAATTCATGAATCTGTAGCTATAGTTAGAGCTTGCAATGGTAAATAAAAAAATATTGTTACCATAGAATTCTGTCATGTTTAAAACAGCAGTACAAAGCAGCCAGCGAAAGCATTGGAAAAAATTCTATGATGTGTGATGACACGATCTGGAGGTCAATATAATGTATATGTTTCCGTGTGTGATATAATTTAGAAGTAGGTGTACTATTGGAAAGTGACAGCTGGAAATTTTGTTTCCATAAGTACACTTTAAGAAAACAGGGATTATAAAAAATTACATATAACTTGGGAAACTGATATTTTTCATCATGCCATGATAGTATCATTAAAGGGCCCAAATTATGCTATTATCTGATCCAAATTATAATGTTTCCTCATCAAAAACATACCTAGATTTGTGATTAGTTTCATTCACACATGTTTAAAACACAAATATTTAGGAGTTCTCTTAAACACAAAACACTCGACCTTATGATGTTATGTGGTAATACACACAGTGCTTCACTGTGTTTTTAAAGTCCATACACCTTCACTAGAATCATTTGGATAATCTCAACCCTGGAACTGCCAATGTTGTCTGAACTAAGGTAAAAGGAAGGTAAAAGGTAACTGTTAACTGTTAACTTGAAAACTACAGCTTCATGACAGCACAAGGTAGAACAGAGCATTTTGAGCTTTGGAGATGTAGACTAATAACGCAGGGTTACTGAAACGTGTGGATCAAACAAAACACAACTCCAGGTATGTTTTTGATGAGGTAACATGCATTATAACATGTCTTAAAGCTCATAAGAATCAATTTTGCTTAATACAGGAGCTTTAAGTCTGATCCCATTGACTTACATCTCTACTGCCAAGGTACATGACAAACAGATCTTCTTTCCCTCTGATCTGCCTGCGCCTGCGCCTGCCATCCCCTCTGCCTATAGGCCTTTGGAGCTGCAGAGACACTGAAGTGTAGGCTCTCAGGTCATCCAGGTCTTTGGGTGGTCTCAGCTCCACATAGCCCTCTCCATTGAACTTCATGGGGATACCAATCTGCAGATTGGAAAAATAAACGGGTTGAAAACAATAATAAGGAAGTTGTGTTAAAGTGCATATGATAGGTTAGACTACTAATTTGACTAAAAAGCATAGTTAACATTGTTATATGTAAGATCATACAAAAATCTTGCAAATTTTTTTGATTATTCATTTTTCTTTTTCCTGTATTTCTGTCCTTTTCTTTTAAAATTATTTATTGACACTTAACTGATGAATGATGAATATTTATCACAAGTACTAACCCACTAAACCAACTAAAAATGAGGAAAAGCATGAAAACTTGTCTTTAAAGTGAAAAGTGTATGTGGATTCTGACCCTGTTGGCAGCATCTCGGGCCTGTTCAATAAGATCTTTGATTTTCCTGATGTTGTCTGTGATGTTGCTGAGTGGTGTGAGGTCCATGGTTAGGTTTTCCACTTCTGAGATTTTATTGGTAAGTGTTGGTATTGTATTTAACAGCTTCTTCACTGAAAGACAAAAGACACATTTAATAGTTCACAGTAAGAAAGTACATTTGGAGTAAAAAGATAACTAATCTATTACTAACTTAGTTGCATGTTAAATAAATTATGTGAACACAGGATATTAAAACTTATGCTGCTATTTGCACTGTTTATCTATTCACAAGATAGAACTGACTCTTTTCTGTTTGAGAGAAGAACTTAGCCTAAATATACAGGCTTTGTGTGTTAAACATGTGTGAATGATATAAAACACAACTCCAGGTATGTTTTTGATGAAGAAACAACATTATAACAGATCAGAAAACAGTGTAATGTGGGCCCTTTAAGGAGCATACCTGACTGATCCACATCATCCAGGATACCGCTGCTATTGGAGTCCACAGGGGAGATGTTGATCTTGCCCAGCTCCTTTTGGATTTCGTCCAGTCTGTCCAACGTATTTGTGGCTGTGTCATTGGCCAATGCTGCTTTTCTCTTTGCTTCTTCTAGCATTTCAGCAATCTCACCTAAACATAAAAATATAATATAAAAACACAAGCTTTGAAGGCTAGAAGTCATCATAATCCCATATTCACACAGTCTCTACCTCTGTCGATGTCCTTTAAACCATTTTGAGCATTCAGAAGATCATTTTCAAGAGTTTTCTTTTTTCTCTCAGCCTGTTTCAGACGTTTCTTCAGAGCAGTGATGTCGTCCACCGTAGCTATCAAGATAAAACTGCACTTAATTTTTGGCTGTTTAGTCTGAATTTACTGTCAAACTATTGAGATTTTATACCATTAAGTCTCTTTTCAGCATCCTCTGCCTCACCCACAAGGTCTTTACTTGTATCTTTGAGGTCCTTTGCTCTTTCTGTTAGCTTTTGGTCATTGACGTTCTAAAATTGAAAAGAGTTATTACAATCTGGAAATATTTTTAATAACAGACAATTAATGTATTAATATAATGTAATGTAAGGTAGTAAGGTTAGTGTATATGGTGTAAATAATGTTTTCTTTTGTTTGTTTTTCTTATGTATGGAAAATGATCCTTGATCAAAGCTCAAAATAAACAAAATCATCAAACCATAAAAAATGTGTTGAAAAGTATAACTGTGACTTGTTAAGAAAATTACATAGGGATCTCTAGCTTGTGATAAAAAGTGCTATGACTATAAATAAAAATTTACTACTGTTGCCATAAAAAGAAACAAAACACAACTATATATGTTTTTGAGAAGGTAAGAAGGAAGGAGAAGGAAGAACAGCATTACAACATGGCTTAAAGTGCACAAGAATAAAAGGCTACAATGTTTAATATGGTCTATACTGTATTGGTAAGAAGTTGTATTTGACTTAAATATAAACTTTAACTTACGTTCAGTGCATTTTCCGCTGCCTCTTTAGCCTCATTAGCAGCAGTCTCTGCAGCGTTGATGGCCTCTGTGATGTTCTTGTACGCATCGATAGCATCTTTAGCATTGCGCACTTCAGCCCTGTCACTGGCATTCTTCACTGCACTGTTTCATACAAAAAATAAATACATATAATAAATAAACAGTTTTTGTAATACTCCAAAACTACCTGACTGAAATTAATTGCCTTGATTAAAATAGAAATACTGTTGCTAAAATGTATTCTTAAACAGCAACATATCGCAGATTATCAATATCAAAATATCAGTGATCACATGTATGACCATATCGTGATAATATCGTATTGTGAGCAATATATTTGTATCATGAGGGACCCTGTGATTCCCAGACCTACTTACTCCTCAAGCTCTTTGGCCATCTTGGCGAGGTTCTTTGCATGCTCCTCTGCTTTGATCACAATGTCTTCTTGGGCAGCTGCTTTGGTGAGATCATTCACTTTCTTGGTCAAATCTGTTTTAGCCCCATCGAGTTGTGCGGCTAACTCTTCATACTCCTAAAAAGCACCAGGCAACAGCTGAATAATAACACAGAGCTTGACCTCATCTTTCTCAGTGTACAAAGAGTAAAAATGCAGATAGTTATCAGAAGTGGCAGGCTTGTAAGGGCATGCACGCTTAAAAGTGCGCAACTGGAAATAGATGAGGGATAAGAAAAACAAGGGCTACTACTGTATACTGATGACTTAATTTAGAATTTTTTTGAACTGTCAGTACAAGACAGCTGAAGATAGATGTGAGCGCCCCTTCAGTGTGTCCACCAACAGGTACACAAGAAGCAGCCATCAATCATTTACAGCGCCCATTACACTCTCTTCTGATCTATGTTATAATGTTGTTTTCTTATCACAAACATACCTAGAGTTGTGTTTTGTTTGACTCACACACGTTTAACACAAAGCCTGCATATTTCTTCTCTCAAAGAGAAAACACTCTGTTCCGCCTTGTGATGCCATGTGTCAGTGCTCCATTGTGTTTTCACTAAAATCATTTGGATAATTTCAGCCCTGGAATTGTTAATCTCTACTGAAAAAAAGGTAAAAGTAACTGTTAACTTGAAAACTACTGCTTCATGACATCACAAGGTGGAACAGAGTATTCTGTTTTTTGGAGATGTAGACGGATTAATAATCCAGGAGTACTCAAACATGTGTGAATGAAACAAAACACAACTCTGGGTATGTTTATGATGAGGTAATAGTATTATAAAATGACTTAAGCCTCACAAGAGTCAAGTTTGTGGAATATATGACCTTTAAATACATTATTCATTAATTTATTCATGTTCAGAAGTGGCAGGCTTGCATGCTTAAAAGTGTGTAACTAGAGACAAGTGAGAGGTAATAAAAAGAAGGACTACTCTTATATTACTGTATACAGATAGCTTAATTAAAGCTCTATTAATAATTTTGGGTCATAAGATTTACCTTTTTGCTGTCTGTTAGCATTTTCACCATATCCTGAGTCTTTTGTAGCTCATTTTTGGCCATGTCCATTTGATCCTGTACAGTCTTCCTCTCCTTTTTCAAGGCCTCTACACGTTTCTGTAGGGAAAAAGTAACCAACATAATGAGTATTTTAACACAATCAGACCAGAGAGAACTGACTTAGCTGGAACTAGAACAGGTGAGATGATTTGTGCTGTTAAACAAGTCTCTCACATGTAAAATTACAGCCACAAGCAAGTTTTTCAGTTAATCACTCTCAAACACTTAAACAGGACTACAAATGCTTATATTGATCACACTCTCCTGAAAATGTGCTGTTTAAATCTATTTTGTATATATATATTTTTTGGCTTTCAGACTATCTTAAAACTTTTTTGGCATTGTTTGCAAATGTGTGCCTTTGTAACTACATGTAGAGTATCAGTAATTTTAAGGTGCATTATTTGGCTTTTATCCAACCACACTTCAATCATCTACCTACCCCCACCTTAATAAAATATTACACGACTAGAGCATGTTAACTGAAGTCTAAACATGACATAATAAACATAATTAAGTAAATAACATGCCTTGCTTTGCTATTAAATGCTCTATCATTACCTTCAGGTCTTCCAGCTCTTTAGCGCTGAGGTCATTCTGGGACATAGCCTGTTTCACTCGGTCTTCCGCCTGCTTCAGAGCCTCCTCCAGATCTTTGAGTTTGTTATTGAAGTTATTCAGCAGTGAGTTCAGTTTCTTTGCAGTCGCCTCATTTTGGTCACACTGATCACTCACATTCGTTCTGATGTAGTCCAGCACTACAATGAAAAAATATGTAATGTATCATATTGTCTGTATCAATATATCTCGTCTAGATAGGCTGCATCACATAAGAAAATTTTATTCTGTCAATGAGATTTTTTTGACATATTACATTAGCTTCTGTTTACCTGTTATAATGTTGTTTCCACATCAGAAACATACCTGGAGTTATGTTTGTTATGTTTAGCATACAAATTCTGGATATTTAGGCTGTATTCTTCTCTCAAACAGAAAACTATGTAAACGGTGTGTAATATAAGACTTTTAAAACTGAATACATTTAACCATTTATCCAAGTAGCTTCCTCAAATCTGACACTGTTTCTGGAGTTAACTACACTAAAACTAACACACCCTAGTTGTTTGCAGTAAGAAATATCTGTTCTTATTTCACTGAACCTATGTGAACTAGGATGTGTTAGTTTCAGTGTAGTAAGTTTCTCCCTTCAGTAACATATAAGGCAGTCACTTACAGAACCCTGTCAGAACTGAAGAAGCTACTTAGATGAGTGTCAAATCGTATTCACACTTAAAAACTTTCATCCTGTTGACAGACTTAAATGTCTTTAGCAATTGTATCATATTGCAAAAAATATATGAAACTTTAAGTGCAAATTTCTTTCTTACATTTTCTAGCTTCTTCTCTTTCAGTCTCAGCAGCTGTTTTCTGAGGAGTGAAGTTCCTCTGTCCCATCTCCTTTACCATACGTTCTGCTTCTTCTAATAATTTGGTTAGGTTTTCATTTGACGGACGATCACCACTTGTTCCCATTTCTCGCAACTGGTCGATCAGGGCTGTAAAAATGAATGCATATTAACTTTAAAATCTTTAATTCTTTCATATTTACTTGTATTAATTATGTACAAAGAATTACCGTGAATTTTCTTGAGCATATTATTGATATCTGTATCCAGGGTCTTTGCTCGTTTGTGTGTCTTGTCTATTTCTTCTATTGCTTTGTCTGTGGCTGATGCAGTGTCTTTAGCCTAAACACAAATACATTAAAATAACATAATTTACAGATGTTTTCTTTGCTCTTTTTGGTGTTTTCAAAGTCTCACCTTGTCTTTGAGGGGACCAATATCATTCTCCAGACTGTTGATGTCGTCCTCGAGCTGGGTGATTTTGGTCTTTTGGTTGTTTACTGAGCGGGTGTATTTGTCCACAAGAATCTGTAAATAAGCACACAGTAAATTTAAAGGTGCATTATGTAACGTTTCTGGCGTAGGATCCGTGAGATGATTTTCTCTGTGGAGATGTTTTTGCTTCATCTGAAATATTGCACAGTATGGTATTAAACCTTTTTATCTTCATGGAGACCAAACCAGACAAAGTTACAGGTCAGATCTATGGAGAGGCAACTATTTTTGCGCTACCCATGATAAAAAAAAAAAAAAGTAAGGCCATGTCATAATAAGAATAATCAAGAATAAGATTTAATGCAAAAGTTTGAGTTACTGCAAAAGACTGACAGTAGCCTTTAGTTTTAAATGGTAAATGGTCAAAATGGTCCCTTTTTTGTGCATTTTCACCTTCAAGACACTGGGGACAAAGTGGGTTAAGAGTCTTGTCCAAAGATACAATGACAGCATTCAATTGTGGGAGCTGGTATCACACCACTAACTTCTGAGTCAGTCTAACTCATATAACAAAAATGTTTTATGCTTAGACTGGGATGCGTACCACCAACCTTTGGATCAGTGGACAAACACTCCAACTGAGCCACTGTCATCCATGAATGACAACAGTTGATACGATCCGTATACTGTTATGTAAATACTCGTGTATGTACAGGGCATGTTTTTATATCAGCACAAATCTGGAATGTTTTTATAAGCAAAAATGCCCCCCAGAAACCATATCACATGCATTTGAAGTGCAGGGTTTTCTAACAGTTTTAAAATTTACCTTGGTATCTGCTATGGCCTTCTCGAGCTTTTTCAGTCTCTCGTTGGAAGATGAACTCGCACTGGCATTTTCCAACAAAGTTTTGATTCTTTGCAGTTCGTCATCTAGCTTTTCCAAATCATTCAGCAAAGTCAACGCACAGTTATCACATTCTGAAATTACATACATATTAGTCAAATTAGCATAAAAATAAATGCAATTTTCACTTATTTGTATTTGTTTTAGTTTTTTTTTTACCTTTGCACTGGTCATCTGTGTTAGTGTCTCCAGGCTCCAGCGTATTCTTACAGACTGTAGACATTTATTGAAATTTTGTTAAGTTAATTTTGTACATACTTCATACTATTTAGTATTATAGATATAGATATATATATAGATATATATAAGTAAATATAAGCAGGCATAGGCAAAATCAATATCCTTACTTCCAGTCCTAGGGTCACAATTGTTCCCATTGCCATTGCAGTTGCATGGCCGACAGCTTCCTCCGGGAGCCATAGGGTCACCATAGAAACCAGGAGAACATCTATGGAAGCAGGTAGACAAAATAAACACCAAATAACATAATAAATAACATTCATTATGGGAATATTTTGAATGTACAGGCTAACACACACCTCTCACATCTTTCCCCAGTGTAGCCAAGTTTACATGAGCACTTGATCCCACCGCTGACCTCCTGACAGCCCATAGCAAAACTACAAAAAAGTAAAATAAACAAATAAATAAATAGCAGTACAAACATAAATGAATGAAGAAAAATCTGTGTTTAAGTGACTGATGGTTGCTCTTTGCCTACCTGTTTGTGGACACACTGAAGGGGCAAGGGCAAACAGTGCATGTCCTTTGTGATGGGTTTCCATAGTAACCCTCTTTGCAGCGTTCACATCTGTCTCCAGCTGTGTTGTATTGACAGTTCTAAAAAAAAATTACATTTTAATGAAGGTTCATTCATTTTAATTTTATTTTATTTTTATTTTTAAAAGGCCCATAACATGCTATTTTCTGATCTGTTATAATGTTGTTTCCTCAACATAAACATACCTAGACATACCTAAAGTTGTGTTTTGTTTAATTCACAAGGTGGAATAGAGCATTTTGAGCATTTGAGATGTAGACAGACTAATAATAAAGAATTACTCAAACATGTGTGTATAAAAAAAACAAAACCAACAAAAACCAAAAAAAACAAAAAAAACCACAACTCCAGGTATGTTTTTAAGGAGGTAACAACATTCTAACATGACTTAAAGCTCCAAGAGTCAATTTTGTGTAATATAGGACCTTTAAATGATTAGATTTCTATAACATACATTGCGTAACAATCAGGCACTACTTCATATCAAATGAATCAAATGAATGAGATGTTGAAATAGTTGACAGCCTCAGGGCCTAGTCTCTGACTACACAATTGTTCACAGTGGCGTCACACAGCATGCCCTGTCTAAAGAGCATACCACAGGTTGCAATGTACTATGTACAGTCAGTTTGGGGGTCTTACCAGACACCTCCCTGTTTTGTCCTCACACTCGGTGGCTAATCCGTTACAGTTGCATGGTATACACTGGCCCAGGTACAGTCCACTACCATCTCTGAAGTAACCGGGGGCACATTTCTAAAAAAAATACAACACATGTAGTTAAAAGCAGATATATACAATACATGTAAATAGATAACTTCATCAAAATACCGTACTATTAAATGTAATCAAAATTAGGAAAAATTTGAATTGTAGAAAAAAAGTATAAATATTCTGAAATGTTAAACAATTGATTGCTATATACATTGGCCCCAAGGAAGAGTTCTCTGGTAACCTTAAGAAAAAAAAAAAAAAGAATTAATTGGAAAAAAATTATCACAACATCCCAAGATGTTAAGTTCCTCTCATTTAAAATAAAAATGTAAATCCATCCACCGGCTTGCAGTTTGTTTTTCATGTGCTGATAATTCCTCTGTTTGTCTTTTATCAATACATACCATATACTCCAACTTAAACAGTGATCCACCCCTTGGCTTGAACTTTGCTTTAAGAGATAACAGTGGTAAAGGCACCACGTTTTCTCTAAGACACATATATAAAAAACTCAACCATCTTTTACCTGGATTTGTTCGCTGGCAACAGTATCTATAAGAGTGGGATACTGCACGGTCTGCCCTGTGTTCTGACGCCAAGGGAATAACCATGACCAAGAGGAGCCCTGATCATTGACTGTTGGATATTGCAGCCTGTTCCAATAGGAGCGAGCCTTTGTGAGCAATCTCAATGCCAGAATAAGGTTAAAAAGATGACTAAAAAAACCGCTGAAGGTGGCATTTTGGCAGCTGCTGCTGGGATAGAAGGTGTGTGTGCAAAAATATTAAATATAATAGTCATTATCTGAATAAAAAAAGGCAAATGAAAAGGTTCATTGAGACTATTTTTATCTGTAGCATTACAATGTGACATTTTCCACCCTCAAGATCATTCACTCATTCACACGTACTCTCATTAATCAATGTACGCAGGGTGTGGTGCGTATGCTTATCTTGCCCAAGGACACAATGACAGCATTCATTGTGGAACTGCACCTCCAACCTGTGGGTCAGTGGATCTGACCACTCAACCAATGACGCTTACGTAGAGAGTGGCAACTTTCAGATCAGTGGACAAACGGTCTACTAACTGAGCTACTGTCAAGTCGTATTGTTTAAGTTGGTAATACTGTATCAATATTGTGTGCTGCTATATCGCCATATTGTTAAGAGTATTTTTTATTTATTTTACCAAAATATTTTGTGACTACTCTACAGTTTTGATCATTGATGCAATACATTTGACATATTTACTGTTTTGCTTTTTAAAATAGGTGTATTTCATATTCAGTTTGCAAGAGTAGTCAACTGAAAGTTGAGAAAAGTTCTTAAAAACTCATTGCTGTGACTTAATAGGATGTTCAGAATGCATAAACTAAATGAGGAATAACTTCTAGACTGCAAACTAGTTAAAAATAAACTAATTCTGTTTTCTACACATTTAAAATTGTAAAAATTAAGTCTAGCACATTTAAAAGAGATTCAGGCTTAGTAACTACTTAACCCTAGAACACTATCGCCGGGTGATTTTCACCCGAGCAAATGTATTTACATGATTTTCAATATGTTGCATTTTTCTGAGTGTCATGAGTCCCTGGGTAGCTTCACCATTGTTTTTAACATCTATGAAGGTGTGGGTGTTTCCCTACCCCAAAGCCCACTTTTTCCTACAGGCTTGGTTTCGGGTGATTTTCACCCGGCAATAGTGATAGAGGGTAATGTACGTTTTGGGTGAATTTCACCCAGCGATAGTGTTAGTGTATAAAATCAAGTGATCCTGCCACATGTCAAGGGTGACAACATTCAGTCTCACCATATTTACTGTCACTCTCTGACATCTCAGCTAGTGAGTAACACATAGGTAAGGTTTAGGTAAGGTGTCGATACTTTTGACCAGATGTGTGGTCACTATGGCTGTGGAAGGAAAACCAAGAGATGGCCACTTTGTGTGTTCTATGGTATGATCAATGCTTGTGTGATTAACTCCTGGATCATTCACAATGGGAATACGATGAAGAGAGGTGACAACCAAATGCAGAGGCCTTATATGCAGGCTTTGGCACTGGCACTCATCAAACCATGGGCAGAGCAGAGACTGTCCTCTTCAAATCTGTCATGTCAACTCAGAGTCCTGATCTGTAGTGTGCTTGACATCCCTACCTCTGGCACTCTTGTGAATGAGGCAGGACCAGTGGCAGCAGAAAGCAATAGTCCCTTAGTGAGGTGTGCTGACTGCCCCGCAGGCTCGGACAGGAAGACACGGCACAGGTGCCATGTCTGCCGTCGACCGGTGTGTCCACGCCATTACTACCCTGCGTGTACTGACTGCATGTAAGGAATAGGTAAGTAAGAATGTTCTTGGAATGTGTATGCTAGCCTTATTTAGTGCAGTGGTTATGAATATATATAACAAAGTGGTGATTTCAAAGTGAATTCTTATGGTGAAAACAATATTTTAATCAAGTGGTCATTTTTACACACTGAAAAAATACTATTTTTTGTTCCTCTCTCCTGTAGCTGTTTGCGTGCCAAGGAGTCTGTGCCTTCACCAGGGAAGTCTCACATGTCTCAGGAATGGGTGGACCAAAGACCAAGTTTCCTCTATCATTATTTTTTTTTTTAGGAATTTTTTGTTCTCAAATTCCAAATTTTTTAGTAATTTTCAAGCATGTTTGTAGGATCTTCCTATTTTTTTATTTTCCATTTTGTTAAACATACCACAGTTGAAAATAAAAGAAAACCACTCTAATTTATCAAGTGTTGTCATATTTTGATCTATTTTTTATGACAAGTACCTTTTGTTGGGTATATTATATCGGGTAAAAATCACCCGGCAAAAGTGATGGTGTAACTTTTTATAGCGAAAGTGTTCTAGGGTTAATTAAGAAGTTAGGGTTACGATATTCATAAAACCTTTGCAAACAACTAATTATGCTGTCTTAGCCTGTCTAAAACCTAACCCTGTAGTTTAGCCCTCTACAAACATGTTCTGAAATGCATGGTATTGTTGGATTATTTAAGCAGTTCAGATTTCAATCTTCTCCCAAATGTTAATGCTCCTTGACGTGTTTAGAATGTGAACTATGAACAGAATCCTCCTATAAAAACATAAACCGTGAATTGAATTGTAGTTGCAGTGGCTGTCAGAAAAAAATGTATATCTTTCAAAATCGTTCATTCCAACTTGGAGGAAGTGTTTGGGAAGAGGGAATTCTGGGTACATCCCTACAACCAAGCCCCTAGAAAAGTTCTATGGTTCTGTAAAATGAATTGTTCTTTGCTTATTTATTAATTACATTTTAAAGTTGGAACACCAAATCCTCTTAAAGGCGTACTGTGTAACCTTTCTGGTAGGGTGCTCACCACCTGCTTGTTTCTATGGAGATAATGCTGTTTTGCTTTGATTATACGACAGTATGGAAAAAAAACTTGGTAATCACAATGCGACAGGTTAATGGTCAGATCTATGGAAAAGCAAGGCTGAACATGTAAGAATTCATGTTTTTCAAGGTAATTTAAGCTATAAAAAAACTGTAATTGTAAAAAATGCAAGGCAAATATGCTTAATGCCCTACTGTGGAACATTCCTTGTAAAAAAAAAAAACATAACCATGGAGACAAGCAAGGAGGGAATCGTGCACCTTAGAAGTTGCATAGTGCACCTTTAAAATATTGTGTTATGCAGTTTGTGTGTGACGCGTAACCATGCAGGTGATCACAGCCTCGTAATCACTAATATTATGTCTGTGCCTCATATCCCACCCTGAGGGAATACAATTCAGCTGCACGTCTTCGCAACCGGTATTTTCCAGTACATTCCTCCCACTGCTCCTCAGCTGATAGAGTTTTTTTTCTTCTAAAGAAAAAGGTGCAGCCCTGAGTTCTGGCAAGTCAGGACACCCGAAATGTATGAGCTCCTCAAAAAGATTCCTTTCAGTCATCGTGAGCTCCACCCTGAATGTTATGTACAGAGTATTTCACACCTGACAAGTCCTACTGCCACTCCCTACAGTTGCTATATCATTTTCAGTGTAGCCGAGAGGCACATATATATGTTCGTGGTAAAAAATCTACAGGCTGTTAATGAATCCATGTGTGTCTTAATGCTATAATGACATCATGTCTGGGAGATTGCCTGATCTAGTAGTGGAAAGAGTATTGAATATTTGTAAAAGTAAAAGTAAAAGGTAGGCATGAAAAATACTACTAGTGTATTAGCAATTTTAGAAGCTTTTTAGATCAGCTTTCTGTACAAATCTCAGTCAATCAAAAGTAAAAGTGAATTTAGTCGTTTTATAAACCACAAGCTATGTATTCTCTGAAGTCTGGCTTATCAGAGCAGGCAATGCTGTGCTGGATGTGTGTTGGAATGGAGAGAAACAAAGACGGCCATGGGTTTCAACTAATTACAAATACATGGCTAGAATTATACTCAGTTACAAGTACAAGGTTTAAAAAGTACAGTTATTTAAAAAATATCCTCAGTTACACTAACATGTGTATTTGTAATGAGTTACTTTCCAGTCCTGGCCTTACCTCACAGGAGTCCCCAGAGTACTCAGGAGGGCAGGAGCACTTCTCCACAGTGCTGCCTGGGCTCCCTGTGCCACTGTCAGAGGCCTCCTCCAGCCCCACGTCCCCCAGGCTCAGGCGCTGGCTTTGAGTGAAGTACAGTGCTCTGATCCTCAGACCCACCAGACTGGCCAAGACCATCATCAGCTCCTGTCTAGACACCGGCCTGTTGTTGCCTGCATGACGCCAGTTTCCCTACAGATAACAACAGGTCATATGGGTATACATAAAAGCACTAAGGTTAAAAACATTAAACAAGACCCACTTTTCCAAATTTTATGTTTTATTTAGTATTATTATTTTTTTTACTTTTGTATTTATTCATATTCTTGCTCTTATTTGATTTCACTAGTTTTATTGACTTAACACGAACCAGGGAGTTAAATAGAGCTTTATTTTATATTCCAATCCAATTTTTAATCTATATTGAACAAATTTTTACCCATAGTTTAACCAGGAAGGTCACAAAAAAAACCTTGGCCAATCTCAGAAATGTGGATAACAATAGTAATTTATAAATGCATTACTCCAGTTATGCTTTTAATTAGTTGCTTTTTATGCTTTTCTAAGTGCATTATAATGTGATAAAAAATAAAAGTGCACTGGGAAAAATATATGTACTGTTTACCTCTACAAGCTGCACTCGTCCATGGTAGATCCTGTCTGGATTTGGAAGCTGTGGGGCCACGTGAACGAGAGTCATACTTTGGCCCTAAGAAGAAGTCAAAATAATGTTGATGACAAATGAGCAGAATCAGACTAAACATTTAGTAGAACTGTTAGTTCTCTTACAGTAAGGAGAACATCTGGTCTTCTGTCGATCAAAGTCATCCCCTCACTAGGAATGCCAAAAGACTTTGTTTGGTAAGTCAAGAAACCGCCGTAGGAGGAGACCTGAAGAGGGATAAACGGTGTTTGTATACGGGGTACTTAGGTGCTTATTTTTTGACTACAATAAGCTCTGTAAGGTAAGTATAAATATAATGACAACATTTCTCTAATTAAGTCTAAGACTAACCCTGTTTCCCAGGTAAGAGCGCGGTGCCACCCAGTGCAGCACCCAGACTGTAGGACTGAGCTCCTGGACATCTGCCACCACAGTCCCACTGGCTGAGTTCAGTACCGAGGGCACCTCCTTTTGGTCTGGACTTTCCAGTCGCCAGCCACGCATCTCCACAAACTAAAACAAAATGACAAGGAAAGACATCCACCAAGTAATTAAATAGAAATTATTTGGGCAATTTAAAACAATTTAATGCCAAAAATGTACCTTTCCCCTCCGTTTGGTGGAGCTCTCACACTGGTCTGTTGCTCCAAAGCAGAAACAGCTGGTGCAGCCCATAGGGTTGAGAGGGTCAAAGTGGAAAGAGCCTGTTCGACAGCTTTCACACCTGGGTCCAACCACATTTCTCTATCAAAGCAACAGCAAACATAAACAAAGATATACAGTAAATAGTTTACTTTGTCAATTTACTATAATCAAGTTGTGACTCTTACCTTGCAGAGACATGCACCAGTGTCAGGATCACACACCTCGCTGGTGACACCTCCCTGTTCACAGTTGCAGCGCGCACATTGTGGGTAACCATAGTAACCAGCAGCACAGCGGTCGCACTGCCTCCCTCCAATCCTGGGCTTACAACTTAAAAAAAAAAAGAAGTTTATAGATTTTTATTGCAGCATACAATCTTAAACTGAATACAAGCTCCCTGACCTGCATTGTCCAGTGATGCGGTCACAGTCGGGCCCTGCATTAGCAATGATACCAGTGGGTGAACACTCGCAGTCGTCACAGCCCAACAGGGGGTGGTAGCTGTAGGTCAGATTCTGACACACATCACAGGAGGGTCTGACTGTCTGAGGGGGGCAAATACAGCGCCCTGTCACCTCATCACACAGCCGACGCCCACATTCACAGCCTGCAATCAAAATATGTATGATCCATTAACTAATAGAACAAAAATAATTTCAAGAATTTGGTTTGGAACGCAAAGTTGACTCACGTCTGCAGTAGGGAAAGCCATAGTATCCTGTAGCACACTTATTGCATTGGCGTCCGATCACAAACTGCCTGCACGGGCACTGTCCTCCCAATGGGTCACATGTAGAAGAAGTTGAGCCAGTCTTATCACAGTCACAGGGAAGAGCGCCATTATTGTAAGCTGCTACAAGAGAGCGTGCTGCATGTCTGCAGAACTCTGGGCAGCTGACTGGGCTGAAGAGGAGACAGCACAAAATAGGGTGACCACTTGTACATCTTGGTTGTTCTGTACAGCCGTTTAAATACCCTATATTACACAAAACTGATTCCTGTGAGCTGTAAGCTATGTTAGAACGCTGTCATGTTTGAGTAAACCTGTCTGTCTTCAAAGATCAAAATGCTCTGTTCCAACTTGTGATGTCATGTAGCAGTAGTTTTGAAGTTAACAGCTAGCTTTGTCCTTTTTCAATAAAAATTGGCAATTCCAGGGCTGAAATCACCCAAATAATTCTAATGAGGTGTGTGGAGTGGAGCAATTCCTGTGTTAACACATGACATCACAAGATGGTGGAGTGTTTTCCGTTCGAGAGAAGAATTCAGCCTAAATACCATACCATATATCTGAAAATAGCATAGGCCCTCTAAACCACTGTCCCTTGCCTCAGTTGTTTTGAGAATGTCCCACTTTTTAAAATGATGCTACATGAGATTTCCATACATCATAATTTTCTTTTTTAGGAGTACTGACAGTCAGGGCTGTATTATGTTGGCACCAGGGCTGAACGATTTTGGAAAAAATATAATTGATTTTTCTATCAAGAATTGTAATTAGAATTTAATTTGTGATCCAAATCCAAATTTTAAACATGCCCAAGAGCATAAACATTTGAGAGAGATGATTGAAATCTGAACTGCTAAACTAATCCAAGAATTCCATGCTTTTCAGAACATGTTTTTAGAGGTCTAAAGTACAGGGTTGGCAAGATTTTGACAGCATAAGACAGGACAATTTGTTTTTTGCAAAGGAAATTATGTCAGTTAAATAATTGTACATCTTGTGATTGCTAACTGTGACCACTCAAATTTCAGTTTCATTGCAGCATAAGCTGCAGCTCACTTGACATTTAACCTACTGCTTTTCCAATCTTTCTGTGCGTTACGACTGATAAAAACAAAAAAATCATCTTCATTACAATCAACTAATAATCATTAATTCTTCTTTTTTTCTTCAATGTGAGGTGCTCACCTTGACTGTCAACGAACACTAGAGGGCAGCATTTAATATAAGTTAAGACTACATATCAACTCCAGTGTCGTGACAAAGAGGCAGAACAGACACAATGGTAACTTTTGATAAGATAATTCTATGTTCAGTCAAGGCTGTTTTATGGTAGAAAAACATCTTTTTACTTTATCTTTGTCTATCTGACCACAATGGAAGCTTACTCAATATAGAAGCCTTCCCCTCGACACTGCTGAATGAAATCTGCTGATTTATCCTGTGGCTGAGCTTTCAGGGCATCTGGGGTGTAACTGCTGTCTGGAACCAGCAACAAATAATCCTACGGAGAGATCAGAGAGATAATGTCAGTTAAATCTGGAAAATTCGTAAAAATCATTGAAAATTTGATACTAAAACTAGCATTCAAACCAAATCAAATCATTTAAACAAATATTGATACAAAACATAAAAAATAAAAAATAAATCTGACTTTCCTGAACAGTTTTAGAATGATCAGAACTAGTATAAGACCATGTGATAAGGAAAGTAGTATTGTTCTGTTCTGAAAAACGAGCATTAATAATCACAGTGGAAGCAAAATTGGTATATGAGTAACAGTATAGTGTCTATTTCTTAGTTTCAAAAACATGACATCACTGAAACCTGGTTTAAGTAAAGTTATGCAATTGTTGTCGGATCAGTAGTACAGTATAATTTAAAGCATATTTCTTAGAATCAAAATAGATTTTACATTTTAGTATCGTGATAACACTGAAACCTGGTTTTGTGTGATTATTTTGTAATTATTTTTACATATCCTAAACATAGAATATCAGTACAATTTAACTATGTGTGGCACTTATGCGAAAACATGGAGGTTGTGGTGCTTGAGAGGGGGCCATTTGGAAAAGCAAAGAATTCAATCTGTAGAGCCCCTCTCCAAAACACAAGTCCCCCACTTTGGATGTTTCTATGTAACGTGCTTGACATGCTTTGGTAGGCCACTAGATATGACAACAAAAACACTTCACTGACCACAAACAGGGTCTTCCGTGGTGGAATGATCAGGGAGATGCTGGGCTGTCGCCAGGAATGTGGAGTGAAATCAAGTGCAATGTGACCATCAAAGATCAGTACGTCTCTGCAGCCTGACATTGCAGGGCAGAACGATGCATTCACTGAACCTATGAGAAAGAACAATCAAATCTATATAAGGAAGTCTGTCTGAAAAGGTCCAAAGATTTAGATCTGATTGCCTCACTGAAAAGGCTTTTATACTACGTCCAAAATAAACATGCACATATCCAAATGGAAGTCTGTGGATTTTGGTATCTTTTGATGAGGCAGGAGTGATCTTAGCACGCCACTCACCAGTCCAGTCACGCCCCGCCTCCACTCGCACTTCCACAGGGAAACTGATGTGCTCAGGCTGGTGGTAATGGACCACAACCACATACCTGCCTGGGAGGGGCACCCGAGGAGAGAAAGTGATTTCTGTCTGGAAAGCAATAAGTAGTGGTGTAAAATAGCTGGAGGAAAAGACATGGCAGATAATTTTATACATTTTTAACGAAATAAAGATTGAAATGAACTACAGGCTTCTAGATAGACAATGTAAAAATATTAACTGTATTATTGATGGAAATCAGAAAATGTTGATTTAATAATAACACTATAAAAAGGTCTTTATGTGTTTTAGAGTCTAATCCAGAAAACTATTACAATGTTCAAAATGCGACTAGTAAAGATTAGTCAATGAATTGGTGCAGCCCTACTCTAGAGGAGTTGGGAAAAAATAACAAGGGAACACACCAAATGATTATCACCAGAAGCCAGTCCCTTAATAGTGTCACTAGAGTGGTTAATATGGAAGAAGTGGGTAGATACACAGCAACTTCAAATCCAGGGTCAAGTGCAGAGACTTACCCACTGCACCACTGTTGCCCAAAAAGCACTTATATTTGTCAAAGGGGTTTAAAATGAGAGGAGAGCACTGCATTAAGTTTATAAAGGCATGGGGCAGCAGTAGCTCAGTTGGTAGAGCATTCGCCCACTGGTGTGTGAATGTGTGTGTGAATGGGTGAGTGGTTCCTTGTTGTAAAGCACTTTGAGTGCCTTGAAGGTGGAAAATGCTACAGAAATGTGACAATTTACCATTTACCATGTCTGTACAGTGATACCTGAGGGAATTTAAGCAGAACGCCATCATTGGGAGGTTCACGTATTGGAAATACACCAGTCTGTCTGCGGCGTCTCCATTCCTCACTCTCTCTGTGCTGATGGTCAGATGCCGGGCTGGATGACAGCTGTCCATCCCGGGCCGCAGACAGGAGCCAGGGGGATCCAGGCATGTCAAACTGACTCTGAATACAATACTGACTGCAAAGGGAATAAAAGTGAGTTATGCTAGAATCAGACTCATACTGAACTCATATACTAGTTGTTTAGGGATGAACCTGATATGGTACTCCACAATGAAATCAGCTACTACAAAACTATTCCTTATAACTAATGTTACTACTATTGCTGTCACTGTTTCAATTGCTTCAGTTTGACTTGGTACAGACTTGAGCCATGGAATCCTACATAATTATAAGATGAAAAAAATGTGCACATTAGACCTCAAATGAATGACAGGGCAGCTGTGTACAAATACTGTGTGAAAATAGTCATTATGGGGTGAGAGTTTGACCCTGTCTTGACCCTCAGGTTTTCAAACACATTCTGTACATGCCAAAGGCAAAAAAACACCCAAATTATCTAAATAATACACACTGAACTTGACTAATATTATGGTAGTCCATGAGAGAGAAAATCTTGACCAGCAGCTCACCTGTCTTCAGTGAAGCGTCCATGAGTAGAAACACAAAGCACTTTCGGCTCAACATACTCCACTGAGAACTCCTCTGCAGGCACCACATACACCTTATACTAAGACAAAAATACATAACTGCATTATTCTACTTGTACAGATCTTATGTCATACACATATTTCAGGTAGTGTAATTCAATCTGTTGAAAGCCCTTATATCAATCTGTTAAAAGCCCTTCTAGTGACTGCTGTTGCCAATAAGCCATGGTTACAAACACTGTGATATCAACATTGCATATTCTAAGATTGTATCTACCCCTATCAAATAAACAAAAAAAACAATAGCTTGGCATGGCTATTTCCAAATACAGCCAAACATTTGCCTGACCAGCCAGTCCCTTCTATATTCTGTTCAAATCCAGAAGGGTCTGGAGCCAAGCCATAGAGTGTGAAAAACCTCCGTCCAAATGTGAAACAGTCCAACCACAGCCACTAATTTGTATCACGTCTCTCAAAATGCAGGAGACATCTCCTCTCCAAAATTCTCGTAACAGTCAGAACTAAATGTATAACTTCTTTTACCTGAGATAAATAATAGTTTGGTGCTTCAGCTGTTTTTGATTCTACAAAAATCTGTTTCTCAGTACCCTGTGTTGTTCTTCCCCCTTTTTTTTAAACTTCTAAACGACCAAGTTTTTTCTGAATGGTTAATCCACCTGTCAATCACTCCTTCTGTAATTGTGGAGGGTCATCTTTGTAAAATTTTTGTCAAATGTGTGGTTCTGGCTGGCCAGGTAAACCAAACATCAGGTCAAGTCAATTTTTTTTTCAAAACTAGATTGAAACTAAGCATTTACTGACACCTGTAGTCATGCCTCAAATTTTTTGATAAATTAAAAATAAATGATTTGATAAACTGTGTACATTACAAACTGAGAGCCACTGCTTTTTCTTACCAACATGAATGTAGTAGTAGACGTCTGAAGCAGGAGTGCTGTTTTGTGAGTTAACTGCAACATTGCCACCCTGTTACTGCTGTCCACTGCTACACTTCGGCACAAAAAGCTGTTAAGAGGAAACATAATGTGAGTAAGTTAAGTTAGAGTCCTTTATTGATACTTTGCAGTGAAATCATGTTGGGGTGTTCTACATGTATCTCTATTGGCAGAATGTTCAAAAGTTACCATGGTGACACAATTCACACATTAGCAAAAACTGCCAAACATGTTTTAAAATAGTCAAGAAAAAACCTACAAAAAATAAACAAACAAACAAACAAAAAAATACAAAATTCAAAATAGATTTAATCAACACATTTTCAGGAGCCTGTGATCAATAAGAGAATTCATGGTCCTGTTTTTCAAACAAATAGTGAGAGTGACAAACTGAAAAACTGCTACCTATCTTGTGACAGTAATTTTATGTTGTAGTTGTTGTAGTTCCAACCAAGTCAGCCCTTTATGGTTAGACTGTGTTAACATAAAGCTCAGATTAAGTCTCTAACTTGAGTAACAGAGCTTCAGACAGAGTAGTGCTTTCAATTAGCTTCACACCCCCAGAGAATGTTGATGACATCAGCTGCAAAGTATCAATATCTTATAGTAAACCATTGAAATTACTTTGTAACACACCTGAAAGCGCAGCTATAAATGTTAGCCCTTGCCAGGATTTGAGTGCCAGACTGGCCGCTAATGAGCATGTTTACGTTCTGCAGAGTGTCCACTTCACTAGCATACTCCAGGACCAGAGCATAGGCACCGGGTTGAGGCACGCGCAGGGTGAGCTGCAGCTGGGACTATAACACAAAACATAACATTGTAAATACTATACAGGAAGACAAAAATTTCATAACAGAACAATTATTATGACAAAGCTGTGACAGAGATTAATTGCACTTTCCAAACCACTAATTAAAAAGAGTTGGGAAACAAGAAGATCATTTATTTTGAATTAGAGCTGCACAATTTGGGAAAAAAAAAATCTCTTCTTTGTGCACATTGTAAACAACTCACATTAGAGAAGAAAATGAACTGACAATCCCATGCATTTCAGAACATGTTTGTAGAGGAACCTATTATCTAAATAGGTGTAGGCTTTGATATTTGATAATTGTGCCAACTCAAAAATAGAAAGACTCCCGCACTCTGTCTAACTTGCAAAAAGTGAGCTTTATTTACAGTGGAGCAACATTTCGGCAGCTAGGCCTTCATCAGGTAAATGGTTTGTATGAGGCTATCTTAAATAGGCGTGGCTGGAGTTACACCCAATGGGAGCACCCAGAATGCATGGAGAAAAAAATACATATAACGCATCATACACAATAAATAAGTGGCACATATAGCTGTACAGGATCCAATGAAGAAGAATGACATTATATACATAAGTATTTATCTTACAACTGGGGTAACTCAAATTGCTATTTCGATTAAACTGAGAGATAATGTGCAGCCCTATTTTGAAAAACTACACTTGGTGACTATTGTAGATTTGAGCTCTCCCACCTGTCTCCCATTGAGCAGAACCATCTCTGGGTGGTCTGCAGTGGGCCTTCGCACTTTGGTCTGCCTCCTCTTACGCCCACCGCGGCTGGACAGCACCCCTTGTGTGCCCAGTACTGAGGTGAATGCATCCAGGGATAGGTGCTTGTATAGTAAACAGCTGGTAAAGTACATAAAGTGGTTACACATTTTAGCCAATTTTACTGTATATATTTTATAAAGTGTTTAATACATTTTGGAGCTCATTTGTTCAGTTTTTTTCTGTACAAAAAATTAACAGAAAATATACTGAACTGACGCCTGACAGTGAACCAAATGATTTTAGCATACCATTAAAACCCTACATGCAAATAACTGGAAATATCTTGCGATTTTGGGGAATTTTTGCAAAACACATAATCATAGGATGTTTTGCAAAATGTGAATGAACAAAAAGATTACATTATCCATTATCTTCTTTCTTTTTATCAGATATATTTGCAGCTTTTTAAATTGGGCATATCCTCAAAAGATTGAATATTGCAATCTAATCTCATACCCGTCATTAGTAAATAATCACAGAATACAACAACTAATAGTAAAGAAATTAACTTTACATTGCATAGGACTTACTTTGTGTCCCTATCAGCAGTAAGTTGGTATGTGCACGGTGTGGTGACCTTTTCTTTAAGCAGAGGGGCTTCATAATAATCACGGGGCAGCAACACTAGATAATCCTAGGGACAACACAAAACAAATGAGACAAGAGTCACAAAACATAAATTAGGATCTGATTTTCACACAATGCAGTTCTAATGTAGTTACCAGCAGTACTCCCTCAGCTCTTATGTGGATGAACCATTTTCCTGGGGTGAGGGCAAAGGGCTCCGCGAAGCCCTCTCCTGGGACAGTGAGGAAAGATGGGGACCGACTCCTGGGAAACACCACTTCCTTACTCTGATCTGACCCTGCCAAAACAACAGCACAAATATAATCTAACACACTGGTAAAACATATATACAGTGATGTCCTAATGTTGTATTATGTAACTTTTCTAGTGGAGGGTCTGGCACCTCAAAAGAAGTGATATTGTTTTGCCGAGAGTGTTCCCCAGTATAACATTAAACTTCTGCATGGAGACAAAAAGGTGGAACCTCAAGGCCAAGTATAAAGGAAAGCCTGCTCCAAGTAAGAACATATGTTGTTTTAAGGTTGTGCAACAATGAGAACACCTCTAATATGAATAAATGCAAAATAGTTTAATGCCATCCTGCAAAAACTTCCAAGCAAAGCAATAACATCTTTGTGAAGATCTAGAAAAGTTACAGAGAACATTTAATGTGGCTTTTATTATTATTTATTTTTATATATTATACATAGTTATTAAACTGTATTCAAGGCATACTAAATGTAAGACAGTTGGTAGTTGAAAGTGAAAATATTTTAGGAGCCCTAAAACAAAGTACAAGGTGCATTTCTTCTTCTCCTTTTTGCTGTTCCTTCGAGGGTGGCCTCATCAAATCAAATGCTTTAATATGTAACCCTACCTTCTGCATTCCCCTCTCTCACAACAACAAATTCTTGCTTGTTCCAATACATCCATAAAAGTCTATGCTCCCAATATATGCACCATCTCAAGCTAATGTGTGTGGACTTATTGGTCTATTTCAGGTCTAATGATTTCTATTTTTATATAAAGAGCTATAAAGGACTACCGTGAATCACTACAGGAAGACACTTTTTCCTCCTTACATCTGCTAAACTAATACAATTTGCTATAACTTAAAAGCACCAGAAGGTCAGGCACAGTAATGTAGTTTATGGATAACAAGTAATTGCATATTAAATGTTAGAATAATGGTTTGGTCTGGGCTGCCTTACCTGCAGTGCCCCAGGAATTAGTAGCTTTAACATGGCCAGTTACTGTGGAGCTGCTTGGGTTAATGAATCTCAAAACCACACGGAAAAACTGCTGACTCTCATCTCTGGGGTCAACATGCACGCTTACTTTGATTTCATTCTGTAGGGATATAAGTTACAACACAAACATGACTAAATACAGTTAAAGAAACAAAATGCCTATGACAGGTTATGCTACACTTTTGACAATGTTTAAATCCAGACTTCTGTTTAGCTATGCATATGAAAGGTTTTTATTCACTATGCATTCTTCTATTCTTCTTCTTCTTTTTATGCAATTTTTATGACAATTATGTATGTTTCGATTTGTTTGCATTGTGATTTTCATGTATTTCTTATTCTGTGAAGCACTTTGAATTACTTTGCATATGAATTGATGCTACACATATAAACTTGCCTTGCCTTCACTTAAAATCTTGCCTCGTTATTTTTAGATTTTTTTTTATTTTGGAGAAGTTTATCATTTCCCTTCCTGTTTTGATATGGGCAGCAGATATGGCATGAAGTAATTCCTGTTACCTAGCAACCATAATGTTGGTTAGGGCCAAAATCTCTCAGCTGCACAATAGTTACATTAAGACAAATCAAAATAAATGACAACACCTTTATTTTGTTGAAATGAATCTTTAATCTGCTGGTATTGACATACTATTGCTACTTCTTGTATATTTGTACTTTTCTTTTGAACTTTTTTTTTTCTTTTACATAAACTGCCTCAGTACTCAATGCTACGCAAAACTGACCCTTGAGCTTTAAGCCATGTTAGAATGTTGTCACCTCCTCAAAAACATACCTGTTGTATTTTGTTTCATTCACATGTTTGAATAATCATTTATTACTCAGTCTGCATATCCAAAAGCTCAAAATGCTCTGTACCACCTTGTGATGTCATGAAGAAATAGCTTTTACTTTAACAGTTATCATTTTCCTTTTGCTCAGTAGAGATGGGCTAAAATCATCCAAATGATTCTAGTGACGGTGTCTGTTTAAAAACACAGCACTTCCTATATTACCACATAACATCACAAGGTGAAACTGTGGAACAGTTTTCAATCTGAGAGAATAACCTACATATGCAGGGTTTGTATGTGAAACTTGTGCGTATGAAACAAAACACAACTCCAGGCAAATTTGTGATGAGGAAACAGCATTATAACATAGCTCAGCAAATGGCATAATAAGGGCACTTTAACTGATGCAAAACTAGTATAAATATTTTCCCCCAAAACAAGTAATAATTAGGGGAACATGAAAACCTGTCATACGCACTTTAACAATGATGGAATGATAGAACAATGATGTTAAGACATATGGTTAAGTTAATAGCGGAAGTAAGTAAAAGTAAACAGTGAGCATGCATGAAAAAAAGCAAGAAAAGCTAATTGAGCACCCCGTCACTTACAGTCACAGCAAGATTTAGATCCGGCTTCATCCACCACCAAAATCCTGGCTTTGACAGGTGCTTTCCCCTTGCGAGGTGGGGTGCTGTAGCGTATTACAATGTGGAAAAGGCCACGAAAGCCGAAGCTAAGCTCTAGGATCACCTCTGGCTGGAAGAGAGAGGGTTAGTTCCCACAGAAAGCAGTAATCAAGTACCAGAAAAGTATTTGTGCGGTAAGGGAAACAAAGAATGATGGTGAACAGAAGAGAATAAGATACAAAAATCAGATAACTAAATAATTAGATCTGATTTTGGTGTGTGTTTATATGCACTAAAGAAATCTGATCATAGTCAATGAAGGGAAAGTGTGCTGATGAAGTGGACTGACCTGTGCAGGTGACATGAAAGCGTATCCTCTCCAACTATAATCTGGAAACACCTCAGAGTCATAACCAAAGCGCACAGGTCTGGCATTTGGAGTGGTCCCATCCTCTAGCTCATACTTGAGCTGGTGCAGTGTGGGGAGATAGTAGTTGGGTGCAGGCCTAAAAAGTTTATAATGTTAAGCATAGATCTGTAACTTTGTACAGTAACAAATGTTATTTAGGCATAGACTGTATAAAGAATTGGACTAAGGGAATGTGACATCACCCATAGTGTTCGGGTCCAGTCAAATGAAGCTCATAATGCAAGTGGTTATAAGAGCGGATTTGGAGTTCCATATTAGGAATAGGAATTTATTTAGATACAAAATAGCGAAATAAAAACACCAAGATCATATAGAGCGGGTTAACCCATTGACGCCAGATGCTGCACAGCGCAGCGCTGAGTCCCCTGTCCGGATTGTCTGGCGATCAGCGTAACTGGTAAAGGCGGGGCCACACCTGGAAGCATGGGGGGCGTGTCCTCCTCTCGCTTCTATTCACTCCCATAGAGAGACGCAAAACTGCCAGAGCTGTACTGTCGCGTTAAACCTTCTTTATCGTGGCGTATTGTTTCTCCATTGAAAAATAATCCAAATGTATCCCGCACATGTTCCCATCAAGACCTGGCTTGAAGTAACAAACGCTGCGCTTTACTGCAGCGCATGAACACGCTCAACCACTTGATCTGTTCACTGTTCCAGACGCTCCTATAACAGGTGCCATATCGCTATGTCGTGTAACAAATAAACATGGTCAAACACAAAAGTGCTGACAGTGACAATGACAGTGAAGACACGGACAACATTTGTGTTAATTAACCAAATAATTTTATGGCAATAGGCAATCGCCCATTCAATTGATACAACTTAAAAAAAGTCCCTGCTTTTAGCCTAGTGTGAGAAATACAGTCGGACTAGATCCAAACCAGAGTCCCGAACCAGCGGGAGCAGCTCCGGTTCAGTCCGGGCTCAGAGGAGCTGGAGCGGGGAGCCTCGACCTGAGGAAGCCCTTTCCCCGGGAAGAACCAAATGCGCCAAGGACGGACGCTCAGAACAACATATAACAAACCAAACTGGACTCACGCTTCTGTCCGGATGCTGCACCACCTCGGAACCAGCCGTGGTTCTTGAGCGCGGAGGACAGGAGCAGCGCGCCCGGACCTGTAGTCCACAGCGCATTCTTGCTTTTCCCGCACAGAACCAGCGCGCAGACGACGGAACGTACCCGCTCAGACCCAGTCATTGCGCACTGGTCTTGCTCGCCACCGTTTGGAACCAGCACATGGAGGATGAAGCCTCCGGACCATCTGACCAACGCGCTTTTAACAGAAGACCGTCCTGAGGAGCTGCGCGCTACTTTGAGCACTGTTGGCTGCTGCTGTTACCCGAGCTCTGGACTGATGCGGTGAGTTTGTACAAAGTTCTACATGTTGCTGTTTTATAAGTTCATGGTGATAATTTGAGATGAGGACGGCCCGTGATATTAACAGGAACATCGGTGTTGATAACTGGAGTATCGCTGTTTTACCGGAGAAACAGAGACACGTGAACCAGTTTTGGTTTGTTTGCCGGTGTGAAAGCGGACCACACTGGAGTGTATTTGCTACATAATAACAATTTTATTGCCTGGTGCGGACCAAATAATCGAACTAGCGGTGTGAAAACGACCTAATACGAACATTGCAACAGTTTCAGAGAGAGGGTGACAATTGTCCAATGTGAAGTCAATTGAAAACAGTCAATGGAGCCGGAAGCACCCATGCCCATGAACATTTCCTATTTGCGGCGAATGGGTTAACTATGTCCATTTATATATAAATATAAAGTCTACTGTTTCTTACTCTGTGCATTTGAGGCCGACTATGTTCTGGCGGCACTGGCACTGCCCAGATATGTCATCACAGGCTGAATCAATAGCTCCGCCCACATCACACTCACAACCTATAAATAGACAGATAAAACACATTTTAAACACACCACAATAAAAGACAACAGCTTTGCCTAAACTCATCAGTTGGAGTTGGAGAGGCAATGGCATTTGGAAAGAAGGATTTGTTGTATATGTTTTTACAGGCCAGAGGAACTTTGTACGCTTTCCACCACCTTCTTGATTTAAATTAATAAAATAATTAGATTTAACTGCCACCTATGACTAAATTTTCAACTAATGTTATGGTAACACACAAACCTTGACAGCCAAAGTAATTGCGCTTTCGAAGTAGGAAATATCCGTCCTTGCAAGTGTCGCATCCATGACCACAAGAATTAGGCTTACAGTGGCATTGTCCAGTTTTCTGAAATCAAGTAAGAAAATATGTCTGGGTATTAATTGCAAATATAGTTTGTGTTCACAAAAAACAAAAATTTGATAATTTCAGATGGAGATCAAGGATTGTATCATATCACTAAGATCCTAACAATGCACTGTCTAAACCAAAAATCCTCAGAAAGTAGGTGAAAAAAACTTGCCAAATTAATCTTCCTTTCAACTGCCAAAAACATATCTTAGTGATTGAATAATGCAAAAATATAATTATACCTTTGTTTATTTATGTTGATAGAGAAGACGTTGAACTTTGTGCCAGTTTTTGGATAAGCATGTGGATAAGCCAAGTAATTAGAGAGATATTAACTATAAACAAAGCCAAAACTAACAAAGCCAAGCTATACCATACACAATGCAAACCCAACCTATCCATTGGGTGTCAAAATGATTAAAAAAAATTGGTCTGTTGCCATAGTAACTGATAATAAAAAAGTAAATATTATATCATTTGAACTGTAAGAAGGCCCCAAAATGCCATACACCAAAACACTGAAACCCACCAATTAAGTATTTAATTTTTAACATTAAATTCCATATTTGTTTTTACCTGGTCACACTCTCCAATCCCACTTACAGTCCCTTTCACGTCACATCGACACTCTGTAGGAGAGAATAAAAGAGGGGTAAAAGAGGGGATCAGTGCTGAATAGAGTCTGATTACAGAATTGGTGAAACACATCCACACAAAACCCTAATCTTGAGGGATCTGACATCAAAGCTCCTGCTGCCTGTGCCTTCTTTCAACTGAGTGAAACAAAAACCAGGTAATGTCCAGCCGCAGTGGAGCAGAGGCATTCTTTAGATATTATTTTGCAGTTCTTCTGTCTTCAGGCACATTGCTAATAACATTTTTGCTGAAGTGCTGCTCTGTAACCTAAGAAAGCTATCTGGACATGGAATGCAGCTGCAGAGGAGACAGAAGCCATATTATTAGCCTTGTTTTAGGGTGACAGTCGACCAGCCAAGGAAGGAAAGAATTTTTGCATCTTGAAAACAATGTCTTGCAGTCACTCCGTTAATCTTTGTAGTCAATAATGCAGGAATGTTCCAGCATATTACACTGACTTGACACTTACTCTATTTACTGTTACTCACATCTTCACCTCATTTGCCCCTAGTTGATAAACTGATAAACTATGACAACCATAAACACCTGGTGGCATGTGTTAATAAATCAATACATTTTTTCAGTATCTGGTCACACCTGGTCACACCTACACCTGGTCAGTAAATCAATACTCATTTTAGTAACTGTAGTAATTGAAAGACAATCAAAACAGCAATGAATTTTAAAATAACTTTCAATATTTAAATGTGCACTATGTAACTTTTCTGTTTGGGGTCTGTCATCATGGAGATATTACTGTTTTGCCTTAACTGTTCCACAGTTAATGCAAGGCAGCATGAATTTATGCAAGTATGAGCCTTTTTATTGACTAATAAAGAGTTTTAAAAACAGGCATTCTTGCGGTTAGGATCCCCTGTCCTCCACAGATCTGACCTGTAATTTTGAAAACAGTGACTTGGAGTCACTCTGTTAATCTTTGTAGTCAATAATGCAGGATGCATATTACACTGACTGGCACTTACTCTGCTTTCTGTTATGCATATCTTCACCTCATTTGCCCCTAGCTGATAAACTGATAACTAAGATGACTGCACACTCCTGTTTTCCACAGAATAGCAATTTGAAACAATAATTTATTTTCTATTCCACACGCTGACATGAAGCTGAAAATTTATGGTAAAGATGCCTCTTAGACAGATGTGTCACAACATTTTTGTGGCTTCACACAAAACAATAATTGATTCAGAAATTGTGTTGGAAAAAAAAACACACATTAATTACCTTAATTAAATCAGAGTATTTTAAGACTCAAGAGAATACATATACAGACAGGTAGATGTGTTTTAAGTCATTACTCAAAGTTACACCTTCAGGCTACAATAAATAACACCAAAGCTCAAAACATCAGAACAAATAAGTTTGTATAGTATACTTAGAATTTTTAGGTCAAGAACTCACCTATACAGCCCCGAGGGTGGTTTGAAGCCAAATTCCAATAGAGGGGTTTACACTTATCACACAAGGTTCCTTCCACATTTGGACGGCAGCGGCACACGCCCTGAAACAACACAAGAAAGAATTAACTGTTTTGTTTTGTCTTTTTTACTACTCATGATTACACTTCCTGTTCCTGAACTAAAAGATGGGAAAAGCTCTAAAAGGGCACTACATGACTTAATCTTCCTGTAAGGACGAACCCTTTTCCTTTCCTTTATTCTTTGTGACAGGAAATAAAGTATTTGTCAATCAAAACATGCTCAATTATAATAAAGTTGGGAACACTAGAACTGCCAGTGAATACAATTCCACACCCCAGCTAAGTCTGCTGTATACACTTCAGTGCTATGTGATCCATTAAAGGTCCTATATTACATGAAGTTGACTCTTGTGAGTTTTTAGCCATGTTAGAATGTTGTTATCTCCTCAAAAACATCAACCTGGAGTTGAGTGTTGTTTCATTCACACATTTTTATTATTAGTCTATCTATATCTCCAAAGCTCAAAATGCTGTGTTCCACCTTGTGATGTCATGAAGTGGTAGTTTTCAAGTTAACAGCTTGCTTTTACCTTGAATTCAGTAGAGGCCAAATTGAAGGTGTATGAAGTTTAAAAACACAGAGCACTTCCTATATTACCACATGACATCACAAGGTGGAACAGAATGTTTTCCATTTGAGAGAAGAACCTAAATATCAAGGGTTTGTGTCTGAAACATGTGAATGAAGCAAAGTTTTTGAAGAGAAAATAAAATGATAACATTGATCAGAAAATAGCATAATATGGACCCTTTAAAAATAAGTTTCTTTCAGAAAAAAATAAGTGGTTTAATACCGCTTGAAGATCAGTGATTTCAGATCCTGCAGCGTTACAAATGCCGATGGGTGCTGAAGAGAAAAACACATATAAACAAGTTAGATCTATGTAATTTTCTACGGTATATGATGATGAGTGTATTTCATATACACCTGAGCATTGAGGAAAGCTCAAGACTCCAGAAGCACATCGGTCACACTGCTGGCCCACCACACCAGGCAGACACAGGCACTGTCCTGAGAGAGGGTTACATGTGGTCCCATATGAGCCCTCCGCTGAACACTGGCAGCCTGCAGGTACAAGACATAGACAATGGTAAGCTCAAATAACATCAAGTCTACCAATAAGGTCTAGATCAAGATTAAAATGTTGCAGGCAGTCTGTTAAAATCTGTTACTGTATAAAAAAATGTTTTTATTGCAAGTAAACTGGACTCACTGAACATCAGATGAAAATTGGGTCTCTATGTTAAGTCATTTAAAGGGTCTGTGCCTAATTTTTTAGATGTATTTGAGGAAAATGTGTCTTGCCTCAGTAAACATACACTATACAAACAGCTCTTCAGGTCAAAATAAGTATGCGTACTGCCTGCGAATTAAAAAGTTTATTTGAAAATCAGGAAATGCACTGTTAGCAGGCTAGTTGCTGTTGGCAAAACATGATGGCAAAACTCTCTGGCCAAATGTAAAAAGTGCTTATCAACTTATCACAGTGAATAATTAAATGCATAAAGTAAGGAAGGAAAAACTAGTCTTGTTTTTCACATTTTTAGCACAAAGAAAGATGCACAAACCCTCCAAGTGTGATTACCATTTTAACAAAGTTTACTAAAGCCACTATTTGACTATTTCTGGATCCCAAGAAGGGAAAGCTTCAAATACTATATCCTCTTTCCTTTGTGAAACTCTGTCAGAGTCAAAATACATGGAATACATCATTTTGTTTGACAGCACGTGTCCTTATATGATGCTGAGGGAGCTTCTGTGTCATGGGAAAAGAACACACAGGACTCAGTTACCATAGGCATTTTGCCCGCCGTAAATAATATTAGTAAAGGTCAATTGGTTACATATTTTTGTTATAGCTGTTTGTAGAATGAGCTCTAGGAGCCTGAAGAGAAGAGGCACGATGCTCGAGTTATAACGCAAGAAAAGTTGACACGAGTCCTCAAGACATTATGATAGTCCATTCCAGTCTAGTGCGGTCCATGCTTCCGTTGTAGGGAGTATTAAACCTCTGATTATATAGGCCAAGACAAAAAGGCCTGAGTTGCCCTAGATACAGCACCAAAATGGAATTTCTCCAACATGGCTTTTTACTCACCAGCGCAGTCCGGGTATCCATAGAAACCGGGAGCACATTCGTCACAGTTCCGGCCCAAATAGTTGGGGAGGCAAATGCACTGGCCATTTGGAGCGCATGTGATGTCAGCTACACCAGCCCCATCACACTCACAAGCTACAGGAACAAGAGCTTTTATTTAATGATGCTTTTCTCTTTTTCTCAGTTCCTCATTGACACAGAGAGAATTCCAATCTAACAAATCTTGTCAAAATGAACAAAGTGAAACAGCAATGACATTGGTGAGTGATAACTAACTAACAATGTCTATTTTTGTTTGTGATCTGTTCACGGGTAATATGTATTTTTATGTGTTTTTTAAGTTTATATGTAAAGCTTAAATATCTGCACGGAACTAAGGTGTTGATTATTATGTTTTGTTACCCTGGCAGTTTGGAAATGAATGGTATCCAGGCTGGCAGCGGTCACATGCCTCGCCTTCCACACCACGACGACACAGGCAGCGCCCAAAAACATCACACACCTCTTGGACTGTTCCTCTATAGTCACACATGCACTCTGAAAGATAAATAAAGCAAGTACCTCATTATTATTGGCACACACTAATATGGGCAAAGAAGTTAGCAGAACCTGGTAGTTTTTGTAGCCTTAATAACCTGGATAGATAGTTCCATGGTGATTTTCAGATTCTATAATGTCATAATACTCATACAGATGTGATTGTACTTTGCCATGAAATATCTAAAAGGTCAATTAACAACAAATATTTAACCTGATGATTTCTATCAGTGACTAGACTAGACACAAAATGTATATAATTAAAATGCATTAAATATGTATTATACCTGTATTAAATATTACTGTCTTATAGAATGTTGTGATGTAATCGTAACGGGCACAGTGCGAGAAAATACTGTAAATGGTTGTTTACTCATATGTCTCACACCCCATGAATATAATATTTAGGTATTCTTAAAGATATTCTAGCTGAACAATCAGACTGGAACAAGCTTCTGATGGCTAAAGCCTTAGTGGCACACAGTGGTACGGCCACACTGGTTCTGCCAAGTCTCTCCTGGCATTGGTATGTGCATAGACTTGGCACTAGTTTCTTTTTTTTTTTTTTTTGCCTCCAAGCACCCTCTGATTACACAGAATCAGCTTTTTGAATTCCTTTTCTAGCAGCTCACAGAACAAATGACAAATTCCTGATCGGGCATGTTTAGGGAAAGTGACTGTGCGCCTAATTTGTCAGAAATTGACAGCGGGATAAAGCCTGGCTACGCTGTTAGCATGTCCTTAACATTCCAAAAAGCAGCTTTTCCAGCCCAGAAATATTACTGAGCAATGGGGCCATAAACTAATTATAGGACAACATTTACCAGTGAACAGTCCCAGGAGTTTGAGAACTAAGGGAACAAGAGCCACTTGAACTTCCCAACTGATGGATAGGATAATTTCATGCAATAATTCCAAGTAAATTCTAGATAATGTATTATGTATTATTATGTAGTAGGAATAGAAGTAGTAGTAGTAATAGTACTAGTTGTAGGAGTAGTAAACTAACTTTATTTACAATGGAATTATTGAAAAACTATTACTACTTACTACCAAGAATTACTTTAGTCAAGTACAGCCCTACATCTCTCATATTTTTGAATGGTCAAAAGTCCTCAAAATGTTGCCTGTAAAAAGGAAGTTAAAGCCCATGAACATTGAAGCCATATTTAGATTTTGAGACGCCAAATTACAAACAGAACTAAATTCAGCGTTGCGTTTGCACTGTATTGTGCAAAATTAATCCCTAAAATACAATGTAAATATATGTTCTATGACCATTTGATAATTTGTTTTATTAAGACATACTTTTGTAATTATGTTATTTTAAGTTATGCCCTGGTTTTAATGTGCCCAGTGGGAATTACTACTTACTACTTCCACTACATATAAAAAAAAAAAACATCTACTAGCACTTCTCCTACTATCATTACTACTGCTAATGCTATTTCTGTACTGCAAGTTGCAACCTTTAGTCTTTAACATAATATATTATGTTGGGGTTAGCTTGCAGTTTGTCTCTCAAAAAAGGTATTAACTTAAAAAAATCATACTCACGCTGACATCTGGGTGGGCCGTAATACCCCAGCGGGCAAGTAGGGTCTAGAGAAAGAAGAAATAATGAAAAAAATAAATAAATGCATTGTCCGCTTTACTTTGGTGGTTTGAGAAATTCTATATAATGGCTGCAGTTCAAATCTTACCCACAATAGGACCAGCGGAGGACTTTGTGGTTGTCTCATAAACTGGGTATCCTGATTTCAAAGAAGATGCAAGGAATTAACATTTTATTTTAAACCACTGTGTCAAGATATAGTTTATGGCTGCGGTCATCTTGTCTTTAACAATTATATTTATATGAACAGCAAGTCTGAAAGAACTATAAACCTTTGAACAATGTGGGTAGCGGCATATTTAAAAGGGTTGTAATCTTCAGGAAAGGTAACATAATATGATAAAGTTGAAAGAATGTCTACTAAGAATCGTGTCTGCATGTTAAGGCTAGTTTCTCTATGCCAATAGCCTAGGGATCCCTGCACCAGGTTTATTAATATCCTTGTAATAAATCTATTCATTCAAACATAAAACATCAACTTCAGAAAAAAAAGATGAGCAAAAATATATATACTAGAGAAAAGGCATGATCTCAAATGCCTTGAGTGACTTACTAATGCATTCTGGGTAGTAATAGTAGCCATCAGCGCAGCGATCACAGTTGTCTCCTGTAAACTGTGGCTTGCAGAGACACCTTCCAGAGCCCATCTCACATCCAGCTGTGGTCTGCTCATTACATCGGCAAGCTGGTGGAGGCAAGAGATGAAAGCTTACCACTCTTTTGTCCATGGCTGGCCTAGGACATCTCATAATGTATGAACTTTTATTGATACAAAGCTGTGTCAGTAGTTACTTGCCTCATAAGTAACAATTACAGTACATACAGCACTAGATCCATTTTGTTATAAGTTAACAGTGTTTCGGGGGAAAATTTTCTCAGTTTCTACACTGGTATTGATTAATATTGGGAAGTATTGAGCTGAAAAAAGCTGAATTGATGCATCTCTAAATAATACGGGACTTAATAACTTTTTCCTCATCTGTATGAATATTGCAAAAACAGCACAAGCAAGCATTCAACTTTTGTGTTGTTTAAATCACGATTTCTCTGACAGTAACCAGTAAAAGTAAAAAACAAACGCTTTCACCTAAATTCACCCCTTCCGCTGCTAAGCCCACATAATGAACTTCTAGGATCCATTTGGTTTGTTCTAAAGCGCTCAGGGCATCCAGTTTAATTCGACCGCTTTCTAATGTCCAAACACAACTGGCAGCTATTTCTGTGGTGGGGGGACAACCATGGACCTATTAGAGCAATGTAAACATAACCAGATCCCAGTTTAGCATGACTACAAGCCCATGGTGCCAGTAGCGCTTACGCAATGGTGCCATTTGTGTCTGTCCTAAACAAGAGGCTGATCCTGCCTTTGAACATCACAGAGTTTGGCTTGACTTTGGTGAGTCACGCATACCATAGCACCATGTGAAGACAGTTGCCAAAACATGTATGTAATTTTTGCCCATGCAGGTGGGATCTGTGCATGCGTATACTGTAGGATCTTTTTAAATGCTTACACAAACTGTGCTTGTTGTGTCAATATTGGTTAAACTGGAACAATGTAACGGTGTATTTCCACCGTGAAGGCCGGCTCTTTTGATAAAAGTAAACCTCATTCTTAGCTCCAAGTGAGTTAACGTTCAGTTCAACGTTCAGTTTCACCACAATGGAAATGACAGGAAGACAAACAAAAGTTTGAGGACAAAGAAAAACGTACGTATGCACCCAGTGGAAGACTCTGGTGGAACTCCATAAGGTCTATAGAAGCCGTCAATACAGCGCTCACAGTTCACTCCAGCAGTGTTGTGCTGTAAGAAATTCAGCATATAAGGCACAGTGTTGGTGATGGTTTAAAATACTATTTTAACAACTCAAAATGTTTTAAATTCCTACATCATTCATTCATTGCCCCCAAACAGTTATGGTTATAGTGGTAAAGGTTTATTATAGCCAGTTTTATTGGTCAAAGGTCCACCACATCTTTTCCCACTAATTCAGTGTTTCAGCATGGCAATTAACTTATCTAACACCATGGAGAAGCAGGTGACACTACCAGGCCAAGATATGATGATGGCATTTTTGCAGCAATAAAAATAAGTGTAGCCTAATTTAATGATTAAATGTATGATAGATATAAATTAAATTCTATACAGTGAAGCTTTCCAGGCCAAGCAATAGCATCTCAGCAAGCAGGTGAAAGACACTCTACCATAAATGTTAAATAGTCTACCTTAAAAGTCTCTCTCTGTTAAAAAATGACCATTGTAACCAGAGCTGTCTTGGGACAAACTGATTGTTTTGACTGTACAGTGCCAATGGTTTCTTACACCACTATCATAAGCACACTGTTATTATAGAAAAAATAACTTATTGCTGTAGGGGAATTATTCAGCATTATATTGTCTCTTTATGTGATACATTTATATGTTGTTATTAAGTGCTACTTGGCTGTAATTTTAACATTATATAAATAACCATTATTTTGACTAACAGGCTTATTGCACTCATAAGCTACATTTTTACCTCAAAGGCCTAATGCATTCATCCCAAAATAGATTATTTCTGTTGGTTTTGCCTCCACTTTTTGCTCACACAGGAATGGGTTTGGACTTGATAGTTGGTTCATACCTGGCAGCCGATGCACACTCCTCCACCGTCGTACCTGCCGAAGATGTCTAAACTTGCTCCCCTCTGCTCCACCTCGGGGTCGTAATAGCAGTCAAAGGCATGGGAGAAACACTGGCAGGCTAAAAGAGGAAACCCCCCACACAGAGACACAAACGGTTATTCCATATGCCTGAGCAAATTACCTGAGATTTCCCCTTGACTACATTTAAGCCACATAAGGTACTAATTTTGGGAAAACGATAAGCCTAGTTGTTAAGATTTTGGAGAAACTGTAAAACCCAGGGTATACAACATGGCACGTCCTTTTCCTGTGTACCTCCCACGGTAATCTTTATGAATCACAACTTTTTTCCACAGTGCGCTGATTGGATTACAAGATTTCTTCGTCTTCCTCCTGCTGCCTTTGTGGTGAGCGTAAGATCATATTTCATGAAACTATCTGTCAACAATCCAAAGCAATTAGACCCCAGCTGACTCTGGCCTCTTGTGCCCGACAGGGAGGCTTGCTAATAAGATGGTATTGAAGGTATCTGGTCAACGGGCAACGCGGCGTTAAGTAGACAAAAGGCAGTTATCCCAAACACACTGGGACCAAAAGTGACAAAGATACAATTTTATTTAAACAGGTCTTGAAAGTGTTTATCCAAGTAAATCAGAGGATTAGGTTTTAGTATTTTTTAGGTTGTTTTTCTTATTGCTTTGTCCATGGGTTTTGCAGTGATAGAAATCTAGCACTGTTGTCATAGCAATTAACAACTAAAAACACAATCTCATACGGCTGTAGGCTTTAAGTTGTTTAGTCGATTAATAGGTCAGTGGTGTCTTAGTCAATCAGAATGTATACATTATTCACCTAATTTATTTAATTTTGAGTTTAAAGATTTATATGGAAAAACAGCAGGAGAATGCATGGTGTGAGTCAGCTGATGATTTGGGACTTAATCTACCTTTATACACAGTTTACACAGTTTCCTGGTACATTTCTGTTTAAATAGTTGATTTCAAATAAACTCCCATGCGGTTGTAGTCTTGTCTTGTCTGTAGTCTTAAGTGCAATTTGGGTCAGATAAATGATCAATAGTTTTGATTGTTTTTTTCCACGCCCTCTTTCTGCCAACTAAGCTCTTTTGTTGACCAAGAATTTTTTCAGTCGTCTACAGCTCTACAGTGTCATATTTTTTGAATGGTCAAAAGTCCTCAAAAAGCTAAACTAACAGAACTAAATCCAGTTTGCAAATGTTGCGTTTGCACTGATGTGTGTCAGATTAATCCCTATAATACAATGTAAATATATATTCTATGATTATTTAATGATTTGTTATATTAAGAAATACATTTGTAATTAAGTTGTTTAAAGTTATGTTGACATTCCCAGTGGGAATCTTAAAATCAGACCTCTCCCACACATGGAACCAGTAACCAGCTATATTTAACAATTGCAACTCACAATCTTACAACATCATTATGAAGAAAGACCACAACAGGGTAAATTACATGACATACGTAAAAGTTTACAACCACTTCCAGATGTTTTCTTAAATTCCAAAGCACTATTTATATCTGATTTCAACATTAAATTGCTTCAATGACAAATATATCTCCCTTATCTCCTAGGTCAGTTCCCTGAGTACTGTGAACATGACCTTAACTGTGCCCCATACTGCTCACCCCACATACCATAGGAATCCCATGTCTTCCCTGTGCCTCTCCACAGCGCCATATGAGGGTATCAACAATAGGGCTTAAACATGAGCCACAGCACAAGAGGACCCTGAAGCCTCTTTGTATGCTCGTAATTCAAAGCACCAACAGCAGTGAGGAGAGCGGCGACCATGTTTGTACTGGAAGGGGGGCACTTACGCTGACACTCATTGGGGCTGTGGACGGTTGCAGCGCGCCACGGCTTCTGGTTAAAACCCGGGCAGCAGCGGTCACATGACTCTCCACAGGTGTTGTGCTGGCACTGGCACTGCAGTCTGAAGGCAGGACAGAGAGCAGACACCTGGATTTAGACATTCTATCAATAGCATTGGCAGGGGGGAAGAGTGGAAAGTTTCAGGTAGTTTATATGTTGTGTTTATGTTCAAGAATATGTTCTATGTTGTTATGCTTCTGTTTTAAGTTTGTTTTAAGGGTAAAGTAAATGTTACCCCTCACAAAGTTATTGGGATCAGAGTGACATTCATAAGATCAGATTTATTATGAAACTGTCATAGGCTCTCTCTTTTAATCCATTCACAATCACACTGCTACAGCCCCTCGATCTATAATCTGCACCAAAACTCTTATTAATCTCAATATAATGACAATATAACAGGCAGGCTTGCATTCCCACAAACCTGAATGGAGGCTACAATCTTCGACATCTCCAAGGAGAACGTTCCAAAGTCTGGCTTTAATTTCTATTTCCATGAAATCATGCAGGTGATGTGCAACCTCTAGAAAGTTACATAATGTGTCTTTCATAGTGAAATTCAAGTGAAATTTTAACCTTAGTGTTCCAACAAACTAACCAAACTAAATATTTCTCTTAAAAAACTTTGGTTAAAGCAGAACTATTTTACCTGATTAAACTTCTTTGTAAGATCTTGAGATAGTTAAATATGTAAACAACCCAAAGACAGTTCTCCTCTGTATAAATATTTGGCAACATTATTTGATTTTTTATGTGATTATACTGCCTTATTTCAATGAAAAATTAAATATGCTCATAAAGGAGCTATAGGAGAGGTCTATCGCTGAAAGTGACTTAGTTCTGCTTTAAACTTGTATTGATGCAAAAAGATTCTTTCCTCTGTAATGCAGAGCTAACACACAGAGTTAAGACAAAGCAAGCACACACACTGACCTGCTGGAGCTCTCCTCATGCCGATTGCCTCCACAAACTTGTGCGTGTCCGTGGCAGACACAGCGCCCTCCAACACTGATGTCTTTGATACTGTAGAAATACTGTGGATATAAAAGAAAACATTTTACTGACTAAATGAAAACAATATTATAACTGACAAACCATATTATTGAGATCAGTGAGTGCATGAGGATCCTTATCCTGATAAGAAACGGTCAAAGTATCAATTGAACTGTCAGTAAATTGTTGTTGAAGAGTAATTAGCTCATATAAATTAGGGCTGCGCGATATATTGTAAAATGACTGAAATACTGTCTCATATAATTATTAAACATAACACAAAATTCTCCATTTTACAGAAATGTACTGTTTTTGGCTGATTTTATTCATGATTTTCCATACCAGGTCAGATGCTCTGAGTCCCCCTCTCCCTTTGCACTCCCCATTCAAAATTGCTGTGTGGGAGCATAGGTTACACAGGCTTGTGAGCTGAATATTTTACAGAATTATACTGCTAACCCAATGAAGGTTTCAAATAGAGATCACTAAATTACTCAAACAAGCATGGATGACGTAAAATCACTTCAGGCATGCTTTTGTTGAGGATTTGTTAAGCATAATACCCGTTCTTCAAGTAAAATTCCTTAAATAAGCAAAAGAGCAAAAATTGTTGTGAAGAAAATGAACATTAGGGTCTGTACCCTGCGTGTGACAGTGGGGTCCCTCTGTGCTTTGGAGATGAGGTGGCCCAGAAGAGTGCTTGTCCGGATTAAATGTAGCCGTATGTTTGTGGCCTTGGTGAAGTCTCTCAGTACCGGGGAATATGTGAAGTTTTGGGCTCCGGGACGACCATTGACCAGAGACACCACAATCTGCACAACACAGAAAAGATGTTAATCCTTAACTGCATCCGGACATTTAGATTAATAACAGTTTCAAATGATATATTGTACTTCTCCATTCTCCAGTGGCACAATCCGGGAGTATTCGGTGGTGCAGATCTGATCATCATCTCTTACTATTCGGGCATTGGGTTGTTTTCCAAATCGTTCAATACACTCTCGCTTTGAATCTGTCACATTAGAAAACTTTTATTACAGTCATATTTTTAAATTTCTAAGATTCCAAGCTCTACTAGTATATGGAACTAACAATCGGAACCAAATCTGGAAATGTTCCTATGCACTCCAGTAATCCTAGATTAATCCCTAAAATACAATATAAATATTCTTGGCATTTAAAAACCACACATTCACACATTTCCTGTCTGGAGACAAATTCTAATCCATCTCCACAATGAAACCTGCATCCAAGCAGACAATCTGTCCCAGAAGAGCAGGAAAAACACAGGTGTAATTAGTATTAAGCAGAATAATGGCCATATCCTATTCAGTAATGCCATTTTAAGCTTTGCTATTCACATGATATTTATTGTGGCTTATGTGGAATGACATATTTTAAACTACAGTATGGAACATAGACATAAAAGCTTAACCAAAGAAGATTTTTGACTCCATGTTGGTTTTATGCTCTCCATACTTGGAAAAAAGGTCAGAGTTTACAAGACGAGATAGCTCTAATATGCAGTAATTCTTTTAATGACTCAGATAACATCTCTTTGATGAAACCAGGAGTTAAGTGCCTTTTATATACATAATTTAAAGGTGCATTGTGTAACTTTTCTGGTCAAGATCCGTCAAATGCTTTTCTTCATGGAGATGTTATTGCTTTGTCTCACAGTATGGCATTAAACTTTTCTATGTCGATGGAGACCAAACCAGACAACAGGTCAGGTCTGTGGAGAGGCAAACCTGTTCACAGTCAGATGCCTGTTTTTGAAGTATTTTTGCGCTATAAAACCACCTGTGATTGAATAAATATAGAGTGTTAAATGCCATAGTGTGGGACATTTCAAGCAGACCAGTGACACAACCATGGAAACAAACAGGTGACGGACCCCCAACCAAAAAGTTAGACAGTGCACTTTTAAGAACAGGCCATAAAACAGACTTACGTGCAAAATATTGCCAGGGACTATAGGTTCGCCCACTGTCCACAGAGCGCTCCAGCACCCAAAGGTCTGGCCGAGGAGAATTGGCAAACTTGATGAGGACATACGCAACATGGAAGAGCTACAAGGACACACAAAAATAAAAGAGTCATTAGTATGACAAGTATAGCACATTTCCTGTGGTTACAATTGTCTCTCATTTTTGTAAGTTCTGTTTCCTTTTTGTGAATGTGTGGGCACAAGATCAGTCCTTTGTATCTCTCAAACTGATAAACAGTGACTGGGCTAAATGATGCTAGCTACTGTTGGCTTGCTTCCTGTTTGGTCTTTTTTGACAGACTGTGTGAACTCGGGCTGTTATCTTTGTGGCCATGCAGGTCGACTCAAACAAGTAGCCAATCTGTAACAGCCTGGAGTGGATAAACACGCAGCAGGTGGTTTAAGGTTAGTGAAAAGATTATCCCCAACGTTTATCTCACCATCTCTATGTCAATCATGAGCCATACATGAACACAATGCACATTTTCCAAAGTCAGTCCGAGAGCTATTATACATACACTTAAACCTTTTAAAAAATCAAATCCTTTGTAAGGGTATATCACACATACATCCCACACAGTTGATTCAGAGGTGCTTAAGGTAACTTGGTTGATGAATAGGCCTGTGACGAAAACAAATTTAAGAACACAATATATTGCTACACAGATATACTGAGATAAACCATAATATTGTGTCACTGACAATGACAATAATGCAGGATAATCTCAGTAAACATTTTTTAAAAGGCGTGAACTGCAACAAATAAATAGCAGAATGAACCAAGAATTAGCCATAGAAGTTACTTGTTTGTACAGCTCAAATTCTATTGTATTACAACAAAAATACCCCAAATCTCCCCACTTTTACAAAGAAAATGTATCCATGATAAAAACTGAGCTCAAAAATACTATATTGTTCCAGCATTGATATATTGAACAATAAGTCAATATAGTAATTAGTGTGATATTAACATTTTATTTCAAAAGTAAACACATTATTTGAGACACAAAAACATTCCCTTCCCTGTCACAGTCAATGTGAAAAAATACTCATCTAGAATTGTAATCAAACAAGAAATTTAGTTTTGACTGTCCTAAATAGCAGCATAAGTATCCTAAAATAAGCAATTTCTGCTTTACCTTAAAACAGACACAAACAGTTCTAGTTTATTCAGTTTGATTTAGTCTTCTTGAGAACATTGAGAAGGTATAAAGCATTTGGAGCCACGTTCATGTTCATTTGCATACTTGGAAAAGCACTGTATCTACAAGCAGGCAAGGGATGATATGGAAATTTGGTGTCACAATTATCATGGTCAATATAATTGAGGTTAATGATTATATCATGATAATATATAAGTTGCTGACTGCTTACTAATGTTATGGGTATGGATAATTATAATTTTGATATTATAAATAGGTTCCATGTTTAAAGTTATAGTATTGTACTTTGTTATAAATGAAAACAACAATGATCTAGAAGAAATCATCATGGATAAGTAGCTTTTTTCTGCACTTTCTGGTGACAATAGCAATATCTTTGTTAACAATGATCATGATTATTAAAAATGTCTCACGAAAGATTATTGTGTACCCTTTTTTTTAATCACAATATTACTGTTTATTGTCCCATCCCTATCTACAAATATGATGGAAAACATTATATGCAGTGGGATAACTGTATGAATGAGTTGCAATTTGACTTGTGAGGTGCGAGATACATTGCGGACTTGTTCTGGAAATATTGCAAAATTAGAATATGAATTCTTATTATTTTCTTCTATTCCTATATATATTCTTTATCTGCTCATATAAAAACTATGACTGGACTGTACCCCTTTAAGAAACAGACTAAGTCCTGGCACCTGCAGTAGCAGCAATGTCACCATGTGTAACTTGTGAGTGTGTAAGAGAGAGTATGAGAGGGCAGGAGAGAGAGAGTGGGCAGAGGAAGTGAGAAATGTTGAGTGTGTGAGTTTGTGCATGTATCATATTTTGATATTTGATTCTCTTGACACATTCACTGTATTTATTGCTTTTTCAACAAGCAATCTATCTGCTATTTAGTGAACACTTTAAAAACCCTTCTGGGGATTGATGTTGTGAATTCGCCTAAGATATAAATACTGTGATACATGCATCAGATTACTGAGTTGTTAATCTATGTTTGTGTATCTGTTGTCATTCAAATAAACAATAAATACATGTTTTTGACTTTTTGTAATATTGTCTTTGACCTAACAGTGGGCAAGTCTTATCAAGAGTATCCTCTAAAGGTGACTACAGCTTTGATCAATCATGTTCCACAAACTCTGTTCTCAAAGCACTCTTTGCATAAAGACTTGGTGTGGCCTGGAATTTACAGCAATACAATATTAGCTAGTACTGCACCTACAATGTCAACACAAGCCATGATATAACTGACACTACACCCCTCTTGTTTTATCAAGAGGGGTAACATATTGATTTTTCTAGTATATTGGCATAGCAAAGCATATTGGCATAGCAAAATACAACAACTCCCAGACAAAGCCTTCCCTGCCCTTAAGTGGAGATTGAAAACTGTATATTCTTGACTTAGCACAAGACATTAGACAAACACCATCTTGGCAGGCCTGCACTCGTCTTATGCCCCAGTGAGCTTTTCAAGGCCCATGCTCTTCTATCATGAACACAGAGCTGCTAACACGGCTGTCAAAGCAAAGCAGAGTGTAGCCTAGCCATCTTCTACCGCTGGGATATGGACTCTGTCAAGTAACCGCCATAATTATCTTGATGGATTTCTCACTCTGGGCATGAGAAGGAATGGACTGAAGTTCAAGTAGGTTTCTGGGTGACTGATTGATAGTGACAAAGGTCAAAGAGCAGTGTGGGAATTGTCTTATCTTGTGTTTCTTACAACAAAAACAATGCTTTTATCGTTTATAGTGGAAGTAAATGAGATATTCTCACAGATTTAATGGCTGAGAACTATATTGTTATTGCATTGTGGGGTATAGAAAACATTATTCCCAAAAGACATCCATAATAAATAAATATAAATAATAAACATTAGGAGTTTAACAACAACAATTTAACAGTGGTCATTACAACCATAAGATACAACTGCATTGACATGTAGCAAACAATGTTAGAGCAATGTTTTTTTGTTGTTGTTGTTTTTTTTTCATGGCTGATACAGATTGTTTATAGAATACAGAGTGTAACTGATGGCCAATTAGATCTGGCAATATTTTTAGGCTGATTTGGATTATTTTTGCAAAGCTATAATTTTAATTTACTACAAACTCCACCCAAGATGTTTTTTGTTTTTTTTACCAGAAACTTACAAGGGAGCTCTGTAGTCACATTTTGTGCAGCTATCTCTTCGAAGTAAAGTGTTAATATAAAGCTTTGTGTGTATTTTTTGGGCTGTAAATTGACCAAAACAAAAAATCTGCCTATGCTGGAGATTTAAGGCTGATAACCGACATGCTACAAAGTCCAAATATGGTCTATCTCAATGTAATATATCTGGGTCTTACAATTTGATATACTATAAGGTTTAAGAAAATATAGTGACATTTTTAAACCCAAGCACATCATTGACAGGTAGAAATGACTCAATCTCTATTCATATTTTATCACTTGCACAGCCTTAAGTTTGGCAATATTATTCCATCAATTTAAATGGTTAAACATTGATATATTCATGGATTTCTTCTTAAACTCTCACTTTCAGGGGGTGTGACGCAGAGTTAATCAGTGAGCACTTCCACCTCCATGTAACCGGATGGGCAGAGAACCAGAACGTCACAGACACACACTAACGCACACACACGTACACACATGCACACACACACAAATAAACAAACACACAGACACAAACTAACTGAAGGCTGCATTCACTGCCTGGAGGTCAGGAGGAGAGTTTGCCAAAAATGTTGATGAGGTTATTTTTAATTTGGAGCACTAATTGGGATAAACAAAAGATGTAAATAACAACAAATGATACTACACAGCACCCAGTGGGAACTTGGCTCTTGTATTGTTGTGGTAAAGAGGATAAAGATTTTAAGATTAAAATGTCATACAATTTGAAACACAAATACAAAAAGCACAGTAAAGTACAGTATTTCAGTCACTATCACTGTGTTTGTCTAGCCTGTCCTTATACTCAGCTTCTTGGAAAAACTAAAATATTTGTGGGAAAAACAATATGATGTAAACTATGTTCGGTATTGAGTAAACCCTATGGCCAGAAATTAACTGTATAATTGAAATAGTGAACAACAAATGTGTCACTACTCAAAATGGTTTACTACTGATACTTCGCAGTGACATCATGCTGGGGGGTTCTGCATGTATTTCTATGTCAGAATGTCCAGCTGTTACCATGGGGACAGAAGCCACACGTTAACAAACACAGTCTGCTAAGATTTTAGCTAGTCAGAAAAAATTTATTTAAACAACACCCTTCAGGGGCCTCGGATTAAAGTGAGTATGAACACTCACTCCATTTAGGTGAATTAGACTAAATGAAAAACTGTTGGCTAATGCTAACTAGCTTGTGACTGTAATTTTATGTGTATGTGATGTGATTAAAAGGACAAATCTTCTCACCTTTTGTAGTTCAAACTAAGTCAGATTTTATGGTCAGATTGTGTTAAAACAAAGCTCAAATTAAGTCTAACAGTCTCAAACAGAGTAGTACCTACAGGTAGAATTACACTCGCAGGGAATGCTGACAGCTGCAAAGTATCAATACTGACATGAACAGTAAATCTCCAAGTAGTTCTTTGCAATCAAAATGATGCAACTGGTTTGTACTGCAGAGATAATGTTGTGGTGCATTATAACTGTACGCCCTTATAAGCAGATTTTGTTTTACTTCCAGATTTGTCGAATTGGGGAACATGCCGGAGCTACCACAAGGGAGAGCGCAGAGACGTGAGGCCTGGCACAGAGCACCATCTCGGATTCCAAACATAGCGCCACATTCCGCCTCCCTCCTAATGCCCCCCTAAACAGGCCGTGCCCCCACTTTCAGGGACCTGTCAAGTGACGTACAGCACAGTGACAATCTGCTCAGCCCACTGCCATT